GGAAGTTGATCTGTCAGCACTATCCTTATCTACAGTGTTTTTTTTTATTTGGCTTATAATTCCTTACTAAATGTAGTATTTCATCTCGATGAACTCCGTCTTTGATATGATTTAAATCAAATTCCTCGTCATTATAAATGTCATGAATACACATCAAATAGTTTTCTGGTTGCAATTTTCTAATTTCGTCTATGCGTAATGTATGCTTTACGCATGCGCGCGTTGAAAGAAATGTTTAATAAAGTAAACAAATAAATATTAAGCTTTTTTTTTTTTTTTTTTTTTTTTTTTTGTGTGTGTGTGTGTAAATTTTGATACCCTTTAGATCATAATTGCTCTTTATTTCATAAATTACGGTTTCGTATTTTTAATTATATAATTTCTGCATGTCATCTTACCAGATTTAAATTGATGATCTATAATCCGGAAAAACCCCTAATCCGGAATCGCCAAAGTACCGACGAGTCCGGATTAAAGACTTTGTACTGTGTACAATACGCATTATGTGATCAAAATCTGGCCATATGTAAAAGTTCATTCAAAGCTCAACAAATCAAACCATTTGTGTAAAAAGAGATTTTACATAACTGGTGAGAGCGAAATAAAAAGGCTCATATAAACTCAATTCTTTTGTTTAAAAATTCAGATCCCATTTGAAATCATCAAGGACCTTCTCTTGACCTGTCAGAAAATAATGTTCAGGCAAATTTTTTAAGGTTTCACCTAAATGTTTCTATGTACATTTTCTTAAATCCTGATGTTAGTTTAATTGAGGAAGCTCTTTTAGTAGAGGTAAGCAAGTGATCTTTTCCTTTCTATGCATACCAATATGTAAGTTTCTTGTTGAAAGATGGCATTTTGTCATTTGCAATAAAAACTATGACATTTTCCCCCTTGTAATCATAGATTCATTCATTCATTCATTTTTCTAATTATTTTGGCTAAATATGTAAGTTTGTATACATACAGTCTTTTTTATTTAAAACTTTCCCCAATAAGTTATTATAGTCAACCAAAATTACTGCTACTTCTGCCCACAGTTCCACTAAAGTAATTTCCTTAGGCCAAGACAGCAATTTTCTTAAAGTAAAATATGTAATTTTTTTCTACAGAAAATGCTTTATAGTAGCTTGAGATTCAAATGTATGACTCAACAAAACACTTTATTAATTAATATTTACCAATTATACATCTGAACCTCACAAACAGGTCAAATGCAGAAAAAAAACCCACAGTCTTATTGTATTTGAATTCACTATGAAGTCACTTAATCCATTAACCTGTCTCTATTTATATGGGGCTAAATTTGAAGAAACTTCGAGCAGATTTCAGGAAATCTTAAAGGATTGAAAATGAGAGAAATTTCATGAATGTGCATTTTCAAGAAATCATTCAGACATTCAATTCCAGGAAAGGCTATTTAAATGCTGTGAGTGATACATCGGCATCCTGCTCAGCCTCATCGCCTGTCTACTTACAGTACTGTTACAATAATTTCAAAATTAGTAGCTGCACAATGATTGATTGTCACCTGCTAAGAAGGTACAAAATTCCACTTTGCAAAATTCTCTTTAGAATGTAATATCCAGTTATCACATTTTGATTCTTTTTTTTTCTTTTATTATTTGATTTTGTTATTTCACCTAATTTTTTATTCATTTTATTTTCTTAGTGTGCATGCTGTTATATGCTATTAACATAAAATCCCTCAGAAGGTCACTTTTTATGATACTCATGCATTACTTACAATTTTAAAACAATCAGTTTTTGGATTATCCATATATTTGCAAGCATATACTGATCAAAGGTAATAAGGAACTTAATGTACTTTAGTGTAATTATTTAATTTTAAATAAATAATCCAAAAGTACGGTATTAGTGCTATATAGTCTTGTTTAATTTTTTCCAGCCTAATAAAAAATGTTTAGTATTTTCTATAACTGTTAAGTATAGCATTAAAAAGGAACTAACATTTTCACGTCTTTCTTTAATTCTGCCCTTTATCTTATCCATAAAAGCCTAAGTTTCATTACAAGGTTTTAAAAAACTCACTGTATTTGAAATGCAGGCCTTTAGAAATAAATTTTCTGCATTTAAAACCAAAAGTGATTTCTTAACTAGCTTTACTGGAAAGAAAAAAAAAAAAAAAAAAAAAAAAAAAAAAAGTTACCTTACTTTTTTTGAGATGAACCACATAATTGTCAAAATCTTTAGAAACTTATTAGGCAAATCAATTTCCTTTAAGTTGGATTCAAATTTTTCTAAAAATAAGTTTGGCAGAATGAACTACTACATTTCAAACTGCAGAGCTCCACCTGATAAATGCTAACCTTAAATATTCAATAATAAAAAAAATTTGTCTGTTATGAAACAACAGTATGTTGTTTCATAAACGTTTTATTAAAAAAAACTTGCTATACTTTTCCAGAATGCACAAGACATAGATCGGATTAGATTATTTGATTATGGCAAAACACATTACTGCTATCTAAGGAAGGGATGTTTTTGAACAGGACTTTCTAAAGAAAACTGGCTTGTATTCCCATTACACATGGGTAAAAACATGAAATGCCATGCAACAAGCCTGTTTGCTTAGAACTTAACTACACTGGTGAAATAAATTAAGAGAATTTGCATATTTTATTGAATTGCATGAAAAGAACTGAACTGAAGGAAAAACCATTGCTTCTAGATAAATATACAAATCTTGTACGGTAAATATGTAAGCGTACACGTGTGTGTAGGCGGAGTCAGCAGAAAAACAGGCTTTATAAGCACGTAGAGGGTAAGACGAATTGCATTCGCTATAGCACACCTCAGCAAATTTCTTGGTGTTATCTTGCAGCATTAGGTTAAATTCACATCAGAACAGTAAAAATGAGTAACCACCAATGTTGATAGAATGAGGTGGTGAATTGTAGGGAGGATAGAGGCAGGCCAATCGCAAGTCCAGATATGCATAGAGTTTAATTTAACACCCAGCGTCATGTGTAACCTATGGAAACAGTTCCAGGATACTGGATCCATAGAGAGAAAGCCTGGACAAGGTCATCCAAGAGCCACAACAGCCAGAGAAGATTGCTATTTGTCCATTTTAATTAAGCGTTACAGAGGGGATACAGCTTCTCAGCTCTCTCGGGACCTGTATGCAGCAACAGGAAACCATGTAACATGGGTGACTGTTTCCCAAAGACTGAATGAGAGAGGGTTGTTCACCAGAAGACCGACTGTTTGCATCCTGCTCACGTCTACTGACAGGAGAGTCTGATTAGTATGGTGCAGGCAGCATAGTGATTGGAGTACGGAGCAATAGGCGACCGTTCTGTTCACCAACGAGTCCCATTTTAGTCTAAACACCGATTCTCGCTGTACTTTCTTATGGAGAGAGCCAGGGTCCCGTTACCTACCTCCAATGTCCACAAAATCAACAATTATGATGGTGGCAGTGTAATGGTCTGGGCAGGCATCATGTTGGATGGCCGCACACCTCTCCACGTCTTTGACAGAGGCTCTGTGACTGGTGTGAGGTATAGGGATGAGGTCTTGGAGCCCTTTGTGCGCTTTTTCCGGGATGCAGTGGGCCCGAGTTCATCTTGCAGGATGATAACACAAAGAGCTCTTCTGGTTGATGGATTTCTCAAGAGTAAGGATATTTGCCGGATGGATTGGCCAGCCAGGTCTCCTAACCTCAACCCTATAGAGCATGTATGGGAAGCTCTGGGGAGGGCAATTGCAACTTGCAAAACCCCTCCAAGAAACATCCAGGAACTGAAAACAGTGTTGCTGAATGAGTGGGACCAATTGTCACAGGCACTGATAAATTGCCTTTATTTCCAGTATGACATCATGTTGCGAGGCATGTATGGCTGTAAGAGGGGACCATACCCCCTATTAACCCATTTTTTTTGTGTGTGTGTGTGTGTTCTGCAACCACTGTTTCAGATCTTTAGACTCCCATGAGTGTTACATATGAATATGTGTGTCTATTATAACTGTTGACTGTTTGTTTTGTTTGTATTATATTAACCTATGTTCACACCAAATTTTATTAAAATTTGTCTAGTAGTTCTGGAAATCATAGATCAAATATGCAAATTCTCTGAATTTTTTTCACCAGTGTATGTTATTAACTATTAATGATCAGGAGTTTTTTTTTTCTATTGGCCACTAGTGGTAAGTGAAGCATTAGTTATATAATTAATAATTTTTATTTCTTATTTTCAGTTAATAGTTCCATTCCTCTTTTAATGGATATCATAGTTTCAATGATGAAAATTCATCAAAAACCAAGATTTCAATTTTTGGTAATTTCAAATAATATAAGTTTTTACTACTAAAGTCAGATAAGACTAAAAATGGATTAAAAAAAAAACATGACACTGATATTGTGTGTTTTTCTGGCTATAATTTATATTTAGCAATATATTTTTATTTATTTATTTATTATCTCATGCATAAATAGTCATTAAAGAACTTTCATCTTAATTAGTTCGGACAATTACATATTTGGGGAAGGGAAGTTTTTAAATGACATTTCTCAATTTTTTTAACATTATTAAGTTTTAAATAACATGTTAAAATATAGATTTTCAAATCTAAATTTATTTTGGGTTTGATGAAAAAAGTCTAGCATATAAAAGCTTTGTCAGATGCTATGTCTTCTCCTCCACCAGCATAAGTTTATTACACTTTTATTTGCACATATATTTTAACATAGATTAACGTCAGTCACTTTCAATACATATTTGCGAACAAAAAAAAAAAAAAAAAAAAAAAAAAAAAAAAAAAGCTTTCATTTAATGGAAGAATCTCTGTTCTGTTCTTAAATGGAAGTGCATAATAGTTAGAAAAATCTGAAAAAAATATATCGCACAGTGTTCCTTAAAATACCTATTAATTTATTTCTAAAATCATTTATCATCCAAATAGAGTCTTACAAACAGCTAAAGAGTATGTTTTCCAATGTATGAAATATAACTTCAATGAACTTATGCAGAAAAATAAGACTAATAACTTTATTTCTATATTAAAATCCAGGTGGTGGATATCTAGAAAGAAAGTCTTTCAATACTAAAGGATATAATGCTAAAAATTTGAATCTTTCTCCCATTTGTTCAGGATTAATTAACATATCACATCCACTTTTCAAGGAGTTTTGATTCTCCACACTAGCACCTTGCATCAGTTGCTAATGATAAAAATAAATTTATTAAAATCGAAACAAAAATCATACATATTGAACAATTTATAAAAAAATATAAAATCAGTTTTTATTTGTAAATTACAAACCTCAGTTCAAATGAAATGGCCTTATATTTAAAGTAATTTGAAAAAATAAAAGCATGAAAAAATATTACTCTTTGATTCATATAAGTGTTGTTGTCTGCAGAACTTAATGAATACATAACTCAAGTAATCATACTACCTTTTGCATGTCACACTTTTTGTCTGGGTGCATAAGCAAAGTCACATGCACGAAAATTTTTAAATGCCTAGCTGTTTACATGTTTTTTGAATCTGTATATTGATCAAATAAGAAAAGAAATATTCAATTGAAATACAAAAAGTACTTAAATTAAAAAGAAAATAATGTGTTTAAATTAATAAATTGAGTATTATACAAAATCAGTGTTTTGAGAGGGAGGAACTTAAAATGTAGAAAACATTACAAATGCCTTGCTTACAATACACTAATATACTGGTTAATGCTCATAAAGCATTTCTAGAGAACACCATGCTGTGCAAAACACTGTTACACCAACTGACTTTCACAGTAAAATGAGATAGGAGAAAACCCAATCAGGAATAAGTAAAATCAGTTTTAATTCTACTTCATTTTATATATTAACTTGAGTAATTATACATATATATATTTTTAATATATCTTTATATTTTTAACAATCATTATATATATTTTTAAAATTGAATATACTTTACTTTTCTGCAGATGGAATTTCTGGTTTGCAAAAACATATCATTTTGTTTTAGTAATACAGTCATATAGTGCCATCTAGCCCAAAACAGGATTCAAATCCTTACCGAACAATTTTTTTTGGCAATTAACTTGTTATAGCAAACCAGAAAAGGTTACAATAAAATAAGTTCAATGGTGCAGTTCTTACTTCAAAACAGGAATTAATAATCATTCTACAAAACTAAACCTATAGGGTGCATTCACACCTTTATAAAACATTTTATTTGATCCCTCCAAAAAATGCTGTGTAAATGAAATGGATCATCTGTGAAACCTATGAAGTGAGTAATACAATCTGCTGATTTTTGTAGAAAGGGCTTTTAAAATTTAATTAGCAGTAAAAACTGACATTAATAGTATATTGTATTTGAACATGTAGAAAATTTGAGAGTAATAAATTAAAAAAATTCCTTGATGTTCTTAAACAAGGCTTCTTTTTTTAAATTTTTTTAAGGCTTGGTTTAAACGTTGGAGGACTTAAAATACAGATATATATATAGCATTTATTAATTAAATACAACTATTAATTAAATAATTACATTAAAAATAAATTTCTGAAAGCCCCTAATAGTATTCAAAAGATGAACTAACATATCAGCATGTGTAAAATAAATTAAATTTGAAAAAATTAAAATAGTAAAAATTAGCAGATTTTTTGAAGAAGGGCTACAAAATATATATTTGAGGGGATAGTATCATACATTTAAAAAGAAAACAATATTCTGTATAAAGCTATTCAATAACAAATGAAACTGGTATTTTTACTAGAACTGTATTGCAACTACATAAACTGGAATTACATTTTATAAATATCTTTAAGTTGTCCATGTTAGATCATTGGTTAGTAATACAATATCAGAATTTCTACATGAATCACAATAATGAAAGTAAATATATTTCTTATTCTGGTTTACCTAAAATGAATGTTACTACCAACCAGCAATAAAGCCATGAAATTCTACTTTCATCTAAATAAAACAGTATTAGAAATGAGTCAGAAAACATGTGGTGAGAATGCACTACCTGGTTCGACAATATTTTGATAATTCAAGACTTATCAGAAGATAAGACAATTAAAAGAGATGGAAGATGCTAAGGTGTATTAATTTCATTTAAACCGGTTCTTCCAAATAGAAAAGTTATAAAGTAAATACTATCTGTCAGTTTTAATGAAACTATGATATCAGTTCCAAAGGAAATATCCAGAACTGCATATTTCTTCATGGCTCCTTCATTAAGACAATGCCTGGGTTCGCATAATAAAGACTGTGTAACTAGCAAAAATTAACACGGAATGTAATTCTCAGCCACCAAACTGTGCAAATCTGGCTTTGCATATATGTATATATGATTCTGCTCCTCAACAATGAAGTTATATCTACATGGAAGATGTCTGCATGATTCATCAATCCGTATGAGATATGCAGATTCAGTCATCAAAGGCACCTTGAAAAATGGCTTATGACATTTGACTCATGATTGGAAAAACATTTACAGCCTGCACTGCAATTAATGGTCATTACTTTTAAAAAGACCACTGTAGAAAAAGTCTTGAAATTTTTTTTACCTCTCTCTCTTTTTTAAAGTCTCATTGTTCATTGAATATCTTATGTATTAAATACAGTGGATGGACAAAAATATGGAAACACCTTGTGAAATGCATGTTTGAAAAGAAAGATTGATTTTAATGAAATATGTAGGTGGCACTGGCATTTTTGACTACTGATGCCACCTATACAACTTCGTAAATGTGCTAAACAGTTCAGTTGTTTGTCGGAGTACTATTATGTGAGGTTGTCATTGCATTATGTCAGAGTTAACAGACTTCAAACGTGGGCAAATTGTTGGAGCACGTATGGTAGGTGCTTCCGTAAGCAAGGTAGCCGAGGTGTTTAGTGTTTCAAGAGGTACTGTATCGAAGATTTATTCCGCATGTTTGAAAAGCGGAAAAACATCATTTGCTAAATCACAGAGCGGACGAAAGTGTATCCTGAGTGATCGTGACAGACGATCATTAAGGGCAATTGTGACGAAAAATAAGAAGACCACAGCTGCACAAGTTACTGCTGAAATGAATGTTGTGTTACCGAACCCTGTGAGTACCAAAACAATTAGAAGGGAGCTTCATAAACAGGGCATTGCTGGCCGTGCTGCAATTGAGAAGCCACTCATCAGTGATGCTAATGCCCGTAACAGAAAAAGGTGGTGTTTAAGTGATAAAGCCTGGACTATAGTGCAGTGGAAGTGAGTAATATGGTCTGATGAGTCTTCTTTCAAATTGTTTCCCACTTCTGGCCGAGTTTACGTCTGGAGAACGCCATCTCAAGCCTATAATACAGACTGCTTGTTGCCAAGAGTGAAACATGGCGGGGGTTCTGTTATGATTTGGGCAGCCATATCGTGATTCTCTGCTAGCCCCATCATAACTGTGTCAGAGCACATGACTGCCAAGACTTATGTGAACATTTTGGCCGATCAAGTTCATCCCATGGTACAAACTTTGTTCCCCGATGGTGATGGTGTCTTCCAAGACAACAAAGCCCCTGTTCACAACGCTCACATTGTCCAGGACTGGTTTTCTGAGCACGAGGATGAGTTGTCCCATCTCCCCTGGCCACCACAGTCACCAGACTTGAATATTATCGAACCTTTGTGGTCTACATTGGAACGGAAAGTGCGTTCTCGTTATCCACCGTCAACATCGTTATCTGAACTCGCCACCGTTTTGCAGGAAGAATGGTATAATATTCCCTTGGCAAACATACAGGAACTGTATTTATCCATTCCAAGAAGACTGCAAGCTGTTTTGGATGCCAACGGGTTTCCTACACCATATTAAGCAAAGAAACATGTTTTTTTAAAGGTGTTTCCATATTTTTGTCCAACCCCTGTATATTTAGTCTAAAGGAAAGAATATTAAAATCATAATGAAAACTACTGTTAAAAAGGATAAAGAAAATTAAATATACATAAAGGAAAGGAGATTAAAATTACAATAAAAATAATGTTAAAATATAAAGAAAATTTAATATAACTTAATTTTATTACTTACAGCCATTTTGTATACATATGCTTAAAAGATTAAAATTTCTAACACGTGATTTGAACTGCTGTCTCTCTTATACTTGAAACTGAAGCAAATGACTCTGATTTAACAGATATAACATAGCATTAATTAAGCATTTACTGAATACGAAGACATAATACTAACTTTCTCAAGGACAATAAATCTAACTCATTTAAACAAAAATCAAAATATTTAATATTTTTTTGGTGAGTGTGTCTATTTAGGTAGCCTAGCTGAATGTTACAATGGCTAGCCTGTAACCAAAACTTAGCATCTACATAATTTTTTTATAAGTACATAAGCATTTACTATAATTTTTGGGGGTAACAAGAGAGAAAGCAAATGAAATTTTTTTCTCTGAACTATATCTGAATTTCCTTGTAAGTTTGTTATTCACTCCAATGATTAAAAATTCTTATGAATGTAACAGCAAAATTATACTTCCAAGATATACTTTGTATGGATAATATATGGAAAATTCTAACATTGATATCACTCTTGTTCAGGAGCCTCACTCTTATAAATGCTCTCTTCCCAACTTGCCTTCCTCTTACCAGGTTTACGTTGATGTTAATAGTGATGCCATTAAAGCTACTATTATTGTAGTAATCAAAAGCTGAATACTCTGCTTGATATTAATAATCTTGATTATAATATGGTGTTTCCTTATGTTACTCTCAATACTCATGATTTTATCTTTTTTTTCCCCATTATTTTGAACCTAATTGAAATATCGACTTGGATTTGCATAAAATCATAGCATTAGCTTTAAAAAATCGTAACAGTTTGATCTGGGCTGTGGATGCCAACAGCAAATCTCAAATTTGGCAATCTCAAATTAGTCCAGTTTCAGATTCCCGAGCTGTTAAACTTTGTGAATTTTTAAATATGAATAATCTGCTCATTATAAACGAAGACTGTGGTCCTACTTTCTGTAGTACTCAAGGTTCAAGCTATATTGACATTACAGTTGTAGGATCTTGCAGACATTTTGCATTGGTGTCAACCAGATTATGAATCCCTTTCTGATCATTGTACGATTGAGTTTGAAATCTGTAGCTTTTAATAACAATCTCTATGACAGAAAAAACATCAAGATTGTCTTCAGTGTAAAGAAAGGTAACTGGAATATATTTTACAATATATGTAAGCAGTCGATTGATGAGTTGTCGCAGTTTATTGAGTGCTGTACAGATAAGCATGCATTAAACTCTCGACTAGAAAATTTTGTCGCGATTCTCTAAAAAAAGCCAAGAGTTCATAAGGTACCTTGGTGGACTTCTGAAATCGAACGTATGAGAAAACCGGTTAACGCTGCTAGACGTAGGTTTATCTAATGTTATTAATATGATTTATAAGCAGGGTATTGTCCCCTTTATTTACTATGCTTCTAGAGTGTGGGAACAGCTTTAGAAAATATTAATTCCCATATACTTTGCAGAATTCAAAGAAGAATTTTACTAAGAGTTGTGCGTGGCTATAGAACAATTAGCTATGAAGCCTGTTTTGCAATTTCAGGATTTCCTCTGATTGACCTTCATGTTTTAAATGATAAAAAGTTTAAAGATACTATCAGCAAATTTATGTTCGATACCAAGGTGTTGTTTGAAGATCTTCCTTGTCCTGCCAATCGTTTGATAATTCAAATGATTGGCAGGACAATTCTGTTGATGAATCATTTATTCATGCAGTTTTGGGGGAGTACAAAATGTCAAAAATTTTTTGTTCTATTGTTCAAAGCTCAAGGAAGGACGAAAAGAACCCATTTCTAAGTTAAACTCTGTGAATATTACATTTCCTCCACCTCTTCACGTATTTGTCCAACATAAAATGACTTTCTCTTTCTTCTGTAACTTTATCTCTTACATGTCATCTGTGAATTTGTAAGTTTATTTTGTTTTGTGTTGTGTTGTTGTATTTGTTTGTTTGTTTTTTTACTTACCTCTGTAATACCTTGTGTAATACTATGTGGTGCACAAGGAACTTAAAATTTTCAATTAAAAAAAAAAAAAAAAAAAAAAAAGATATATACTTTAATACCATCAAGGATTATATCTATTGAATGTCAAATGATCATATCTATTGAACAAAAAATGTTAATAATTTGATAAGTAGCTATTAATTTTAGCAACAATTAATATAGAAAAATATATAAAATAATCAAGTATTTAAAAACCACAAAGTGCAATGAAAAAATTTTGAAAAATTATCTGAATTACTACTTGTGATTATATAAGAAGACTACTAATAATAATAAACAAGAATGTTTTACCTCTAAACGTATTTCAATTCCCATCTTTGAAAGAAAATTTCTTTGAGTTACAGGACCAATAACTACAGCTGCAAAGAGCCAAAAAATTACAAAATACACTTTTTAGAAGACAGTTATTCAAAATATGTTTTGGAAATGAGTAGTCTACATATCACTTTGTGGTTACAAAATCAAAAAACCAGAACCTTAATTTAGCAGAGTTGAAATTCCTTCATTATTGTAAAAAATGCCGATTTCATTACTTTTAGAAGAAATGATTGTGCAAAATGTCGTTTAACATTAGAACTACCAATGATTAAAACCCACTATTGCAACCACAGACACAAATTCATCATTAGTAGTTTTAATACTAAGTAGAGCTCTTTAACTCTTATATTTACATGAAGACATTTTATGATATAAAATTTATGACATTTTATGATATAAAAACATTTTAATTTGAAGATGTAAGAACTCAGACCTTGAATTTAATTAAAAAATATATATGGCATATCGTTTCCTAAAGCTTTAATATATATTTAATTAGTTTTATAAAGCTAAACGAGAATTTATATTTCTATGACTAATAACAATAATTTTATCAAAAGTAATAACAAAATGTATACACACCTTCTTATTAGCATTATATAGATGTAAAATATAAAAAAATACAGTGGCTTTGCTCTATGCAAACACGCAGTAATCATTTAAAATGAACAAGAAAATTTTCTCATGAACTTATAACTGAAAACCACCAGGAATGAGTACTGATTTCACTTTTACATTTAAAGATACTTTTACTTTTAAGATAATAAAAGGATATTTTTCTTAAAACGCTTTTTTAATTAGAAGAACTTTGATGTTAATATTACTAAAAAAAGACAGTGGTTGAAACAAAACAATATATCAGATATCACAAGAAAACCATGATTTTATCCATAGAAGATTTTGCTCCGCATATCATAATATATAAAGTGTTGTTTATTTTGAATTAATGGAAAAGTAAAAAAATAGTTAATGCTTACTTAGTGTAAGTATAGTAATTACTTAGTGATATCATTTAAAAGTAGAATTCTGAGAACGCTCATTTTGACATCTCCATTTTTATTGGACGTTAAGTTTTTAAATTCTTTATTTATAACTTTGATATTTGACTATTTCTAGAAAATTTAGAATATTGCATGATATTTTTTTTTTCATTGAGAAAATTATGGATTTCTTAACTTTTTTAACTATTTCTGGTTTGCTAATAGATAAACAAGTGTATTTTTGGTAAGGAAGATTGCATATTTCACAGAAGTGAGTGGGGAAGGGAGGAAGGGGGAATAAAAACAGCTGTTTGGAATTTTTTTTTGCGCCACATGTCTGCGCATTTCCCTTGTGTTAGAAAGCTTATTTTTCAGTAGACATAAATGTGCTTTACTTCATTTGGATAAGTTGTTGTTCTGACCTATTTATCATATTGTATAAAAGCATTGGTAGAAAATGTCTAACAAAGGAACGGTTGCTGAAAGTTTTTGAAAGTCTTTCTGATGATAATTCTGCTTCAGCGACTGAACCTGACGAAGAATTTCATTCCGAAACTACATCCAAGTTATCCAACGAGGACTGAATCATTCTGACTGAAACGAGTGAATCTGATGTGTCAGATGGAGAACCTGTTCACAAAACAGAAAAGGAAAGTAAGAAGTTTAGAACAAGATCCCAAAGACTGCAAACTGATCCATTTGCCCTTATTTCAGATATCTGGAATGCTTTTATAGAAAACTGCTTGAAATGTTATAAACCGGGCCAAAATATAACAGTGGATGAACAATTATTTCCCATGAAAACCCAATGCCGATTTATTCGGTATATGCCTAAAAAGTCGGACATATTCAGCATTAAATTTCAGCTTGCTACCGATGTGCAGTGAAAATCCGCTGAAATTAGTAAAAGGGATTTCAGGGATATGCTGCATTGGCACGATAAATTATTAAAAAAGAGAAGTATTTTATTCTTTCAAAAATACGAGAGATGAGCTTTGTTCTAGTGAGACTGCTAAGCTTGACAATATAATGTTTATGTTTTATCAAGGGAACAAAAAACAAGAACGTTCTGCTCCTGAGAACCATGCACCCAACATTGGAAATCACATCTGATGAAAAGAAATACACCGGAAGATGTGAATTTTTACAAGTCGAACAAATATGGAGTTGATGTTTTGGACCCGATGGCCAGAAAATATTCAGTGAAGTCCTCATCCAGCTGTTAGCCAGTTCAAGTTTTTTTTTTTTTTTTTTTTTTTAATATTCTTGATTTGGCTGTGATAAATGCATGGATAATTTAGAAGGAAACAACTGAATATAAGAATATCAGCCATCGTGATTTTATTTTGAATATGGCTGAGGAGCTTCGAAAGATGTACATTTCATCCAAAATTCACAAACTTTCTGTATTTAAAGAAAAAAAAAAAAAAAAAAGAATTGGTACTTGCAATCAACCCTTCCCGTAATTGTAAATAATGCCAAATAAATGCATGCAGAGGCAACAAAACTTTGAATACTGTAAAAAATATGTTTGTGGAACCTGTACAGGTAAAATAAAAAAATTAGCAATCTGTATGCACTGCAAAACTATGTGTAATTTTTAATATATTTAATACTGAAAATTTTTATGAGAAAATTTATTAAATGATAAGAAATTAAAAAATATCTAGTCATTTTTATTCTCTTTTAGCTCACTGTTATATTAAATCATCCTTCGATTAATATACGTATTTCCTCACTTTATTTCATTTTGCTCTTTGTTACATTAAATTAGTTTTTCGTTGCATGTGTTTACTCAATTTACTTTATTTACTTATTAAACAAGCAAAAGTATCATTATAAGCAGTAACTTTTTATGATATTAGCAAAGAGCAAGCCTTTTTTTTCTATTCAGAACAAGCAGTCAAAATGACCACTGATCATAGTTACATGTATGTGGTAAACGCTGTAATGCTAATGTTAAATAATGTGAATCAGGCTTTAACTAAAAATAGGCTTGCACTAATCAACAAACATCACATGATTTTTTGGCATGATAACACTAAACCACATACTTCAAGAATGACATGGCTAAAGGCAAGAGCTTGAGAGTGAGATGTTCTTACACAACTGTTTAAGAGTCCAGATATTTTCACCTCCACGTACTATCTATTTAGATTAACATTTCTCAACCTGTAGTACACTTACCCTCAGAGGTACACAAAATGGTCTTAGGGTACATGTAAAAAAAAATGTAATGGTGATGATCACTGGTGGATTGATTGAACATAAGAGAAAAGATAAAATGCTATTGTAACAACTGGTATTTTCAATCCAAATACTTCCCTACGAAAAATCAAAATAATTAAATTGAATCCAAAATAATTTTAATTAAAAAATGAATATTTTAAATTTAATTTAGGTATATATTTAATCTGCTGGACCAGTACCTGTTGAGAGTGATAAGAGTAAAGGAATCTGCTAATTTATTTGCTCCAGATGAAGAGGGACTTGTACCGATTTACCCTCGAAATCAATAGAATTTTTGACTAAATCTTTGTCAAACACAAAGTTGTTGCTTGCTAACTATACTCATTATTAAATTTATACAATATTTCTTTCCTCATTCTATATCCTCCTTGCATAACTTTCTAACAAATGCAATGGATCACAGCTTTATAGTGATACATAAACTAACAATATGAGCTTAATACATTTCTTTTCAATTTTAATATAAATTAATTTTAAACTCAAGCAAATTAATAATCTGGAGTAATCAAAGCTGATACTATTTTCAGCCTGTCTAAGAGTGAAAGGAAAAATTACAGTTGGGACTTACAAGAGACTATATACACAGGTTATCATAAATTAAGGAAAAATCACAAAAATCATGATTCCTGAAAAAGTTACACGTAGAATTTTATGAAACTTACCCACAATATACAACACATAGTAAGGTATCAAATAACATAAAAAGAAATTACCAGACAATTATGGTTGTATAGAAATTAGCATATGTATAAAATGAACAAATCGAAGGTGTCAGTTTGCTATAGGAAAAGTACCTTCAATATGGAATATGATCGCCTCTAGAAGCAATACAGCACATACAGCGATGTCTAATGCTTTCAATTATGCAGTTTATCAGTTCTATAGGAAGCGAAAGCCACTGCTCTTGCAAAACAGTTGCGAGCGCAGCAAGGGTCTGAGGGGAAGGATTGAGACTAGCTAGACGTCTCCCTAAAGCACCCCAAACGTCCTCGATAGGATTCAAATCCGGGGATCGAGCTGGCCACTCCATGCACATAATTGTTTCATGTTGAAAATAATCATTTACGATGCGAGACCTGTGTGATATTGCATTGTCGTCCTGTAACAGGAAAGCATCACCTATCACCCCGGCATAAGGGCACACATAAGCATCAAGGATGTCATCTCTATAAACCTGAGCATTCATAGTTCCCTTTGGAAAGACATGAAGGTCTATGTGTCCATCCAAAGACATGCCACCTCAAACACAGACACTGCCTCTTCCATATGCATCTCTTTCATGGATGTTTGACAGATAATAATGGGTTCCGGGTTCTCTTCATATCAAATAATGTTTACTATCGCTTTCTAGACTAAACCTGGACTCATACGTAAAGAGAACAGCTCTCCATTGATCAGGGGTCCTGTGGACATGTTGTTGTCCCACATATGGCATGACGTGAACAGCATGCAGCTGGTCGCCTCGCATACAGACCACCTTCGTGAAGCCTTCTATGCACAGTTGAAGTTGACACCTTCTGGTGGCTGCAGCAAGGAAGGATCTAAGAAGAGTCAGAGTAGCGGTTCTATTCCTGTGTGCACATAATGTCAAATATCGGTCATCAACGCTTGTTGTAGCAGTTGGCCGTCATTGGCTGAACCTCCTAGATGCCGAATCTGTGGTTTGAAATTGCCTCCAAATTTTATGTATCACAGGACTCACATTTAGCCACCTAGCCACTTCTGTTTGACTTTGTCCTGCCTCTAGTCTGTCTCCCAATGGCTCTCCATCATAGTTCTGCAGGAAAATGATGCCTGGAGGTCATTGCTACGATTTGGTTATCTCCGATTTCTGATGTCACTATCACAGTGAAATATGTGGGCTTGCTCTTAAACATGAACGTATGTTACTCGCAGATGGCGTCTGAGTGCAGCGCCCCTAATTTGCATATTGCAGTTTTAATCAGCTACTCTTACTTGGCAACATATTCAAATTTTACACAGTTTGGCTTATTTTTGAGGGAGTTATTGCTATTTTTGTGATTTTTCCTTAATTTATGATAACAGTGCATAACACAAAAATATTTTCACATGTGAGAGAAACCTAACTGTCAATAAATCTAAATTTAAAATTAATAACTTATATAAAAAATGCAGTGGTAGCAGCGTGGAGGTGGGAATAAAAGAAGACAACCCCCTATGGCTGAGAGTGTGTCAAAGTGGGTGCAATACTTTTGCTTACATCCAAAGCCTTCTAGCTTTACAGCAGTTTAGTACTGCTTCCAAACATGGCAGTTCTGCACAAATCGAAAGCAGGGACACTTCTGCATAAAAGAAATATTCATTGTTTGATGCATAATATAAATTTGTACAATTTAGTGGCATTTCTGCAGAGATCACACCATGGTTACCTTTCAATAACTTGCAACAGCAATTTTGGTCATGAATTTGTTTTATAAAATTTTAAACTATTGGTCTACAAAAATTTAGATTTTAGCAGTGTTTATGTTATATGTAAAGTATGACAAATGCTTTATGGTAACCTTTAAAATGTCAAAGTATTACCAAAATATAACACACTTCCTTTTGATGCCCTCGACAGTGATTTGCTGTTTTTATTTTATGTTCCAAATATCAAAATGTTTTTAATTAAATTCATTTTTTGCCATGCAACATAATATTGCAATCCACACTTTAAAAAAATTTTGGTGGAAAGGCAAATAAAATGAGCAAAAACTAATTTTAAACTCATCATTTTACTTTTATACAACTGAAAAATATAAATTTTGGGATTGCGTAGTGGTTTTCTAATTTTAAAACAATTTCAAGACATGAAAAAATCATCATTAATGTTATTAATTGGTATAGCAATACATTTTGCATATTGTTGCATTTTGGATTTCTTATGATTTTGATTTGTAAATTTCAGGTAATTGGGAATTAATTAGTGGTTTTAACTGTTTCAAAAATTGAAGCAGTGTCGGTATGTAGAGTAAGGCAATCAAGATTGTGATCTGATTGATAACACTGAGCTTAATATTTAAATATGAAATGGATAGTTATTTATTATATCAGAGAACTATTACATTGGATAAAATTACTAAGAGAGGTATTGCTCTGTTAAAATATATTTACTACAAAATTTGAACTTATAATGAATGTATCCAAAAATGTGTTTTAAGTCAAAAGTTTGAAACTTGATGGGTAAATGTAAATGTAAGATTTTGTATGTTAAAATATTTGTAATTTGGCACATAGATCAGCTTAAGTTTTTTTTAAAGAGGGTAAAGCATGCAAAGGCTATCTGCCTATGGGGAGAAATGCTTTCATGGAGGACTTTTGATGGAAACTCTGAGTGTGTATTAAAAATAATGCATGCAATTTTCATCCAGTTTAAATTTATATATATTTCTTATGTAAAAAATTCTGATATATGCTAAATTGTTGCAAATTACTTAAGTCGAAAAATATAGTGAATGCACAGAAATTAAAGATTTGTACATGCAGAAAATGAAAAATATTAAATAAATATGAGTATTTATGCACATTTTTGTAAAACGTATGCATTTGCCTCTAATAAAATATATAAATATTTATAAAACTATTTATAAATGTATTTGGAAATGAAGGACTTATTCATTCAGAAACTCTTGTGAATGTTACTGATTTTTGATTTGATTCCTCAGAAGCTGAAAATCATCTTATATTAGGAAAGTATTTCAGAAAGAAGCTCTGAAAATAGAAAAGAAATAACATGGGATTTTAATATTAATAATACAATAAACTTTGATTTTAATTTTTATAACTGTTAACTGAATAAAATTGAATTATCTTAATTTTTTTTTCAAATGTAATTAGCAAAACCTTGAGAAAACATTTTGTTCAAATTGAAATTGTTCTGGGAAAAGTATAGCATTTAATTCTGTTCAGAAGGAAATGTTAAAAAAATGTATTCTTTTGCATATTTAGGACTCTGAAATGTTGTAGAAAAAATATATACTTTTATATTTTTATTTACGATGTAATTACAAAATATTTACCTCCAATCAAGTCAAAAACTATTGATCTTAATGTTAAGTCACTTAACGTTTTGGTTACCAAGAGGGGTGTGTCACTGTTTCAAGGGTATGTGTGGGAGAAACCAGTTCAGGCATCTCTTCTCTTTTCTGATTCCATAGCTGCTACTTACTTTTTCAGCAGCTATAATTTTAATATTATATTCCCTGATACAATACATTAGATAATTATACATCTAAAGAATGCATCTTGAAATGTTTAAAAAAATTCAATAGAGGTATCAGATGTGAATTAGTAGTCCTTGCGTACTTTCATTCACTTAAGTATAAACACATCAATTTTGACAGGTTATGACATTCTGCACATAAATGAATTAATTTTAATAAAAATGTTAAGTTAATAACTACGAATTTTCTTGGATATGTACTGTCTATTTGAAATAGATGCAAATAATTTTAATTACATAAACACAAGCTTGCATTTGGGATCCAAACTGTTTTAAAACGAATTAATAAAAACTATTATGAACGCTATATTATAATCTATCAGAGCAATCAGCTCAATTCAAAAGCTAAGAAATATTAGACTGATTTAGAAATTTTTATTAGAAATCACTAATGTCATTTCATACTGAGTGTGTAATTCAGTAAGAAAAGAAAATCATTTAATACAGGATTAAATTTCTCTAATACAGCTGTACTTTGAGTTAAAAGTAAATTTAAATCAAATCTTATATAAATTCACCTTTGTTTTCAGCCACTTTGCTAATATATGAAAAATCCACATCTACTGTTAAATCAGCTTCACCTGGATCTTCTAATGGATCATGAAGCTTGTGATTTTTAAAACTCTATAAAAATTGCAAAAAATATAGTAATGTCTTTTCTATAAATAAGAAACAAAAATGCATTTAAGTAAGACTTTAAAAATTTTCAAAATGAAACATTTTATGCTGCCAGTAACATTAAATTTTGATACAGTAAAAAATTTCTAATACTGCCAATGGATTATATGCTTACTATTAACAAAGTTATTAGTTCATAGCCTAAATTAGATTATGTGTGCAATTTTTAAAATGCAATCAGTTTGATGTTACTTACATCTTTAGTAAATGGACTTCAGTTAATGTATACAAATATTTTTAGTACATTAAAGCTGCAGTTATCTTGATTGCTTACCGTTCTTTATAGGTAAAGTGAAATTAAGCTTGTTAATTTATTTAATGTTTCATCAAGGCACTCTTCTGTTATCGGTTACCAGGTTCAGAAATGTATGTATGTATGTATGTATGTATATATGAATATATGTGCGTGTATACACATACACATATACATGCATATAAATGAGCACATGCATACATACATTTCTGAATACAGTTCTGATAACAGAAGAGTACTTTCATCAAAATCAAGCATTTACACTGACTACCAATAAGTATTTGGACACCTGTGATAGAAAAGAAAAACTAACTTTATTCAAAATCAATAGTTGGTAGAATCTCCACGAGAGGTAATTACAGCATGGACCCTCCGGGGCATACTTTCCACAAGTCTTTGGCTAGTGGTATTTTCTTCCACTCGGCTTGGAGAAGACATAGAAGTTCCTTCACCGATTTTGCACAAGTAGTGCACCCCTGAATTCGGCGATGCAACTCATCCCAGAGGTTCTCGTTAGGGTTCAGGTCTGGACTCTGGGCAGGCCAGTCCATTCGATGAACTCCATTGGTACCATACCAAGCCTTGGTTAACGTCGAAACATGACAACTGGCATTGTCCTCCTGAAAGTAACAGGGGCCCAACCCGTAAAACTGCCACAACGTAGGAAGCACATTGTCATCCAAAATAGTGCAGTAGGTATTGGAGTTGAGCTTACCATGAATGGGGACCAAGGATCCCAGCCCATACCAGGAGAAACACCCCCAGACCATAATTCCACCTCCGCCGAACTTGACTGTTGGCACAATGCATTCTGGCAGGAGACATTCTCCAGGTAGACACCAGACCCAGACCCTGCCATCCGAACTATAAAGGGTGAACCTTGATTCGTCACTCCAAAGAACCCGTTTCCACTGATCTACGGTTCAATTTCGATGTGATTTGCACTACATTAACTGAGCAGCGCGTTTGGACTTTGTGAGCAAATGCTTATGGGCAGCAGCACGACCATGAAAACCAAGCAGATGTGCTTCCTTATAGATGGTATTCATTGAAACAATACTCCCGGATGCCTGTTGAAACTCCTCGCAGAGGAGGGCTATCGGTTGGGTGCGGTTCTTCCGAATTTCTCTGGACAGCACTCGTTGGTCTCTATCTCCCAGTTTCGTTGGTCTGCCGACTCGGGGCACATTCCGACAATCATCGCTCACCTTCCACTTCTTAATCACATAGGCCACTGTCGATTTTGGGTACTTCAGATCGCTAAATATGTCCCTTAAGGATTGGCCACATTTGTGATACTCTGTAATTATACCTTTCTCGAAATCTGAGAGCTCCGAACTGCGAAGCATCTTGCATGCGACTAAAGCCGATGCTGTTTCCTACACGATATATACCGGCGGAGTCCATGACGTACCTTAGGACCGCAGATATCGTCATTTGCATAGGTGTCCAAATACTTATTGGTAGTCAGTGTATTATAAAAGCAAAAAATTGATAATTTTCATTATATTCTTAAATTTAACATTTTATATCAACAAAAGAAATTATGTTTTAATTTTAGTTGAACCAAAATAATTTATGCAAATGAAAAAATATGATTGTTTTAATAATAAGTATATATTTTTTAATTAATAGAAAAAATAAGAACAAGATCACATGGCTAGTTTTAGAACTTATGCCAATGCAGATTTATTTCATTTTACTTTTTTTCAGTTGAAGCTGATTGTTTAGGATTAATAAATTTAATTATTTCGATTGTGACAAAACATGCGAGGGCTACCTGCCTAAGAGGAGGAATGCCACTGTGGAGGACTATTTTTAAGGAAAATTGGCTTGTATCTATTATACTTTTATCTAGACTGATGCAGCCAGCCCATTCACCTGGAACTGAAGTCAAAGTACCAGCATTCAGCAATTTTACTTCTTGGCTATCGAATAACCTTGATTGTTTAGGAAAATGGGGAGGGGATTCTTTTTTTTTTTTTTTTAATTTGGTTAAAATACACTGACTACAATAAGTATTTGGACATCTGTGATAGAAAAGAAAAACTAACTTTATTCAAAATCAATAGTTGGTAGAGCCTCCACGAGAGGTAATTACAGCGTGGACCCTCCGGGGCATACTTTCCACAAGTCTTTGTATGACAGCTAGTGGTATTTTCTTCCACTTGGCTTGGAGAAGACGTAGAAGTTCCTTCACCGATTTTGCACGGGTAGCGCACCACTGAATTCGGCAATGCAACTCGTCCCAAAGGTTCTCGATAGGGTTCAGGTCTGGACTCTGGGCAGGCCAGTCCATTCGATGAACTCCATTGTAACCATACCAAGCCTTGATTAACGTCGAAACGTGACAACTGGCATTGTCGTCCTGAAAGTAACAGGAGTGAACCCGTAAAACTGCCACAACGTAGGAAGCACATTGTCATCCAAAATAGTGCAGTAGGCATCGGAGTTGAGCTTACCATGAATGGGGACCAAGGGTCCCAGCCCATACCAGGAGAAACACCCCCAGACCATAATTCCACCTCCGCCGAACTTGACTGTTGGCACAATGCATTCTGGCAGGAGACGTTCTCCAGGTAGACGCCAGACCCAGACCCTGCCATCTGAACAGTAAAGGGGTGAACCTTGATTTGTCACTCTAAAGAACCCGCTTCCACTGATCTACGGTCCAATTTTGATGTACTTTGCACCACATTAACCGAGCAGTGCGGTTGGACTTTGTGATCAAAGGCTTATGGGCAGCAGCACGACCATGAAAACCAAGCAGATGTGCTTCCTTACAGATGGTATTCATTGAAACAATACTCCCGGATGCCTGTTGAAACTTCTTGTGGATGAGGGCTATCAGTTGGGTGCGGTTCTTCCAAATTTCTCTGGACAGCACTCGTCGGTCCCTATCTCCCAGTTTCATTGGTCTGCCGACTCGGGGACATTCTGACAATCCCGCTCACCTTCCACTTCTTAATCACATAGGCCACTGTCGATTTTGGGTACTTCAGATCGCTAGATATGTCCCTTAAGGATCGGCCACATTTGTGATACCCGATAATTATATCTTTCTCGAAATCAGAGAGCTCTGAACTGCGAGGCATTTTGCATGCGACTAAAGCCGATGCTGTTTCCTACACGATATGTACCGGCGGAGTCCGTGTCGTACCTTAGGACTGCAGATACCGTCATTTGCATAGGTGTCCAAATACTTATTGGTAGTCAGTGTAGTTTTTGAAGTTTGCTTTAAGGAAAGAAAAATACTTTATTTTTTAAACTCGACTTTGCAGAAATAAAATACTGTAAATGAAAACATACAATTCCCTAACTTGCATTACAGTAAATACCTATATAATTAACAGAGAAAAGACCATCTATTAATTTTCCAAATATCTTAAACAGCTGTAGCCATTTTGTGACAAAGAATTTGGTATATCTTTTGAGCTGCCATATAAACGTTTTACTTGAGGCAAAAAAAAAAGATCTATATATTGCACCAAAATTTGTGCACTTGTTTTGAGTAAAAAAAAAAAAAAAAAAAAAAAAAAAAAAAAAAAAAAAAATGTTTTTTTTTTTTTTTTTGTTTTTTTTTTTTTTTTTTTTTTTTTTCCTATCCATAGATAATATGTAACATATATAAGTTTATTTGATATATTATGTAGGTAAGACATCACCAATATTAAAAAGTAAAAATTATGAATACTAGAATATATTACATATTGTACTAGTAAATAAAATAATCTAAAACATACTGTATATTTGAGAATACAGCCTATCATACCCATGAAATTTAACTTATTTTAACTTAATAGACAAAAAGCATTTTAACTTAAAAGACAAAAAGAAAAAAAAAATAATGAAGAAATGCAATTCTTGACTTGTACAGTGCAACATATTATTTCAAAGGATAATGGAAATAAGATTCATTTATTTTTTCTTAGCATTATTATTATATTAATAGTTTCTACATTAAGTTTTAAGGCATTTACTATGGTATATAAGAACTTTAAGAGCAAGACTCTTCTGATAATATGTTACAAATGAAATTGATTGGAAGAAAGCTTATCAGGAAATTTGGATGATAAAGATAAGTTGCTCTGTTTGATAGCTAAGATTCACTACCAGCAAATTTATAACTATAAAGTTGGAATGTTAGCTGAGAATTTCAGATTTTTTTTAATCACCTAAAATTATACATCAGGTTCTGCAAGGATTATTTTCATTTTCCATATTCATTTACATTGGCCTGAAGCAACTTAATCATAGGAAGACAGTAAGTAGCAGGTAAATCCAAAGTGTTACTCTGAACTGTGGACACTTTGCTTACATTCTGAAAATTACGATTTACAGAACTTATGGAAATTTTTCCATTTGTTGCTCGGAATCAAGCAATATGACACCACAGATATGGGGGTATAATTGTATACAAAAAAAGGATAAAAAATTACTACTGTCTATCTATCATAAGAACTACTCTTGCTAATATGTCTGACTAGAACTGCAGTAACAGATCTTATGCATCACTGCAGTAACAGATCTTATGCATTTCAAATAAGAGTGAGTCTTAGGGTTTCATTGTTAGTTTGGTTTTTAGCAAATGTTGGCCATGGGAGAGACAAAATAATGCTACAACGAGTATGCTTTACAAGTTACTTTAAGCAAACACCATTTCATCATTAAATCTATCAAGATGATAAATATAAATACATTTTTCAAGACATCTCTATGGAAAATGGGTTAGGGTTCATTTCTATGACAACAAACAGATATAGACATTCTGTCAAAAGGTGTTCTTGTAGCAGACAGAAGGATCCACAAGCGGCCGAGCGGTAAAGTCACTGAACACTGGTAGTTCGGTCCGAGATTCGAATCCTGCAAACGGGCTGGCTGCATGGGTGTTTTCGTGGTTTTCCCCATGTGTAATGTGTATACGAGCCAGTTTCCCTTAGAAAGTCCTCCACAAAGGCATCCCTCCTCTTAGGCAGATAGCCCTCGAGGCTTTGCCATAATCACACACACATATAGCAGACAGAAAGCACTTAAATTTTTTAAAGTGCTTTCTGTCTACTAATAAAGCTAAAAAAAAATATTTTAACTTTTTTTATTTTGAAATTTAAAAAAAAAAAAAAAAAAAAAAAAAAAAAAGATGATGACTTACCATTGAAGAGTAAATAGTAAACTGGAAATATTATTACAAACAAAAAATTTGATAAAATGATAAAAGTAAAAAATACAATAAATAATATTTCATATACACTTTAGCTTACTTACTATTAATAAAATATTTATTTTTGAACACAAGACTTTAGCTTACTTACTATTAATAAAATATTTATTTTTGAACACAAGACTAAAATATAATAATATATTGTGTTAAGTTAGTCAGCTACTTAAATAAATTAAAATGCATAATTTTTATACATATTTACTTAATGTATAACAAATTAGCCAAAAAAATACTTTACTTACTCTAAATGTATCTGTTTTTTCTCCATAGTGTCCGTAATCAACAATTAAAGTTATACCACCATCTTCTTTCATCCTTTTACATACATCATTTAAGAGGATGCCAATTTCTGGTGAGATTTCAACATGATCATGTTTTTCTGAAGGCTGCAAAAATGATAAAATTGAAGGTTAAAAAATACATACGAATATGAATAAAAAATCTATGAAAGTAAACTCACTTTCGATGTAAAAAATAGGTACTACTTGAATTTCATGGTCCATAAGATAAACTGCCAAATTATGCAAAAAAAAGTAATCCAATGAAGGGCAACCACAAACACTTTCACTTTTGACTTCCATTTGCAGAATTTATGTAATAAATAATAACAAGCAATAAATGACACAATAATAAATTATTTCAAATATTCAATACAAAAATATATTTGAATTAAATCCAACAATAAATAATAAATACGAGGGTTAGAACTTTAATAGTGGCAACACAGCTGCATAAACACTACGCAACAAAACCAAAGAATATTGCGTATACCACACATGAATTACATATGTACCTTACCTTTCAGCAAAAAGACTCGTCCTGCCTACGTCACGCACGGAGTGACGTGAAGAATGAATCCTTGTATTAGCTTGTGGTCTAAAGTAAGTGTTGTCAGGATATTTTCAAAACAAGAACAACGATGTTGGATAAAAATTGAATGTGCGAGAGGTCGTACAGCACGACAATGTCATCAAGGGCTTCAAGAGGCTTGTGGGGAATCTGCATTGCCTTACAGAACCGTAGCAAGATGGGTGAAAGCATTCAATGAAGGACGCCAAAAACGTGGCAGACATGCTGCGGCCAGGTCGGCCGAGTGTCAGCGATGCAGACATGCAAGCTGTTGCCGCACTAATGGACAGTGATCGCCGCCAAACGATTCGTCAGCTGGCTGGACAAACAGAATTAGCGCATACGACTGTGCTGCCCATTCTGAAGGAATGCCTGTCCATGAGAATAATTGCTTCCCAATGAGTTCCATAATTGCTTCACAATGGGTTGCTTCATAAAGATGCTTTTTTATGCCGTATAATTAGGCTGGATGAGACTTGGACCCGATCGTACCAGCCTGAACTGAAACGCCAATCAAACAAATGGTGTCATCACGGGCCACCACGACGTTCGAAATTTCGTCAGAACCCCAGCAATGTGAAAGTTATGGTGATTCTCGTGTACGATTGTGATGGTGTCATCCTAACGCATACCGTTCCCCCACAGCAGACCGTCACTGCGCAGTATTACTGCTCATTTTTGGAGCACAATCTCCGACCAGCTTTGAGAAAAAAACGACGACACTTTCTGCAAAATGCTCCTCTCATTTTGCATGACAATGCTCGGCCGCATGCAGCGCAAGCTGTGACTGATTTGTTCAAGCGATGGGGCTGGGAAGTGCTTTACCATCCACCATACTCTCCAGATCTAAGCCCTTGTGACCATGACTTGATTCCTAGGATGAAGGAACCACTTCGTGGCACTTGCTTCCAAACTGTTTCTGAGATTCTTGCAACAGTAGACCGGTCCATTCAAACTATCAACAAAAAAGGTGCTGCTACAGGTATTCTGCGACTTCCACATCAGTGGAAACGGGTTGTACACAATGCTGCCGACTATATTGAAGGACTGTAAAACATGGTGACACGAATCACTTCTGTATTCCTTGTAAATAAATAGTTGCCACTATTAAAGTTCCAACCCTCATATAATAACAAGTAGCTTTAACAAATTCAGTGATATAGTGAATATTGATAAGAGTTTGTTCACACAGCTAAAAAAAAAAAACTTCTTGCAGGATACTTTAACAGTGGGTATTTGGCAGTTTATGTTGTATCAAGTTGCAAATTGAGGAGCAAGCAGGGTGATATCATTGTAGACCACATACTAGAAGGATTGGCAATACATCCAGATTGCTGGTGAGCCTATAAAACAGATGAGCTTGAAAAGGCTGGTTACAGCCATTTAACTGTGAATCACACATTTAATTTCACTGATCCCAACAACAGGTGCTCACTGCCAAAATGTGGAGCTCTGTTAAAGGGTGAAACAAAAAGCAAAGAGGTATGGCTGAACATCATTTAAAGTCATATCTTTCCAAATACATACGGTGGAAATGGTAAGCTTTTTGATGCATATTAAAAGCAAGTGCGGAGATATGGCAGCCACAAACTATATGTAAGTAGCTAAACTTGGTGTTGTATTGATAAATAAAGCCATGAAAATCATATAGTACTAAAATGTATGTCCTTAAATATGAATATTAATTATGAAATGAAGAGAAGCTGGACTTTTTCTTTTTAAGACAGCACATTCAAAATAATTTTTTACAAAAAGAATAATGCACCAACATTATCTATTTGCCATGGCTAGATTAAATGTTTTGTTCTTGTTTTTCTAGTATGTACTGTCAATAAAATATTACGCTTTCAAGCATTTATCATATTGAAGCACGTATGAAGTTTTATTATTTGAATTTTGCTAAACTAGGATCATACAAAAAATAAGATTTTATAACGTCAGAACTACCTACAGAATTGAATTTTTTTAATAAACTGCTTATTTTATTTCGAGAAACTTTATAAAGGAAGTATATGTCTAGGATCAATATTTAAAGAAATAAGCTACAACAATGTTTTTAAACTTTTTTTCATTATATACATACTATATTTAAAAATTATCCTTTATTTATTTATTTATTAATGCATGAATATGTATAATTAAGGCATAATATTTAGATATCCTAATTTGCTAATGTATATATGCATATAATTAAGACATAATATTTAAACTCCATTGTATGCTAAAATACATTAAATTGTGGTAAAAAAGCTGAAAATAACACACATCAATGAGCAGTTCAGCTGCAGGTGTTGTATTGCGAGACAGAACATACTGCAACTTGCCATCTCTGAAATCTATTAATATTTCTTTCCAGCCATTATCTGTTTTCTGTAAATATTCAAATTTATCATTAAGAAAAAGAGAACAGAATATTTGCTGCTATTACATACAATACAAAAAATAAAACTAAGAAATATATAATACTTTTAAACTTTTCCATAATAATATTGACAGAGAAATTTAAAAAAAAATTAAACATGAATATAAGTGCCATTTATGCATTTAGCTTCCATATATAACAGAAACTCCTTAGACAAATCTGTTTAATGATTATTTTTAATCTTTCATTCAAAATACAATGAAAATTAAATTTCAGCAACTAGAACTTTTAAATTTATGTATTGCATTCTTCTAATATATATCAGTTTTTGAACTTTCATCTCATTTTATATGTTTTTCTTAAAAAATTTTTTTTAAATATTATTTTTAGAGTTATAATCTTTAAAACACATGGAACCATGATAACAATACATAAATACCTAACAAAATCTATTAACATTTTACATATTAAAAAAAAAAAGACAACAGAAGTTTATAGACAGATGAGATAGCCTGAGACTGAAACAAATGAAAATTTTCTAACATTATTAAAACACTCTATGAAATATTCCACTTATAATTACTTATACATGTTATCATTCATATAAAAATTAGATACTAGAAATATGTACATAATACAAATTAATTAATTTAGGTCAGATATTTTTTATAATTTTTTAGATTTTTTAAAATAATTTTTGTTTTTTAGTAATTTTTCAAATTCCAAGCAGAGGTTTACAACAACTTCTCGTATGTTACCATTTTAAATTAGGGATGAATGGTTGAATGCCTCACTAATAAAATTTAATGTCATTGTATCTTCTTTTCACTTTGAGGTATAAACTTTTATTACCAAGTCTACTTAAGTTCTGAATTATACTTTTGCAAAAATAACAAGCGTAACTGTAAAATCGCTATCAAAGGTAAGACTGTTCAAACTGCTTACACTGACGAGTTCTATCATAGAGGAGAATATAAAAATAATAAAATAAAAAATATAAATTTTTAAAAATTACTTGAAATTTGTGAACAGGTAGAACATCCAAAAATTCATGTGCAAGGAAGAAAGAAAAACTGTCAGGAACAGTATGAAGATGTGGGTGCCACGTAACTGGAAAGCCATATTTTGTCTGGAAAGTTTTACTGTATAAATCTTCATACTTATTTTCTTCATAGCATAATTTTGATTTCTGCATATGACAGAGATAAGGGCTGATTTCAATTAAATGGATAGAAAAGTCCATACCAGAAGTCCCCACTTTTGAAAATGTCTGAAAGTTAATTTAACACATGGAAAACAATATCTCAGCAAGAAATAGTACATTAACAAATTTCAAATTAAACGGAAAATCTTTTATAAGAATTTTAAAACTAATAATTTTTTAATTTGGCATCAAAATACAGTTTACATACTAAGAAAGCTATCTTGTAATTTTTTATTCATGGTATAAGAAAAATTGTTAGAAATATTTTCTTGAGTATTATGTATACTTAATCCTCTGAATGTGGGATTTTTGAATAATGCATTCCTCTTTTATTCTAAATACACGTGGAGCCCGTTCTTCTCCCATTGGCAGAAACTAGGATTTCAAATGCGGTCAGTTTCTCATGAAGAAAAGGTATGTATTTTTTTTTAATGTTTTTATGAATTTTGTATATTTGGTTAAAGAAATGTTATGTAACAAATTTTAAAAGCAATTTTACCAGCTAAGTATTTTCATCACTTAATATAAAGTATTAAAATTCTCAGAAGATTGCAAAATGCTTTAATTTTTTATTACTAATATAACATATTAGAAGCATTATGTGAGATATTTTTTTTAATAATTTATGAAATTCTTATATACTTAAATTAAGCATGGATGAGAAAATGAAACTAAATAATTCTTTTTACTTTTTTAAAGTTTGTTGCTGAATGTTCTTAATAGACTCTTCACTGAGACAGTTCTTATTTAGTTTGTTCTTAAAATTAACCCATAAAAATGGAATTAAATCTGGAGATTTTGGTTTTGCACACTGTGGCTGATGGCAGGTTACTAAAAATCTATGTTTGAAACTTTGACTGAGTTGTACAGTGTGAGAATATTATGTCACCTTATAATGAAACGTTTTATTTGTTTTTTTCCAAAAATATGATGAACTGCAATTAAAAAACAGACAGCACTTTTCCTTCAGTTATGAATTCTAAGAAAAAATAACCAACAGTTCATTTGAGCAACATTACATTTCAAACACTAATTTTTTACAATTAATGTGATACATAAAAAATTTTTCTGAACCTTGAATCCTGCTGTTTGACTACAGTCAAAAGTCTTTAATCCAAACTCGTCGGGACTTCGGCGATTCCTGATTATCGATTTTTCCGGATTATAGATCATCAGTTTAAATCTGGTAAGATGGCATGCAGAAATTATAAAATTAAAAATATGAAACCGTAATTTATAAAATAATGAGCAATTATAATCTAAAGGGTATCAAAATTTACAAAAATAGAAGCTTAATATTTATTTGTTTACTTTATTAAACATTTCTTTCAACGCGCGCATGCGTAAAGCATACATTACGCATAGCCGAAATTAGAAAATTGCAACCAGAAAACTATTTGATTTGTATTCGTGATATTTATAATGACGAGGAATTTCATTTAAATCATATCAAAGATGGAGTACATCGAGATTAAATACTACATTTAGTAAGGAATTATAAGCTGAATAAAATAAAAACATCTGCCCTGAAGATAACGATAGTGCTGACAGATCAACTTCCAGTTCATTCCGCGCTGAGACGTCCCCCCCCCCCGCGCAGAGCAGCGTGAAATTGATAAACAGATTTTCGGAACCATTAGATAAACAAAGGATATGCCTTTATCCATTTTTTTGCAGCAATTCCACGTTTTTGTTTGATGGACATCGAAACATGCTTTCGTTTTCTAGATCCTTTGGGGCTCCACCATCGGAAATTCTATTTGACATAATCGAAAGTTCAAGCTTATTTTTATTAAATTGCTCTTACAGTCTGCAAAAAATAATAAGCCGGATCTAATTCGAAGATTAAGGAACAACACAATCATCAACATTAACTGAAATAGATAATTAGATAATTTTAGTTTATACCGTCCATTATACATTAAACGCGCACGCGAAAACATATTCTGTGCTTGCGCAGATGCATATGCGCAGTCGTAAATGTCTTGCATGCACGCGTAAAACGCCTATGCGCATGCGTAAACGTGGCGCATGCGCAGAAAGATTTTAGCTTTGTGGTCCGGATTATAGATCATTCCGGATTATGGGTGTCCGAATTAACGACTTTTGACTGTATTTGCATAGTTGTTCAAACAGCAGCTAACTACTATGTGTCAGTTTCAACAAGATCACAAATGTCCATGATAATTTATATTTTATGCTCACTTTAATTAGTGGGCTGCTTTTGTATGGGATATGCATTAATTTAAAGTATGAAAATGATCTAATAAAGAATATTTTTTGTATTGTTTTATTAACATGGGCCTTTTACATTTTAAATATATATATTAAAATATTCATTTACACTTGAATGAGAGTTAGAAATGAATTTTTAAACAAAAGAGATTCTAAAGTAAAAATGACAGTTATTTAAAAATAAAAATTTCTCATTCAAGAATCAAATATTTTGATATCTAGTTGTTATTCTTATTTTATAGTAAGAAAATGAATTCTTCGTTAAAATTATTGAATTGAAAAGTAATTTAATAAAATACACAGACATAGTTACTTTTTTTTTGGTTTGTTTCAAAAACAAGCAAAATCACAGAAATCCTTATGTTTGACATTAACAATTAATTTTAGCATTTTAAAGAAAAATTTATTTATAACTTTAAAAAAAATTCAGGCTATAATAATCAATGACTGATGATAAAATTTTTCTAAAGGAGGGGGCAGCATTCCCCCCCAGCTACAGACTGCCACTTTCTGACAGAAAATTAAATGATCATTTAAAGTAGACAATATGAGCTGCTAAATAAGCAACTTGAAAAATACCTACAAATTTATTAATTATAAGTTATTAAGAAATGGAAAAAGTAGTTTAGAATACACCATCCCTAGCAGCACTCTGCTAATCAATATAAATATAATTCCTCTACTTTTATTATAAATTTCAGAGTTTTTATGCATACTTCAAAAGCATAAAATAAATTATTTTCTTTAAAATGATAAAACATAACACAAGACATTTATAAATACTATTCAACAAAGGCACATAGATCTTCTTTTTGAATAAATATAAAATTTTTAATTGGAGAAATATGCTGCACTTCAAATCATCAATTTCCTTATGTTAACTTTTAAATATCAACTATATCTATTCTTTATAAATCTACTTACTCGAAGTATATCATCAGCTAAAGTACCACGTCCAGGTCCAAATTCTACCAACTGTAATGGTTTAGGCCTTCCAACTTTCTGCCACTCATTGTAAAACCAAACTCCAATAAGCTGCAAAGGTTTAAAATGATTACCATATATCCATTCGAATACATTACAATAATCATTCAGTTTAGGTTAAAAATAAATAAATGGAATAGCATAAAAACAAATCGAAAAGTATTTTATTGAATAAATTTTATAATGGTTTAAGCAAGTATATTTTCTAAAATTTACTATCCAATTTATATAATGATAATAACAGAAACAGAAGATTACGTAATTATTATAATAACAGAAACAGAAGATTACGTAATTATTTATATTAGATGGTTACTTCGGCAATTCACATGGTATTAAAAAATTCTTTTAAATTAGATTTTTAATTTTGGAACCGCAGCATTCTATGGAAGGGTGAAGATTACTGCAATACCAAAAGCATATCTTCATTCTACATATTTACTTTAGATTATAGATTTTATTACACTCTACTGATTGAATACACAAGTTTCATCTATTTTGGTGGATGTGGGGAGTTTCTCAATTAGTCTATCCTATACATTTTCCCATTCAGATGGCTTCTTAAAAGAATTCATTTGAACATCTCAGCATTTTTTAAACTGCATACCTGCTAACCTACAATACTCAAAAATCAGCAAATTTTGTTAAGAAATCAGGAGTTTTTTTCAAAGAAATAAAGATTTTTTAAATGATAAAAATATATTTTTTTAATAAAGAATTAACTTTAAATAGTTACTAATTCATAAATGCAAACAATGCAAAAATACTTGCATGTAAAAAACATTTTTATTATTTTCATCTTTTAACAAAGAAATATAATACTTAAATCAGTTTTTGTACAAACGCTATGAACAGTAGCAGATCTTGCTTTCATTCGTAGGCCTGATTTTGCAATAAATTTTTTCTGATGAGCTTTTAGTAATATTAGATCTAAACTGAGTCCTTGTTTTCACAACAACACTGAAAAATCCTCTTCACTCTACATTTCTTTGGAAAATTGTCAGGATGGCCAACATTATTCTAGACAGTTAACTATCCTTTAAAATTCCATCAGCACCTTTTAGTTTTCCAATTAAACTCCACTGAGTGTCAATCCTAGCTGGTTTTATAACTTTATCAAAGTTTTATAATTGGAAACTGCAAAACTGAAACTGAAATTTATCAATTGTAACATCAATATCAGTGTCATCTAAATTAAGCAAAACTGGAAATCTATTCAAAAAAATATCTTATATCAGAAAAAGATGCATTTGCTAAAGGAGGAGCATTTGCAACTTTACCATGTAAAATCACTTCATAGTTGATTGGGAATTTATGTAGTATGTAATTACATACTTGGTAGAAGTAGTTTTTAGCATAGAAATAAAATTTACTTTTGTTTTCCTCTGTGCAACCCCTATTATCAAATCTTCATCTTTCTTCTGATTTTCTACTTCACCATAAATCACATCATATATAGGATTAGAAGACAAAACAATGACTGGTTTTACGAACTTTGATAAAATGTCTTTAAACAGATCATAAATCATTGATTACAAAACATGATTCCAGTTCCAGTCGCCATGTCTAGCTTGCTAAATATGCATGCTGCAAAACATGAATTTTTATTTATATAACTGTGTGAATGAATGTAATTGAATGAAGGCAAAATGAATTGCACAAAAAAGCAAAAAGCTTTGTTAAGATCCGAAGACAAAAATGTAAATATTGGTTCTTCATAAAATAAACTTGCAGTAATCGGAAAATGTTTCCCTTGTTGAGCAATTCTTTATATTTTGAGAGAAAACCGTATCAGCTTTATGCTTTTATTTTGTAGTATTATTTTGAGAACTGCCACTTAAATTGCTCACTGGTGCAGAAATTACTTTTATTTTTCTCAAACCAATTTTTAACAGTGGAAGTAGAATTACATCTCCATTTACTTTAGGTATTTTATAACTTTCAACAATTTTTTATTTTAACTCCAGAAGCATTTACTTCTTTAAAAAACTCAAGAAGTGGGTTCCATTGGTTGAGGATTCTAGATAAATCTTTCTTTAAAGATAGTGAGCGTGTGCATATATGTTTCAAAACATTTCTTCAGCATTACGCAGCTGTTGGAATTGTTTCAAGTTTTCCTTCCCTTTACAACTCCTTTCCAGATAATAATAAATATCATCAACGTGTTCATCCATGCTTACTAGTAAAGAAGCTGCCCCTAATAATTTGCACATCTAAATTTTCCTTTTTTAAGATGCCTGCAACACCAGTCTTCAACCCTACCATTACTAGTGCATTATCGGCACCAAGTGCTAAGACATTATCCACAGGAATTGCATTTTCTTTGAAAGTTAATAATTAGTTGCTTTATGTTAAAGCCAGTCGAATGCCCTACTAAAAGTGGATACAGAAAGTAAACTGCACTCAATTTCAGATGACACTGGATTAAAAAAAAGAAACAATGATTGGATACAGTTTTGAATTAGTATGTTTGCTTCCATTCATATAGAGGCAGACTGGAACTGTTTTTATTTTTCATACTCATTTCTTTAATAATTTCAGCCAGCCATTTCGGTCCTTGCATTTAAGTATTTCTTAGCGATTTTGCTATTGGGAAACGTTTTTATAAATAAAGCTGCAGCATGATTCAATGCATTCAGTGGCAGGTTCTGCTCCAGTGAGAAGGCAGACAACAGACATTCTTGTATTAATAACATTTTGGTTCTTTGTTTTCAAAAAAATTTTATTTCTTTTTTATGACAGAACTCATATTGTCCTTATGCATTTTTGTAGACACATGTTCAAGAACATTGGCCCTTCCATGCAAAATCAAAAAATCGCAATGGCAAATGGTAGACATTGCAAATGTATCACATTTCCTTGAGGAAATAATAGAAGGAAAGTCATCTGTGTATGATTTTTGAAAACTACATGAATATTTTAGCTTTTTTGCAAACAAAACAACAACAACAACAACAACAAAAAGATCCTAATTTCTAAAACAATTTATCAAAAACAAGTGCACCACGCCCACACCGCTCAATGGTAAGATGAACAAAATAGCAACCTCAATCTTGCTTTGTGCTCCTTGGGTAATATACACCAGATGACATACAGTGGTCCTCGATGCTCATTGGAGAACCAGAGCAAGACATTTTCGGATACATGTGCTCTCACTCAGAGCAACTCAAAGCAGAAGCATGCCATAATCACTCACCATCACACTCAAAGCAGAAGCATGCCATAATTTCTCACTGATGAAACGACTTTGGTTTTCTTTTAAATGTAATATAGAGAAATACCAAGTGCTTTCAGAAATTACTTCTTTTCGTGCAAATAACGAAGTATTAAGCTAAGCTATATAAAAATAAGAAATTTCAAGAATAAGAGAAACTTGGGTAAAATATATTGTAACTCGGGTTGGTGGGAGAATGGTTGGAAATCAGGAGTCTCCTGCCCAAACCGGGACAGTTGGCAATGAAACTGGATGCCCATTTGTTGATATATTTTAAGTCGGTATAAAAATTTCATCTGCCTGAAAAAATGGTACTTATATATTGTCCTGTTAACTGGCCAAGCAGTACAATTTAGTGCTAATTATGGATGACCCATTTCTTTAGAATTCTACTGTAATGATTGATGACCATTGCCAAAATGCCATCAATGGTCGATATAAGTACCTTATAAACTTAGCATCATTAATTTCTTATGAATCTATTGACACTTTTACCTCTTTCTGAAATCAGTATTCATCATCGAGAAGCATTTCACATTTTTGTTTTAATATTCTAAATTGTTTATGAGATTTACTTTTATAGCCAAATTTTTTATTTGTTTACCGTAATTTCTGGAAGAAATGCCGCGGCGTTTACGTGTTTAAAACTTAAATTTTCAGCGGGTGCGGTGTTTCTAGCCATGCGGTGTTTAGGTGCACTAAAATTAAAATATTTTCTATGATGGTCATTGTACATAGTTTGGATGGCCTTGTCATTGTGCATAGACTGGTGCTGTTCCCACACAAAAGACCACTCAGTTATTTTGTTTACATTCTTTCCCTTGAACGGACCTACATGCCTTATTCACCTTAAACGGGATCTCGAAACAATAACATTCTTCTCTCTTTCAAATCAGCATTCTCATCAGTTTGTTTTCTCTGCCATTCGATGGCAGAGAAGCATTCTCATCTGAAGACTGAATCAGCATTCTCATCAGTCTCTCTTCTCTGCCATTCGATAATTCTTCCAAAACCCATCTTCTCCCCACCCCTGCCTTTTCCATTATAAATCTATTACAATTTTTTTCAAAGGCGGACACACTCCACCTGCTTTGCAGTAACGAATTCTGACGTATTTTCCCTTCAGCACAAATCGATTTTTCTTGGCATTCTGCCAGATACAGACCCCATCAGTTTGGGCACAAGTACTTTTGGATAGTTTTTAAGAGCGGACAGTGAGTTTTTGAAAATTTTTGAAAATGACACCTAAATGGCACAGAAGCTATACATTTCTTACCTTTAATTATTTTTGAGTTATGGTTTCATTTCATGCATTTTTCTTAACTGGTATGTCACATATCAAGACTAAGGTTGAGTTTTTGCATCTATACAGCCCACGACGATGTCACGCGCAATTTAATCTATTGCGGCGTTTACGCTAATGCGGCGTCCTGTGTAATTTTAATTTTTTTCCTGCCATTTTTCTCGAGTGCGGTGTTTACGCTGATGCGGCCTTTCTTCTGGAAATTACGGTATATTATTTTTTAACTCAAGTAACATATGTTAAAAATGCAGACACTTGTTTTCTTATAATTGACAATCAGAATTTCAAGCAAGGTTTTTCAAATATTTCTCACAAATATTTCTTTTGTCTTCAGAAATAACATACGAATGAAGCTCGCAAAACATGCTTAAATTTATGATATATAATTCTAGGTTAAGAAAAATAATTAATGACAGGCTAAAAAACAAGCGTATTTATAGGTTTTATCAAAACAGAGGGATGGCAAAGAAATTCACAAAATGGAATTATCCTTTTCAAAACAGCATGCAGGATTAATCTTTCATTATATGAAATGGTCATATATGCAACAAAGAAGGATTTTTTTTTCCAAAATTGAGGAAAATGAACACCAGACCATTGCTCAACATAAATTTTGATGCTCCAGAAAATCATTTGAAAACACAAACAATGACTGGTACACAGTGTTTTAGCCAAAAGGCAAACATATGACTAGTGAAAAAAAGTATACAAACTCTTTTGCAAAAAAAAAAAAAAAAAAAAAAAAAAAGTTTTTGATGATCTTCTGTATCTGAAGAACAAGTTGTGTCTGCAATGTCTTCAACAAAAACTAAATAAATCAACAAAAACAGAAAGTTTTGAATTTTAGATTTTGGAAATTTTTGTGAAAACAGCTAAACTTCATGCAAGTTTTAATTGTTGCAATATACTTAATGAGTCTGATAAAATAAAATAAGCCTTTTCAGATGCAGACATAGTTGTTTTCTCTATTGAATCACAAGACTATTGACAGATAATTACTTAATGATTATCTGTCACTAAATATACATATCCCTTCAAGTTTCACTGTAAAATTTTCACTATACTTTTTCTTTTTAAATAAGTTGTTGAAAACTTCTTTTGTGACAACCTTATATTATAGATCTATTATATGTTAATAGAAAACAAAAATGTAAAGAATAGTTGATAACTGATGTTAAGCAGAAGTTACTCTGATGAGCATATTTTATTTCTCTTACGTGTTTCAAAATGCATTATTTGTAGGAAAAATAAAAAGCACAGAAATACTAACAAAAATGAAATCCCAGTGTTGGCTAACACAATTAAATTGAAAAAAAAAAAAAAAAAAGGATTTGTCAGAAGCAAAATATCAATGAAAACTGACTTGACTTATCAAGCAATTACAGCTAATAGCAATATTTTATGCATGTAAAATAAATGCTAGTTTGTAATAAAATGAATAGATGAACACAGCTGATGCTAGACTTTCTGCCACCTGGTAAAATCTCTGCTGCTCCTACATTCTGCTGTACAGTATAGCAGTGTTGGCACTACATAGTGCTTGCTGTTCCTGATCTAATTACTAAAAACAATTCATAAAATGAAACTTTAGTAGAGAACTTTGAAATTAATTTAAAAATTATTAAAGTTCAATATTTGAAATCTCTGATGCAAAAAATATATTAAATTTTTTGTTTAATGTATTTTTTCCATACTTATTAAAAAATAAGATACACCTTTGCTTAATACATTTTGGTTCTAAAATTTGGTAAGGTCTTATAAAAAGGTATTTTGATGAATACAATTGTAGACAGAGAAAAAAAGTTTAATTGTCATACTATATAGAATAATAACATTATTAATACTAAACAAATAATATGTCAATTACTATATACATAAATTGCATAACTACTGCTAATTATAATAGTCATATCTAGCTCAGAGATTTCAGGCACCTATTGCACTGAAACTCTGACCATCCTGAAAACAAATAAGTAATGATATGCTACTACTAACATTTCCTAATTTTTTTTTCTATTCCATAATTATTACATTTAGTTAGGTTGCTTATCTTTTACTCTAAATTAGAATCACTTCTGCTTTTTATTTCTTAATATTAATCCAAAAATGTAAGGTGTGTCTTACATACAAGGAAGTCTTATTTTTTAAACACTAAACTCAGTGGTGCAACAGCCCTACTGGGCCAAGGCCTGCAGTACCCTCAATGTTTAGTCCCCAAGCGAACTTGGTACTCAATTTATCAACCCACTCAAGGGATGAAAGGCTGAGTCAACCTTGCTGAGCCCGGGAATCAAACCCCGGACCTGCGGTGCTGCTGCTCAATGCACTAGGCACCTTATTTTTTAATAAACAGGCAATTATAAGATCAAGTAAGGATAACACCAATTAAAAATTTATCTGATTGTTACAGGAGAATATTTTATACTTATTTACCTATTTTATCAAAACATATTGAGATACTGTAAATTATTAATCATACATTTCTATTGTGAAAATAGAAAAGCACAATAAAAGGAATACTAACTTCACCAAATATTTGAGAAACTTCTGGCGATGTAATAAAGTCACCAGATCTACCAAACACATCTCGATTCATGTAATAGCCCTTAGAAAAGAAATTTCATTAAAGAAAAATGATTAGGAATCAATGCTCACAAATAAATTGATACTCCAAAAACAGGTATTGGTAAAATAAATTTGAAAAATTAAACAAACTTACAGTAACAGGAATTGCTAAAGCTTCTTTCATATAATCAGCTACAGATATTGGACCTGTTGCCTCTATCTTAGCACGTAAATAACTCAGAAGCTTGTTTTCTTTTGCGGTGGCATTATGAGTTCCTTTATGGAAAATGAAAGAAAATTTATGTAAATTCTATTTGTAACACATTTTCCAATTTCCTGAAAAAAAGCAGCAACTATAAAAACAAAATTTAAAAAATTTCATTTTATTTAACATTAATTTTAATTTTGGTGCAATATTATTTTCCCTACATTTAGTAAAAACACAGACATACACATCCCACAGAAAAAAAAAAAAAAAAAAAAAAAAAAAGTGTAACTACCTTAGTAAAACTGCCCAAATTCAAAATATCTTACACTCTGATAATAACCACATGCATAAGAAATTCAGTTTTAACAAGAAATGTCTCCTTTTCATACATACTTTTTTTGTTGTATGCTAAGTTTCAGCTATTTTTGTAGACAGATAATGACTATGTTCTTTCATTCGGTTTTAAAATATGTGCTTGTGGAATGTTACGGTGAAACACCGAAATCTGGAGAATGTCGACTTCACCTGATGTCACATTCACATGCGCTTGGGCATGTCCAAATTTCCAATACTCTATTCGACTTACCCGGTAAATGTCGACATTCACCATGTGCATTGGTAAAGTTTGACATCGAATATAAATTTTTTCTCTCTGAATTCAGTCTCTAAAAATGGTCATTCTGCGCAACGACATTTTAAAAATCCGCCAAGGCGGTACGTAAACTAGTATTACCGAAATATGTCTTCTAAGAATTAAGAAAGTATTAGCAAAAAAAAAAAAAAAAAAAAAAAAAGAAACATCTAACCAACTTTAAAATGTTTAATTCATAACAAGTAAATATTCGCTTGTTAATCTTGATTAGAACCTGGCGATTTTGGCGAAACTTTGGCGACCAACCTGCTACGCACCTGCTCGTTTGTTTTGGACGCCTTTGTTTTCACAACTAAAGCAATTTTTTTTTTTTTTTTTTTTTTCCTTACTCAACATTTTTTCCAACATCTGCTAGCCGATTACACTTTCAGACTTTTAGGACAAAGTGCTTAATCATACGAAGATTAGGTGCGATTGGAGAATGCAGATCGCTCACTGCTTGCCGCGTTTTAGAATTGCCATACACGGTATCCATGTACACGTCAACCTATTTTCCTAAAAAAACATCCCAAAATTGCATAAAATGGCATTGCGCACACTCTTGACTTTTCCTGACCTGCTAATCCTAGCTAGTACCTTAAGCGCCTTATACCAATGTCGCCAAACTACTTGTTACCATATTCCAAAGATTAGCCTAAGCTTTTTTTTTTCTAAATTTTGATACCCTTTAGATAACAAATGCTTTATTATTTCATATTTTTAATTTTATTATTTCTACATGCTATCTTACTAGATTTAAAATGATGAAAAAAAAATCCGGAAAAATCCCAAATCCAGAATCGCAGAAGTTCCGACGAGTCCGGTTCTCGGACTTTGTACTGCAATAGATTTTCTGCACTGCATCATTTTTAGATAAAAAAACTAAAAATTTTGAGTTCAGGTTCTGAGATAGCTATATATCATCAGCATTATACAAGCCTTGCAAGATGGATTGATTTAGAAATGATGCAGTCCACAAAAGCTATTATTACAATTTCTTACCCCTCAATTTTGCAATCTAGATTAACATGACGAAACATTTTATACGATAATCTTATCCGAGTTTTGATATTATGTGTAGTATTCCTTGTATTCTCTCCTTAGCGAATAGGTAGGATACGAGCAGTGGTAGCAAATACCTGATTTTTCCCTAGGAATGTTCCTAATCCCCAAATTAAAATTTTTATTGAGGAGAGTCACTATGGTGAGAGAACTGGTGAAGTACTTTTTCATCACTTGTACGGCCATACTTTTGGTACAATGTGCTACCATACTTACATGCATACACACACAATATACTGTTGCGGATTTGGTATTTAAATAGCTAATGTTAGTAGACTTAAAATTAAATTGTTTATATTGCCTGTGCAGTGCAGTGTGTGACGAATATTATGAGAAAGCTAAGCCAGAAAAATTAAAAATACAAGCGCATGCATTAAATAAATAAATATCTCTTTTTGACTCGAAAAGTACTGGAAAATTCTAGCGCGTGATTTTAAAATCTTATAAAAGGAGGAAACATCTCATTTGTAGTAGTTGCTTATTTTGTTGTTTAGAAAACTGCTCTTGTTGATTGTAGCGAATTCGCGATTAGCTTCTTTAGCTTTTTAATTCTATTGGCATTTGAAGTTTAAAAGTAACTACTGGAGATATTGTAATACGTCATGATAATTTGAGAAATTTAAGCATTTTTTGTGTACTAATAATTTTGTTCATTTTTCATCGGACTTGTGCATTCAATTCCAAACGAACCCGTACGTACACAACACTTTTTTGTGTCAGGAGTGGGGTTTGAATACCAATTACTAGAGCGATGGAGGAAGAATTGAGGCAGCTCATTACTGCTTTTGCTACATTCCAAGAAAAGATGGAAGCTGACTAAGCATCATTAAAGAATAGATGAAAGATTCTGTTAAAGATAATATGAAATCCATTAAAGTCGAGATGAAAGCAGGTTACGAGGAAATGAAAAGAGAAATAACCTGCATAATAGAAAATAAATTCGAGGCTATGGAAGACAGAATAGGAACTGTTGAAAATAAAGTCAGACAAATTGAAGAAAAGATTTCTTCTGTTAAAAATCAAATAGAAGAGAGAGTTTCAGCCGCCCAACATCGAATTGAACAACAAATTGAAGAAAAAGTATGTGTCGTCCAAGAACATATCGGACAACAAATTGAGGAAAGGGTTTCTGCTGTCATTGCCAAAGAAGTTAACACTTTAAAGAAGAGCACAGCAACAGAAGAAAGCAGTTCTGAGAGTTTTAAATTTTTATCAATGCCTCAATCTCTGAGAGCAGATGCAGCGGATATCCTGCATATGCTTCCTGAAAACCAGAGACTAGACTTTGAAGCTCTATCCGTCATTTGGGAAAATGTTTTGAAAGAGACTACGGCGGCTTCAACTAAAATCCCTTCAACCAGAAGGCCCCTCTAGAAAAACTCCAAGGGAATCGCCACAGATTTTGAAAGGCTATTCCATCATCTCGCCTTTTCAGAGCGCCCAACAAACGAGGGAAAATCCTGTCCTGCATCTTCATAGTGGCATTTTGTGGATTCGAAATACAGAAAGCTCTGCAAATGGCGGATGTTATAGAGATGTAAAAAGCGCTCTGTTGTACACGAGAATTGGATGAGCTCAACAAGCACTCACAGAGATCGCTACTCATCAGAGCTGTGCTAGTTCACAACCAGTGGATCAATGGATGGCCGTTTAGATGATTTAATTAAAATCCCCCCCCAGAAACACTCAATGCTTTGTTAGGCGGTAGGATTTTGACCAAGTGGCCTAAGGTTGGAGATGTCGGTGCTGAAGTGGCACATATTATGCATAGGCAAGAACACACACACGGGGGCACGGATAATAAACGGATGATTTTAACAAGACCCGTAATGGGGGCTTGAGCTGGGGAATATTGGTGGAAGAAAACCGAGCCTAAAGGGGGCTGGGAACTGCGGGTTTTGAATGCCACATCCAAGGAACTGCAGAAACACCCCATAGCACAAAATATAAAAAGACAGTTGGAACGAGACAATTAAATGCCTAGGACTAAAAAGAAGTGACAAGAACCAGCGTGCTGGACTGTGAGCGAAGGCAAGTATGAGGAATTGCGAACCTCCAGGTATGGAAAATAAGACCATTCCCGCAACAACGAGTAAACAAATATGACCATATCGAGGAACGGAGGTTGCCAGATAGTGAAAAACTGCTTAAGCTCTAAAATTAGCAGTGATAAGCAACATAATTGACTATCCATCAATGGGTATATCGATAGAGTCCTTGCAATATGATCTTGACACAGCTAATTCACCATCATTAGGAAGATTTACCAACATTTTAAGATAAAACTTTTGGACGCCATCCTGTGTTACCCTCCAGACTGCGTCTGGCAAGATCGAATAGCTGGGAAGTTAAGCTAGAATATCACGTATGGAAGTGCCGCCTACCATCACACGGCATATGTGGCAGATATTACAGATCCATGCATACTCGGACTGGACTTTTTAAGGAAATACAATTTTTCCTTAGACTTAAAAAAACAACAAACTGCTTTCAGCATCTGAGTACATGATTATCCATCCTCAGAAGGGATCCTCACCAGAAAACAATGAAGCCTTGTCTGAAAGACCCAGCTCAGAAAGCTGTCGAAATCATACTACGGTCGGAGAGAAACACCAGAAAACCGGCTATACCCATCACAGATGCTCTTCGGTCGTGCCCGTCATCTGCCTTGTGATCTCTTGTTTGGTCGCCCTCCGGATGCTACTTCATCACCTGAGGAATATATTCAAGATCTCCAGGCTCGGTTTGAAATGATGCACAACTTTGCAGGAGAGCGAGTGAACTTGGCGACGGAGAAGATGAAGACCCAATACAACACAAGAGCTACTGAACATCAATTCCACGAAGGAGACAAGCTGTGGTTGTGGAATCCGACTTGACGGAATAGACTCTGTCCGAATACATCACTTGGATGGTCCTACACAGTCCTAAACAGCTGATGCATCATGTTCGTATCCTCAATCATCGAACGTAAACCTAAAGTCGTCAGTACGACGGTTGCTCATTACTATGGCCGGGTATTAGTGTAAATATGTAAATATTGCAAGACCATGTCCCTTTGTTTCTAAATGTTATTGATTTGATTGTATTTAGTCTTTGATTTGTTTTAATTCTTGCTTATGCCCAAGTTGTAAAGTTGTCTTCCTGTTGAGGATTGAGGCTTGGACGTGCATCCTTGGGAAGGGGCAGTGTTACAGATTTGGTATTTAAATAGCTAATGTTAATAGACTTATTAAAATGTTTATATTCCCCGTGCAGTGCAGCGCGTGACGAATATTACGAGAAAGATAAGCCGAAAACATTAAAAATACAGAAAACGTGCATTTAACCTTTAATAATCAAATAAATATCTCTTTTCTGATTTTGAGAAAATTCCAGAAAATTCTCGCACGATTTAAAATTTTATAAAAGGAAGAAAACCTCTCAATTCAGTCAGTTAGTTTGTTGTTGTTTTAATAGTTTGTTTAGAAAACTGCTCTTGTTGACTGTACCAAATTAGCTTTCTGTAGCTGTTTTGAATTAAGTTCTGTTGAATGTTTGAGTAGTTAAAAGATAACTACTGTGAGATATTGTAATACTGTATGAATATCTGAGAACATTGAAGTATTGTGTTTTATTTATTTGTGATAATAATAAATCTTATTCATTTTTCATCGGATTCAATTCCAAACGAACCCGTACGCACGCAACAATACATTTAAACTTTATTAGTAGTAGCAATTTTGTAGGGTACTGTTGTTATACTAACTCTCCGAATGTTATGGTCGGCTTTATCCGGTCATGAGATTTTTTGTCATTTGTTATATATTAGCTTATAATTTATTATATTTTGCTTTCTTACTTTCTTTAATAATATAAATACTATCTTAATAAATGTAAGTTTATGAAAATAGAGCCTAATGTAAGTAAATATACAAATTTTAATAATTGAAATATCATCTTAATAAATATAAGTTTATGAAAATAGAGCCTAAAGTAAGTAAATACACAAATTTAGCTAATAAAGTGTCTTTGAATACAGTCTTCATGACAGATCCAAAAACCTGTGCCACTCAGAGGATTAAATTTCTTTGACATAACTCGAGCATACAAGTTATTTGTCTACCTTGGCTTTTGATTTTTGTGTCTTTACATTTTTTTAATATGAAGTATATAATGTAACAGAATGTTATGGCCATAAGAATAAATTGAAACTTTTAACTTTGATTTGTCATACAATACTAAAAGCTAGTCATTTTTTTAAGAAACAAAGGCTTGTAGGTATCATAGCATTTTGGCATCCCATAGCTATCAGCAGTTCATCACACTGATTTGCACTGTAGTGGACCTGCTCATTTTTGTCAAAGTTTGTTATCATTGAATTTGATTTTTTATGTATATCAGTTATTTCATTGCTCTACAATATGCAAGTCTATTTTTTTTTTATTACGAATAAGTACTATAATAGAATTTCATAATTGTATTTTGGAAAAAATTTCTATTGATAATAAAGTTGAGTTTTTACAAAAGATTGAGTTTCTACAAGCTATGAAAATCTGAGACGATATCAAGACAGCTTTTCAAGAACTTTATACAGCATGAAGAAGAACACCTTGAATACAGGAACACTTTTATATTTTCAAGAGCTTTACAGACTTTCAATTTGAACTTTTCATTCATATCATTTTGTTTTCATATTTTTAAATTTAATTTTTTACATGTTTTTATACATTCTGAGTTTGAAATTATATTTTTATATGTTTTTGTATACCTAGATATTAGAAAGTCGGCGAGCCAAAGATGCAGCAAAACAAAACCTCAAGGTTATGTCCCTTAAGCCATTCATTTGCTTTCTCGTACAAACTGTGCATACTGTATAATATTTCTTTGCTACTGCTCTAATGCTTTTGCTTTCCTGTCACCGAGCCTTTTTCTCTTTGAAGGAGGGGGATATGCAAGATAAAAAAATAATGTAAATCAAAATTATAATTTAAACTAGTCCCCCCTTCTGTATTCTAAAAATCGTAATAGCAGCTTTTCTGGACTACGTGATTTCTACATCAAGCCATCTTGCATGGCTTACATAACACTAATGACATAGCTAACACAGAACCTGAACTCAAAATTTTGAAAACTGAAACCTTTCGAATCTAAACCTAAACCTTCTCTTTTTGAGCCTCCATATTAAATAACTGTCTACTTTTCAGCTTCATCCTCTGTGCTGCTTAGATACCATTTTGCTGTGTTCTCTTTCTATTGCAACAGTCAGTATCAAAAATGAAAAGCTTCTGGAAATAGGCATGATTAGAGTGGCAAGTCAATTGTAGGAACAAATGTCAATTTAAGAAAAAATGGAATTTAATCTGCCTTGACTACCAAGTTTCTTAATCACTATGGATTCAACAATTTAGCATATTATGCAATAAGAATTATTCCTCTTCAATATGGATCTAAGTTCTGTGAAATCTACATGGAGGGCCTAACAAAATAGTAGCAATAAAAGAAAGCCTTTTTTCAAAAAGAAAAAAATAAAGCAGTACTGCTAATAAAAATTTAAAGTATAGCTACTTTATCAAATAAAGAGATGCCAGTTCCTTCAGAATTCCACAGGAACGACTGGTGTAGCTTTGATGAGATGTCTACCAACTTTCAAGTTTGATGGGATAATATGCAAGTACCGAATAAAATTTCTTCTTTGATATTATTTTATGTAAGACTTACTTTCAAGGAACATGAAAGAATGTTTCAACATCAATAAACTGGTTTTTGTATTAGCAATAAAAATATTCTCAATAACTATGTTGGAAAAGTTTTAATAATTTTTTAATTCCCATTCACTCAATAATGTAAATAATTAGTTTTCGTTCTTCTATAATGTAGTATGTCATGTAAATGTTAACAGCAATATTCTGAAATCAGTTTAGGAAATGCATGTAGTAGACTATAAAAAAGAAATCGTTTACTTCTTGAACAGCATTACATAAAATATATGGTGAAATATAAACTTCTGTTGTCTATACCTAAATTATATATGACAAAAACAATTTCTATTCATTACAGGTGGTAGATTTTTAATGATGATTGCATAATTTAGGACATTTTTGAATATTGCAAATAATTTTCATTGTTTGAATATGAGATGGTAAATGATAAAGAATATCATATCATCTAATTAGATTTACTGCACATTTCACAAGAAGTATGAGGATCTTGTTTTTATGATAATCCTACTAAAAGACAAATAAAATACAAAATCATACCCATAAGAAAATGCCCACAATGAGAATTATACTTGTTCAGTATTTCTGCTTTCTGTACATATATTATATATCACAAAAACAGATTATAGTTAAGATCCGGACATTTTCTAACCAGCCCATTAATAAATATTTAATAGGATTCTTTATTTTCAGAATTAGTTGGGATGAAAATACTGTAAAGATACTATACCTCTGCTAAAGTATGCAGAACAGTGCTTGATACCAAGCACAGTATACCGCTGTTTAAATAAAATTTTCAATAGACAAAACATAGAAAATATGCAATATCCAAATTACAGTTTTATATATGGATTTCTACAAGAAAAAACTTAGGTACAGCTTTCTACAACATAATAAATGTTGTATTTCATAATATCAGCACCCAATCGTTAGTATTACTAATACATTCCCAATTCAATTTAGCTTTAAATTTCTGCAATTAAACGGAAAATTTGGGCCGAAAAAGGATTCCCATTACCAAATTTATATAAATCAATGTTTACAATGTTTCAAATTATGACAATAAATAGTGTTGCCATACAAAATATGCTAAACTCTTTGTGTATTTATTTTTAGTCTTGTTTAGAGATTAAAATTCCCTAAATTCCCTATCATCATCTGTAATATCCATAATTCAGAAGTACTTCCAGAAGGTATTCAGAAGGTCTGCAGAGACATAGATTGCGCTTCTCAACTTCTGCAATTTCTAGTTAGTAAGATTTGGGGCAATTCAAAGAAAGCAATAGACAGTAAAGCAGACAGTTCTCTGTTAGAGCGAAAAGCTCTTATTTTACTTTTTTTTTTAAGTCGACAGGCATTTAGATATGAGCTTTTCAATAAACTGAGTAATAAAACTGACACTTATAAGAAAAACCAAAAAAGAAAAAGAAGTAATGCGTCGGGTATGATGACAGAAAACTATAACCTTTCTTATAAATATTCTCTTTGAAGACTTCTTTAAGCTCAAGGTCGAAATAAAATATCCTCAAGCATCACATGGTATGTCTCAGCAAATGAGATAACGAGTTTTTTAAGACTGGACTCGGGTGAAATTCTTTATCTACCTTGTTAATTATGTAACTATAACTTCTGGAGCATATAATCCTTTAGGGAGTTTAGGGAAAAATGACATAATTGAGGGACATCTACATTTGGGAAGACACGACTGCCCCGGGAAGTAATGCGTAAAGTTGAATTATAGATTGAGTTCGGAACTTCTTGCGATTTTAAATTTATAAGTAAATATGGCACCGGTATTCAGTAAAGTTGCTGCTCGTAATTCAGCTGTGATAGCTGCATCAGTAGGCGTAGTATATTGGATAGCAACTGTACGACTTGGCAGAGGAAGGCGAAAGTTTGTATAATTATTCTACTCTCACATTACAATTTATATTGCCTCTGTAATTCTTCCTATCGATCTTCATTTACAGTTTATACTCATTACCTCACTTTGAAATAACTAGTTAAATTTTAAATGTACCATGTTCTTACATAAAGTTCATTATAAATTGCAGGTTTTTAAATACATACTGATGGATTTTTAACTATTCACTGAGTTTTTTATGTATAAAATTTGTTTAATATGGCATATGACATTTATTCAGTATTAGGGCGATTTATACCATAGGCAAAATTCACTTATCATAGGAGTGCCTAAAAGTAGTACTGGAAAATAGTAATGAGTATCCAAAACACTGCATATTTCTGATTTTAATCAACAGTCGATATTTAAGATCTGTAGTGCTTTATATAATAAAAACAGGAATTTGAACTTGTATGCTTATATTTAAAGCTCATTCATTGTCATGAACTATGATTAGTTGTTGACAGTTCTTAAGACAGATAAAAGTTAGGCATAAAAATTTGTAAACACTTAAAAATTTTGCTATATTTGTGAGCTTTTCAGTGTTTCTAGGTTTAATCCTAGTATCCGGTGCACACAGGATTTGGCTACTTTTCGCGACTTTATGATGAGCAGTAAAAACCGGACATTGCGATAGTGTTAACGGGTCATTCAAAGAAATATATAGTTAAACATAGTAATACTATTATATACACACATAGTATATAGTGTATAGTATATAAAACGTTTCTTTGGATCCTTTTGGTGTTGGCGATAATTTTCAAAGTCGCGCCAAGGCTGCACCGTATACTAGGATTTTACCGTGTTTCTATTTCAAACAGATTTCTGATTATGATATTTTAAAATCATGTAACAATTTGGATACAGAACAAAATCATTTTTGATTCATAGTGAGGAAATATGTAAGCAGCAACAATTTTTATTATTAAAGAAAGCCATACAACACTTTCATTATGGTATGAATGGCATTCTGTTGGTGGATTCAAGGGTCTAGACTAGTCCTATAACATTTTAGATTATAACTCTTTCAACTGAGTCTTTGCTTAGCATTCAGAAGCATTAAATTGAACATCACTTTATTTTATCGGAGACAGCATGTTGTTCAAATATAGTTAGATTTTCAGGCATATTGGACACATATCATTTATCTCTGTAAGAGGAAGGACTAGCTTCTTTTCACCTATTCTTATAACCTCTTTAAACAAACTGTTAATTGCTGGCAGTAGGTCATAAGAAATTAAGGTACTTACGTATTAACGCAACCAGGCCAAAATTCGCATAAATTGCCAAATTTGGCGACCCTACTTATGGCAACCCTATGTGTTATATGTAGTTTTGTAAAAAGAGCATGTGGAGATTCACAAAATTTTCCTGCATTTTCTTGCAAATTTTTCTAATTTATGAGAAAAAAATAGCAGTGGTGATGGATAAAGTCAAGAGTGTGGCACATGCCATTTTTGTGCATTCTGGATTTTTTTAAGTAAAAATAAGTCGACAGTACATGGTTATGGCGAATACGGTTTTCAATCAGTGCTAAAAGCAATAGCCAAAAAATTCCGCCGAAAAATAATTCTGCAACTTATTCAAATTCGAAACCGGAAGGGTGTTAATTGCTATTTATATTTTAAAACAAAATAATATAAAAAAAACTGTATTAAAAATTATTTAATTAATAAATGTATATTTTCTTTCTATTCATATTTTTTTACTCAAACTTACAAATAGCACCAACCTGGTTGCGATAATACGTAAGTACCGAAATAAAAAAATTTTTTTTACCATTATAAATAGAATTAATGCAATTTTTAGTATTATACTTTAGTCTTTGTTCATGAAAGTATTTTTGTGGTATGTGAAAGAAACTGAAGTCAAATATATTGACACAGTATGCTTAAAAAAAGCAGTAAGTAGTATTGAATTCCCATACAAGAGATCATTATGAAGGATGTATAGACAAACTGTGAAGTATGATAACTGGTAATGTGTTAATCAGTTATCATGTCACAATCTTGTAATTTTATTTATATCTTGTGGGATATAGTTTTCAAAAGAAAAATAATCACAAAAGGGACATAAAGAAACATACGAGGTAGATTCACTTCGTATGTTCTTATTTGTACAAATATGAAATAATATATCCACTTTTCAAAAGTGGAATATTAATAGTTTTTGGAATGAACAAAATGCAGCCTGTAAAATAGTCTGTTTCACTGGTTTTGTGTTATTTTTGCAATAGAATTTTCTTAAATGAATTATTAATTTTTGACACCCATCAGGATAAAAAATGGCTAATCTTTGGAATATGGTAACAGGTAGTTTGGCGACAGGCAATAAAGGTTACTACCTAGGACTTTGGGAATAATGTGAGAAGTACTCAGTTCCGATTACGCATTATTTTGTGTGAGGGAAATGAGAGATCATGAGATATGTCATGTGACATTTATGGACGAATCATAGTTCTTTAATTGGAAAAGGGGGTAAATTTATAAAAATATCTGCCGTACTTTATAGCATTAGCTTCATTCTATGTTCAGTGAAAGTGTTGCGTAATATTTGGATCCCATGGCCCTATGTAAAGTAAATCCGTGTAATCCAAAAGAATGGCTTGAATGGTGTATGAGTGTAGGATTAGTTGCGGATAAGTATGAATGTCCAATATGTGGGAATGAAATGAGATTGTGTAAAAAGATGGATATTACAGAAAAGTTTGAATGGTGGTGCAAGAAATCTGGTGAAAAAAGACATTTTGTGAAACGGAGTGTAAGGAAGGGTACGTGGTTTGCTGAAAGTCATTGAGTATGGGTGAAATTTATTATTTCTTATTAGTGGTGAATAGCTGCCAGTTGACTACTGGATTTGAATCTACAAGAAAAGTTTAACTGTCATGCAATCAAGATTGTGAAGAAGATTAGGTAAGTTAGTATTTTAATCATTTGAGGATTATTTTTATGCATTGTTCTAAATGTAAGGAGTAAATAAATTAATATGGTATTATAAAATTGTTATTAGCATGATTTAGTTTAAAGTATTAGATGTAATCTAATTTTTTATTAATTTAATATAGTGCTTTTTATATTTAAGTTGTTTTTTAATTTATTATATTTAATTTAATGATCGTGATTTTGTGAGTTTATATTGTAGTTTTTGGAATATTTTTTGAGTAGAAGTAAATGTGCATGGAAGAATTTAAATAATTGACACTAAGTATTTGGAACCATTTTTAATGTTGCGTTATAAATTTGCAGGTGACGTTTATAATAGATAATTTAGAGGGAAAGTTTTTGGATATTTTTTTACAGTCAAAAGTCTTAATCCGGACTCGTCGGGACTTCTTCGGCGATTCCGGATTATAGATCATCAGTTTAATCTGGTAAAATGGCATGCAGAATTATAAAATTAAAAATATGAAACCGTAATTTATGAAATAAAGAACAATTATGATCTAAAGTGTATCAAATTTACAAAAAAAAAAAAAAAAAAAAAAAAAAAAGAGCTTAATTTTATTTCTTTATTTTACTAAAAACATTTCTTTAAATGTAAGTTTGTTTAAGTTGCTTCGTTTTTTATGTGATAATACATTCTCTTTAATTCTATAAACAGACATAATTCTTGTTCAGTTACAAAGTTCCGCTGTTTAAAGTCCTATAATTGCTGTGTTGAAGAATACGACTAATTTGTCAATCGAAATTTTTTCGTTTTCAATAACCTCTGTCATTTGCTTCGCTAAAAAATCCGAACGAATTATATATGAAGGCATTGATTTAAAATCAATCATCAAAGACGGAGTACAATCGAAATGAAATACTACATTTCGTAAGCAATTATGAGCCAAATAAAATAAAAACATCTGCCCTGAAGATAAGGATAGTGCTGACAGATCAACTTCCAATTAATTTGTGCGTGTCGCGTGTTAAAGATAAACAAAGTTTAGATAAAGTTTAACGTAAGTTTAGATAAGCAAAGGATATGCCTTTTATTTTTGCTGCAGTAATTCCACTTTTTGTTAAAATAAGACTCCGAAACATTCTTTCGCTTTGTAGATCCTTACATATTTGTAAATATAAATCGGAAAATTCTATTTGACATAATCGAAAGTTTTCAAGCTTACTTTTATAAAATTGCTCTAACAGTCTGTAAAAAACTAATAAGCCGGATCCAATTCGAAGATTACGGAACAAGCAATCTGCAACAATTACTGAATAAGTAGATAATTAGAGCTTAGCTTATACCGTCCATTATACATTAAACGCGCATTTGTAAACGTATTTTGCACACGCAAATTCGCAGCCGTAAAGGTCTTACGCGCATGCGCAGAAAGTTTGTAGCTTTTAGGTCCGGATTATGGGTGTACGAATTAACAACTTTTGACTGTATTTTATACGTGCAAATGTTCATCCTTGGAAAGGGTATATACTTTTTTTGCGATCAGGTAATTTCATATATGTTCTTACCGAATTTAAAGATTCACAAAATTTTCCTGCATTATCGTGAAATTTTTCTAATTTATGAGAAAAAAGCAGGGTACATGGATATAGTGAAGAGTGTGCGCAATGCCATTTTTTGTGCAATTCTGGGATGTTTTTTTAAGTAAAAATAATCTTGTTTACGTTACTGTGTATGTGCGATTCTGAAAAACGCGGCCAAGCAGTTTGCGATTCTGCACTTTCCCCAATTTTGCAGTTAATATTTGTGATGATTAAGCGTTTGTTCCATAAAATTTCTAGAATAAGTGTAATTCGGCTAGCGATTGTTGGAAAAAGTGTTCAGTTAAATAAAAAGAAAAGAAACATTTCTTTACTTCATGAAGACAAAATGCACCGAAAAAAAAAAGTAGAAGGTTGCTGTAGCAGAGTTGGTAGCCAAATTTTTGCCAAAAAATCGCCAAGTTACCATAATCCAAATATCAACCTAAAAAATTATTATTTCTATAGAATGTTTTTAAATGAATTAATTTTTATGACATCCATCACCATGAAAAATTATTATTTCTTAATTATCATATGATCAGGTTGATTTTCACAAATGTATCAGCATATTTTCTATTATTATTTCCATTTGTCTTTATTTTCAAAATACAGTAAATTTGTGGTGATGACTAAATTCCTAAGAAAATCTCAGTTAGAGCAGATTTGAGGGTGCCCCTTGGATTATCGCTAAGTTCTTTCATTTATCACCAAGTTGCCGTTTCATTTGTCGCCAAGTTGTTGTTTCATTTATGGTAGGAGTAGTTGAATGTTACGGAAACCCTGTTATGATGTAATTGGTTGCATGATTGCAGTCAATTGGAATTGCGGGGAAAAGATTTGGAAAGTGTGTGTCGGATTTTGGGTAATAAGTGCATTATTATTTTGTGGTTTACACGGTAAAATGGCTGAATGTGATAAGATTAATTTGTAGTTTCTGTACGACTTGGAACGAAAGTGAAAAAAGTATTATTTGACTGGTGTCTAAATGAAGGTTTACTTATTAGCCATTATTAAGTGTTCTGTTTGTAGGAAGGAAATGCGTATGGTTGAACGTCGGAGGATACCAGCACTACGGAGGGTATTTTTTATTCTTATTTTTGTGAATTTATGTGGCGATGCCAGTATATAGATCCTAGTTCAGATAATTTTAGGAAGTTTTTGGATGCTCTTAAGGAATTTTGTTTGACTGCAGACTCAGAAATTTGTAGTTTTAGCGCAAAAAAATCAGCACTACACAAAGCCAAAATAACAAGTCAAAGAATTGTACAAACTTAGTGTCCTGGTACCGCCAAGGTCAAACATAGATACATTTTTACGTATTCTTCTATACTTTGTCTTTTAACATGTATGTTTAAAATACTTTATTTTAGCCATGTGAAGAACTTTTAAAGATAAAGTATTTAATATCTGAGAACAAGTATATGACATTGACTGAAATACATATTAAGTAAAAGTATTGATTTAGAACTGTCTAAATAAGTCTATTGAGTCTTATTTTGTAATGTTCATAACTATTTAGTGTTCTTCTCATGACTAGGAGCAATAATCAGTAATACATTTTAATTGTATTGGATTAGTATCTGCTTGGGAAAAAAAAAAGCTTGAATGGAATTTTTGATTTGATTTTATGCATCTAATGTCAGCTGTTATAGAGTTCAGTTAACCAGAAGTGCTTTTCTTTCGGTTGATTGAACCCATTATCCTTGATCATTGGCATTGTTGTGTAGGTGCTTATTGCAAACAAACTGCATGTCATCTTTGAGATGGCATGCAGAAATTCTAAAATTAAAAATATGAAACCGTAATTTATGAAATAAAGAACAATTATGATCTAAAGGATATCAAAATTTACAAAAAAAAAAACAAAAAAAAAAAAAAAAAAAAAAAAAAAAAGCAGCTTAATATTTATTTGTTTACTTTATTAAACATTTCTTTCAATGTAAGTTGTTTAAGTTGCTTCGTTTTATGTGATAAATATTTTCTTTAATTCTAATAAACAGACATAATTTCTTGTTCAGTTACAAAGTTCCGCTGTTCAAGTCCTGTTAATTGCTGTGCCGAGAATACCGACTAACTTATCAATCGAAATTTTTCATTTTCACTAACCTCTCTGTCATTTTCTTCATGTCTTTTATCCATTTTTTGCAGCAATTCCCACATTTTGTTTCATGGACATCGGAACATACTTTCACGTTTTGTAGATCCTTTCGGCAGCTCCAGAATCGGAAATTCTATTCTGACATAATCGAAAGTTCAAGTTTACTTTTTATAAAATTGCTCTTGCAGTCTGCAAAAAATAATAACCCGGATTCCAATTCGAAGATTAAGGAACAACGCAATCATGCAACATTAACTGAAATAGATAATTAGATAATTTTAGCTTACATTGTCCGTTATACATTAAACGCGCAGGCGAAAACGTATTCTGCACTTGCGCACACACATATGCGCAGTAGTCAAGGTCTTACGCACATGCATAAAACGCCTGTGCGCATGTGCCAATGAGGCGCATGCGCAGAAAGTTTTTAGCTTTGAGGTCCGGATTATGGGTGTCCGAATTAACGACTTTTGACTGTAATTCAGCTTTTAATGTCAGATTTTAAGAAATTCTTTTTGTGGGCTATATTGTCCAATCATATTTACCAGTGGGTTAAATGTCCCATCAGTAATCAAATTACTGTATGCTGATACAGTCAAAAGTCGTTAATTTGGACACTCATAATCCGGAATGATCTACGATCCGGACCTCAAAGCTACAAACTTTCTGCGCATGCGTCGCATTGATTTTTGAATTTAATTTAATTTTTGAAAAGTTAAGTATAAATTAACTGTAGCAGAGTCAAAAATTGCAGCTTAGACATAACCAGTTTGGTTTTGCTGTAACAGTTATCATCATGAGACTTATTTTCATACTTTAAACCTGATACAAGGAAAGGAAATTTGAAATTGGTCTGTATGCAGAAATTATTTAGTTATTGTGTGTTCTGCATTATTGTGTTTTGTCTGGGAATAGGCAACTTTTCTGATATTCTTGGCTCATATCCTTTTTGGATGAATGTGATAATTGTGATGCAAATAAGTTGCAGCATGGCCATCCATGGCCAGAAGGTATTGATTTCCTTTTTTGTTTCCAAATTTATGAATGTTGAGAAAAGAATGGTTTTTATTTTTGTCACCTTTTGAGCTGATACATTACAGTGTATGGTACATGTACTGCATTCTTCATTGCTGTGTTTTTTAAGAACTAGGTTGAGGTGACAGAATCCTTTGTTTAATATGTACATGTAAAAGAATATACTGTAGTATTAGGTGTTATACCTTGCATTGTTTAAATAAATTTTATATGATTTAGTTTAGTTTGTGTAGTAAGATTATGAGTAATGGGAGCCAAATGTTAAAATATTTGTAAGTTCTCAAACCGTCAATTAATACCAATGATTACGTCAATCCGCAATAACCCATAGATACATATAAATGTGACATCTAGAATGGAAACATATAACTAAGAACTTACCCAGAATGACGAGAACTAAAAAAAATCGCAAATGAATTATTTATTCTTATTTTTCAGCATCACTATTTTAGATTAAATATTAATGAAAATTTAAATGATGGTATACTTTATTACTCTATTTAACATTATTATTAAATTAGATGTATTTTCATATATATCTGCAGTAAGTCTTGGAACGTGTTACCTGTGGATATGCAGACACTGTTCATTTTTTGATACAAAAGCAAAGTTGCTAATAGAATCATAGATTTTCTATAAGAAAAATGAGGTACAGGGTAAAAAAAAGTTTGAGAATCCCTGATCTATAAATTTAATCTCAGAATATTATACATTTAATATTTAGTGGCTGCATTATGCAGTTATGTAAAATTCATGTTGCTTAATATAACATTTTATTTTTTTGTAATATGTAACGCATACGTGCCTCTTCTTGCATGTTGTAATTATATGGGTAATTTCTGCATTACAGAGCTGAAGTTGATGAAGTGGCATGTGCATATGCCCAGGTAAGTGCATTTTATTTATTTATTTATTTTAAAGCATATAAGCCATATATTAGTGGCCTGGAACTAGTGTCTTTCGAAGCAATTTCATGTGGCCCGGGAATACATTTAAGTTATTTATTTGTTGTAAATATGTAGGTTTCGAAGTTTCAGTTATTTGAAGTCTGAGTTTACATTATTACTGTTAAAAAACAACTTGGAAAAACACAGCAGAAAATCTATAAATGGGGATAATTAATTTAAAGTGTGATATAAATGAATTTTGTTTGGGAATATATTTATATGCAAAAAACTATTTTTTGACAGTTGAAAAGTAATAAAAAGAGAACCTAATTGACTGATGAACATCTACAGTCTGTGATGAAGATAATTTCTAATAATATTTGTACAAGGCTACAAAACTTTATAAGAATCGAAAAGTCAAGTGCCCAGCTGTTGTAAAAAATAAAAAAAATTATAATTATTTATGTACACACAAGTGTACTTTTATTTATGTGTAAACAAAAAATTTAATAATAAGAGAAAGAGACTAGGCTGTCATTTTTCTCAAGTTTTTCTTGCTTGAGAAGATGAAAAACTTAGGAGTTTTTAGTTTTAATAACTTTTTATTTTATTTATGATTAATTAAGAAAGTTAAAATTTTTTTAAAATAAATATCATTCTGAGAATGTAATATTTAGCTGTCAACATTATTTGAATTACAAATGAATGTGTAGTGAATGTAATAAATGAGTGTAATGAATGAAAATCATCTTGCAGATATCGAAACTTTAGATTTCAGCTAGAAGATAAATATATATTTGAACTTCTTTTGGGATATTATTATTATTGTTTATGTTTATTTTGATAAGTATTTAGTTAGAGAAATTTAAAATTTATTTGAAATATTTTTTATGTTAGTAAAAATTTTCATTTTGTTAAGAAAAACAAATTCCGGACCATTAGTGGTTTTCACATCTGGCAATTGGCCTGCATGCAATTTACATTTGAGAATGCTGCTATGTATAATTTGTTAATTTTGTTAGAAATTTAATTTCTATGTAAACTTTTTCAGGAATGAATTTTTGTAGTGCTAAAAATTTATTAATTTCATAATTTAATTTTTGGCTGACCCTCTGGAGCTGATCACTCACTGGTTTCTATGTTAAGAGTTGTTGGCAATGGAAAAAATTACCTGTTTTTTAGGCTAGAGCCATAAATAATGAGAAAAACATGGAGGGTAAAAAGTAGTCCATACATTGTTACCATGAACATTAATAGCAAATTATGAATGAAAGTATTTCATACATTCAGTATGTACTGCTTCTCTACATTTTTTACCAATGTAATGAGTTCGACTTGGACAATTTTGCTTTATAAAATGTTATTGGCTTTCGAATTAATGATGGAAATAAAATTTGGTAATATTCAACGAGAAATGATGCAATTTTTTGTTTGAAAAAAATTAGGTTTGGATTTCAGTGTAAATCAGCTTAAGCTCTGACATAAGTAATTAAAGTAAGATTTTTGTGTGAAAGAACTCGGTAGAAACAAAAATGTTCAAAGAACAATAGGATTTAAACCATTTTATTCTTCCTTCTTTAAGATAATTGGTTGTTAATTACAAAATAACATGATGTTAATAGGTGGAGGAAAAACATGATACTTTATTCTGTTAAATAATATACATTTTTTTTTTTTTTTTTTTACTGCATCACTAAAATGCTTATTTTATGTTTTACATAAAAAAATAACTGCTTAATTTCCTAATAGATAAAAGTTCAAGGAAAATTTGTCAGGAAACTCAAAAGCAAAGTGATAACAATAGCATAATTTTGAATGTAAATGTTTGAGAGTTTGAACTGCTTATCTATCTAGAACTCCCTTTTTTGTTATTAAACAAGCTGATATTTCCTTCAGTTATGTATCTTATTTGCATTTCAAATAATTTCTCTTAGTTTTTGTCTGCCTTTTTGTTCACTAAAAATTGTTCATGTTTTTCATTTTCCTTTTATGTTTTGAGAATTGTTTCTTCCTTGATATATTAATAGCTAGAGTAAGGACTAATGAATTAGAAAATCAATGTAATAAAAGGATAACTTTTAGATTGATTTAAATGATTTTGTATGCTGTAATAAGGATTAATGAGAAAGGGTTATACATTAGAAATTTTAATTAAAGATCAATTTTAATTTTTAAAAGAAATAAGAAATACTTTTATATTATACTTACTTAATTACTTTACTTATATAATCTTTCTGTCGATAATAAATGAAATCATGGGTAATTTATTGCACATATAATCAAGGAATTTTAGGTTAATACTTAGTTTTAGTAAAGGTTGCTGTGTTTATTTTTCTATTGATCATCAAAACAATGTATAAAAATTAGATTGTTATGTGCTTAAAGCTATTCAAATTAATATAATTAAATATATTAGATAATTTTTTTATGTGATCTCTATTTTTTAGCATATAAAGTATTTATATATTTAGCATTTTTTTTTAATCATATCAGAGTTGTACTTGGATATCTTTTCCTCCAAGGCAAAGAGGTATTTGGACAAACAAATTAACTAACATAGAATCTCTCTTAATGAATAGCAACAGGAACTGATTGCTTCTGAATGAGAGATTCTCTTGATAATTGATATTTATTTCTATAACTTATCCATTTATGTTTTCTGATGCAATTTGCAGAAGCTGCATTACACAGAGTGTTAGTTGAATTTTGCAATCAATCAGAAACTGTGAAGTAAATAATACTGGAAATCATACAGATTATTTAAAATTAAAACATGTATAACTTGATAATTCAGAAAAATAAAACTAAGCAACACTTTAATTATCACATGGAAGAGGTTTTTTTTTTTTTTTTTTTTTTTTTTTTTTTTTTTTTTAGTGTAATGATACATAGCTTTGAATATTTGCTTGCTTACAAGATTGTTGCAGGAGTTTTTAAAATTGGCTTTTTATGTAATGAAACTTCATAGCATCATGTACTGAAGTAAATGAACTTTGCTCAGTAAATCTTATGAAAAGTCTGCAATCTTTTGTCAGCTTTCTTGTAATTCTACATGTTTTATCTTTTCTTTAGTTCACCAGCTTGTTCCATGTAACTTCATTATTCTTTTTGCACATCATCTTCATCTTCTCCTTTTCTCTTCATCATCTTTCTCCTTTCCAGTACATGTCTGATTATTTCATTGTCATCATGTGGGAATATGATAGGAACATAATTATTCCAAACCATCTATTGAAGCCTGCATTTTCTCTCTACTAGCACCAGTCTTCTTTGAACACGTAACTGCTAAATCCAAGATGTTGGACATTGGCACCAAATATGTTGTAAAACCAAGAGAATTTTCATCATTTGATTCATCACCTTCAAATTATTTTTGATGCAAGAGCCAAAGCAAATATGGTATCGTATCTGAAAGTCATGGACACTGCTTACAAAGTTCATGCATCAGTGCATTAAAAGGGATCTTTATATTCTGAATTGATTTGATAAGGCTCAGACAGGGCTGCAGAAATGTAGCATAAATGTTTCCCCCATTTAAGGCTTCAGATGGTTAGCTTCTTGTAAAATTTTTGATCTCATAGGCCCAAGTTTTAGATTTAAAATTAGACCTTGAAAAATTGGCAGTTAATTGGGTGTGGTTTAACTTCATCACATTTCACTCATCAGCACGCAATAGAAATAAGACAAAATTGAAAGGAACAACATACGTTTAGTCGGCAATTTCAGAATGCATTGGTAATAGTGTATAGCAGATGCTGGCTAAGTTATGATGATATCCGTGAATTTGAAAGAAAATAAAGATTGAAATTTTCTAATGAATAGAATTAAGAAATGTGGAGAAGTGGTATAAATGAAGATCATGTAACATAAGTTGTTCATTGCAGTGACAATGCCCCAATAGTCAATTAACTGCAATATGATTCTAAATCCAGTAAATATTCCTACCGATAGTTCTTTAATCTCAACAAAACATCGCTGTAATTTTCAGTGACATATCCAACACTAATACAGTAATATATAACACTAATACAGCATAAATCAGTATTAGTGTTATATCCAACACTAATACTGATTTATACTTTAACATTATAAAAGTGTGTGTAGTATATTCAACCTGCAGCACTTTTGATTATAAGTTAATGTCATTAATTTTCTATCAGGTAGATTATCACAGTACTTTTTTAGTCCCTTTCTTTGAATTAATGCAATAAAAATGTGTATTGGGGGGGGGAAGAAAGAAAAAAAAAACTAACTGCAGGAAGAAAGTTAAGTAAATCAGTTATTTTTTTACTTCAATAATTTGGTTGCTTATTAAAGTTGATACTAGTTGCAAAAGTAAACTGAGAGACTCCATCCTGACAGAGAAAATCTTTTCAAAAGAGGAAATCTGATTGGCTATATAGGACAGAGAATGAAACCAATATCAAGAATATAATGCTTTTAAATCATCATAAATAATGTTAACAAAGTTTAATTATTTTAATAAGGTATTTTGAAATTGTGGTGCATGTGTTTCAGAGTTAACAATCATAATATTTTAAAAATGAAATTCTTACTGTTCATAACTAATTTTGTGTTGTTCATCTGAGGCAAATACACTTGCCTCACCTTTATCCTGGCTCTATATCATAGGAAAAACATTGTTATTATTAATTGCAGAAAGAAGAAAAGAAAGAAAGAGTGCAAGTGGACATGAAGTTTTTTAGGTATATTATTTATTATATATTCACTGTTATATACATTAAGTATCAAATGTAAGTAATGCAGGGGGAATATATTGCTAACATGTTAATTTTTAAAATTTAATGTTTATTTGAATGAGACATGATGATTTTGAATTCAAGATAAATCTATGACTTTTGCTTAACCCATCTCAGAAAAAACTTTAGCATAGAATAGTTGAAGTGAAACTCCCTCTGTTCCTGCAAGAGAGGGGAAAAAAAAAAAAAAAATAAAATTGTTCTGGGTAACCCATAAAAGAATTTATTTCAAATTAATATTATTTTTCAACATGTGTTTTACTGAATGTTTTCATGCATATATCTATATTTTGTAGTATTTAAAAAGTATATAATACATGTTAGATTTGCACTTATGACTGAATTAACTTGTGACATATCTCTTGCAGAAAATGTTTTAACAGTTCAAGGCTTATTAACAAGAGTGCAAAATATTTGGTTTTGGATCATTAATAATATGTCCAAAATAAGCAGTATCACAAATGTTTTATTTTAATTCTACAGTAGAAAGTCCGAGAACCAGAATCATCGGGACTTCGGCGATTCTGGATTGTGAAAATTTCTGGATTTTAGATCATCAGTTTAAATCTAGTAAGATGACGTATAGACAGTTAGAAGTAGAAGCTTGGCCATCATCTCTGTAGTACCACAAGTGATTCTATAATGCTGAATCTAGCTTCCACGTCCAGTTTTAAGTGAGAACACCCTGGGGGGGTGATACGAGGATCTGCCATTCATCTTTCCCTTCCAAATAACCCAGGGTTCGTACGGTCCATGAGTCCTTAAAAGTCCTTAAATTTTTTTGGAATCGATTTTTGGTCCTTAAAGGTTCTTAATTTTGGCCAAAATTAGCAGAAGGTCCTTAATTTTAATAATCTGAAATTTCTGTCTGTTTTTATGACTGCCATTTTTGAGTGTGAATTAGCATTTTGGAGGAATATTTTGGCGATTCTGTGACATATATGGCTATCTTTTGAATGGGTTCATGGGTTATAATTTGTTTCTATTTCTAATATAAATGATAGGATACTCAAGTTTCCAAGCAAGAAGTGAAACATAAGCATTTCGAAATTCATTTTTTCTAATAAAGAGCTCTTAAACAAGTTTTTGCTTTTGGGGATGTGAATTCTTTTATTAAACGGTTCTAAATTTGGTGACTTGTCAACATTTTGGCGATTTTAAGATCAGTTTCTATAGAACATTTTTAATTCCGAGATCTGAAAATTTTTCGACGATTTTTTTAAAACATCATAACATTGATAAATTTCATTAAGATAATGGTAACATATTGAAATTAACTATGTAATTAAATAAAAATGCCTTCTTTTTAATTTTTTTCACAGTAAGCGTTTTTTTTTTCATATAATTGTCTCAGAATATTCAAAATTCTCAGAAAATGCACCAGTTTTCTCTATAAAATTAATTTTACACTTTTCCCCTCCTTTTTTTTTTCAAAATATTTCTGGCTTTTTTCTGTTACAGAATTGGTTTTCTTTAGTATTTTAGGCATTGCAGATTGGAAAGTTTAGAAAGATTTGAAAGCAAGATTTTATAGACCCACGAAAGATTCGAGAAATATGTGGCAAAATGAAGAATATCTCCATGGTATCAACACGTAATGGATGAATTTTAGAGAAAGTTTGCGATGAATTTCTTACTTTTTGGAGAATGTCTGGAAGAATAATGAAAACATAATATTTGAATGTTTTACTCCTGATACTAGAATCTTTTTCTTAACATGTTTATCTTCCCTTTATTTTCTCTACTTTTCTCTAGACACAAGCGTGGAAAATATCAAAAATGCTTCTAATTTTATCACTTGGGCAGGCATTATAGAAAGAGGACTTTTTATTAGTAAAGAAATTGAAAACTTAAATTTAAAAGATTCATCTAATATGTCTTAATGCATCATACACAGAGCAGGCACTAGCCATTTTCCCACCTGATGCAATCTCTGTGGATCCTAAATTCTGCTTCCAATGCCTGCTCTAAATTCTAAAAGTTTTGCCATTTCTAGATTTTCATGTTCTGTGTGTCATTAAATCCTAAAAATTCTGCCACACCAGCTCTGTAACCAGCCTTTACTATATGTATTTCATATTTCTTCTGAATATTCATATTACTAAAGAAATAAAATTAGCCACTTTTTCTATATATTCTAAATGTATTTGGTGTTTTTTAAAATACCAGAAATTCTTAATTAAATTCTAAAATGGAAAGGAAACATGTTGAAGAAAGAAACTGAATACATAAAGAAAATTATTCTTAAAGATATGTGCAGTTATTATTATGTAAATTATTATGTGCAGTTATTATTATTGATTTCAGTCTTTACTATAATTTCCCATTTCTATTTCCTCAAATGATAGAGTTACTGAGTCAGATTAAATAAAAATTAAATTGTATAATCTTTGACATTTAGTCCACATTTTGAGTTTGAAATTGACTTCTCTTGTTTAATTACGTCACCGTGAGCTGTAATTGATTTTGCTAGCATTAGAACATGCCTTTATGTTCTAAGTTCTTTTTAAATAAGAGGCTTATCTAAACCTTTGTCTGATATTGTAGCTACTTTCAGACATAGGGATAATTTGCTTCACATCTGTCTGGGGTTTGGGATTATTTAACTTTTACCAGATCAAGTAAACCCTCATAGATACATTGTGGAGAGGTTGATAAGTTAGGAGATAAAGTATGTAGAAACTAGTGAGAGCACTGGTTTGCATATTGAGACAAATCTCTGATTGTTAGAAAAGATGCTTAAAGAGAAGGAAATCGATATAAACTAGCCAAAATATTTGGGAAGGCATTAAATTAAAATGATGGATAAATATTTTGTTGAGTGTCGTTACAAAACATAAATGTTTTTTAGCTTTTAATATGTAATTATCCTAATATCGTTTAAGAATCAATGTTATAAATTACATGTATTTTAAACTGTAAAATTTTATTAGATTTTGATTTTAATATGTCCTTTTTTAACAAATATTGTTAAAAAATAAAATTTAATACTGGCCATGTAAATCCATAATGACTAAGGTTATCAAACTACCTAATTAATTTTTTTTAATAACTGATTGCTTACCCTTAAAAATTATCTCTACATATTAAAGTAAGTTATTGCCTTTCATTAATATTCACTGTGGTCACAAGATAAAATACAAAAATGTAAAAATTCAAGTAAAACTTATTCTTAGCATCTAGTGAGACTTAAAATAATACAAAACAGCTTATCACCTCTGGTGCTTTAATGGCTTATTGGGACCTTAAACTATATTAACTGGGTTACAACCTTTGGAACTCTACACAAAGCTATGACACTAACTGCATTAAAGAGCCTGATTAAATTTCAACACTTGCAAACTGTGCTTACATCAGGCCTTTCAGGTTTGTTCGAATCAGCATGTCTCTCTCTGGACAATCAGCAGCCGTGACAACATTCAGTCTTTTGTTACGAATCATGCTGATTGTGATCTTACTTCTCATTTTAACCTATGTCACTTGACATAAATTCTAACATCTGCTATTTACACAAGCATTGAACCTCTAAACCTCTGGACTGACCAAGTATGTGACAAAATGAGACATAAAGAAATCAACATAAAGCTGACTATTAGTAAAACATAAATGTCACTTATCTTCTTACAAATATGTCCAACTATTATAAGTGTAAAATATTTAATGCTATTTAATAAATTGCAAAAAGTTTATTTTATTCTCAAACTTATTAATAATTATGTTAATTAATTCATGTTTAGTAATAATGCATACTACTTAGGGATCTATTTTATTTTTAGGATGGTATTACAAAAGTGGAATTCAGGCATAGAACAATATTTTTAATTGAATTTATTCAGTTCCCATTTGCTCATAGGTCCTTAATTTTTTTCATCAATGGTCCTTAAAAGTACTTAATTTCCATGTGCAGAAATGTGTACGAACCCTGTAACCTTTCCAGAGGACTTTAAGTTTGCTGTGTATTTCGAGTATTTCCTTGCCACCGAGACACTACGTTTGCGACCTGGATTCAAACCCGGGCCCATTGGTCCAGCAGTCAGCATTTCTAACAACTATACCAACTAAGCGGTGATGACATGTAGACATGGCAACATTGTGGCTTTCCTTATTTTTTAGGTCAGGTGGAAAAATGCTAACCTTCCCTCAAACAAGTAAGAGAGCCAGTGCCAGAGTTGGTGCTACTGAACCTGGTGGTAGAACCAAGGGCAGCAAAGCTTTTAGAATTAGAGATTTATAGAACAGAGAAAATTAGAGATGTCAAAATTTTTAGAATTTAGGAACGGCTAAATTTTTAGATTGTACAGAAGTACTGGGCAGCAGAATTTAAGACCCGTGGAGACTGCACCAGGTGGCAAATGTGTAGTGCCAGCCCTCCTTTCTCTACAAGGACTCAAGGGTCAGAAGTGGAATTCTGGCCAACAATGCAAGGGCAATCAGTGTAGTGTTGGCTATTTTGTGACTTGATAGCCAGCAGGTGTTCGAAAATTTCATGCAGAAATCTCAGTTATTCCAGAGAAAAATCACTTTTATGTCACATCTGCTTCTTTTTGTTGAGTGTTATATTCTCCTTTCTTAGATTTTTGTAAGAGTGGAATTTATTATTTTTATTTTATTATTCGTTTGGCTGGTGGTTTAAATATCAAATCACTCTGGATATTGAGACACATTTCGAACTTTGTACTATATATGTGATAACAATTTTTTTTTTAAATTTTTAAAATGAAGTCATGCTTCAGTTTATAAATGCTTAATATATAAACCATGAAATAAGTTTATCATTAAAAAGTTAAAGAAAATTGCCCATATTTTTATATAGCCAGTGTAAATATGATTATTTTGTAGCATACTGTTGTCTTTACAGTGCAAGTTAAAATTTAATTACATTCTGCTTTATAAATTTCTGTGTTATTTTATATGAATTAATTCATTATATAAAATAGTCTTGTAGATAGTAAACAATATTTTTGAGCATTACTGTTATTGATTTTATAGTAAAAATACTTGAGTTCCTATATAATCTCATTTGGATGTAGAATTACAGTAAAATCTCGACTATCCAGTACTATTCAACTAACTGGAAAGCTCAAGTAATGGAAATATTTTTAAATAAAAAAAAAATAAAAATGTAAAACTAAGCAAATAGGAGTAACTTCATTATAAAGCACAAATAGCACTGCAATTCGAATAAAACAAAAACTGTTGCCAAACAGTGCAATTTAGGTTTGGCGATATCACCTCTAATTTTCATGGTTGATGCAATTTTGAAATTGATTATAATGTTTTACTTCAGTATTTGTGTCTTTTTTCTTTTGAAAATGTGTGCCCATTTTTCTTTTGACAATTTCACATAATTTAAATGTAGGTATCTAATATTCAAGATGATAAGAAATAAAATGATTCAATTTATAATTTTAATACTGGAAATTTTTACTTCCATTCATTTGCCTTTTCTGGTGCTTTTTCATTATGCACATGCCATATGCTTTTGGGTGCATGTGAAAGAGAAAGACAAACACATGCCAAGACCCAGTGATTGTGTCATCTGGAGATTATGTGTCAGTATGTGTGTCTGTGCAAAAAAGAATATTAAATACACATTTGCATAATATTACAATAGTACTGCCAAAATGCATGACAGTTGTGTAATGGAAAAAATACCTTGTTTTTACCTTGAATTGCATTTTTTATGCAATCAATTTTCTGGAATTTTCACATGTAAGGAATTCAGCACTTCCTGCAGTTTCTGGATAACCTTTACCTCTTACCATACTTTTTTATGCTTCTGTAAACTTTAACAAAAAATGTTATGGACAATTTTATCTTTTTAGACAACTACGGGAAGTCCTGAAGATAATAATGCCTGGTGTCTTCACGGTAGAGGTAATTTAATTTTGAATCAATGTAAAATAACTCTCTTATTCATATATAACCATTTGATTATTTTTATTATTTTAAATATGTTTATTTTTTAATCTGAACCTTTATTTGAAAAGTTAAAAATTAAAGGGTTATCTTGTTACATTTTTATTTAGAAGTGTACATTTGATATATCATTCAAAAATGCATTCAAGGATATTTATGTAAACACCAATAAAAAATTTCAGTCATATGTTAAAACATTATACTGTAGAGTTTGCAAACTCAACATTTCGTATAACTTTGATGATACTTTTCCTTAATCATTGAAATCTGCTTTTTAAGTAGAACATTCCTTTGAAATAATATTATGCTTTATTAATAGCTAGACTGTAGTAATTTTGAACATCGCCATTATGTTATAAACAATATAATTATATTTTAATTACTGTTAACTACAGTACATATTTATGTGTATGAATATCTGCATGTTTTCTTGTTTTATTCAAATATTTATTATGATATTCTAATTTTACAGCTTTTTTCTCTTCCTTTTTGTAACACAATTTCTTGGAACCTGTATAATGAATATGGTGACAGTTTTTGTTATTTCTGTGCAAATTCCAATCTACTCCATATCCCCTTTTAGTATCAAAATGGCTGAAGAAAGTCAGATGACTGCTGTCGATTACCACTCACATCCCTCCTTTCCATTAGCAGGTTTATGGTTGTACTCTGTTAAGTTAAATTTTTCAGTTCATTTTGGGTAGAGTTTTTGTGATGCATTGTCTGTGTAAGTGAAAATGTCAAACATGAAGAAAGGAAATAAAATTTAATGCAACAATGGAAGGGAAATTGGATGCCTTAAAAGACTGGAAAAAGAGAAAAGTATTAATAAGATTGCCATGGATTTAGGTGTTGGAAAAAATATTATGAGTTGCGAATACCCCATTCCTCCTTTCATAAATCTGCTCATTTTCAGTAGTAATTCGATAAATTCTCTGCTTTCAGTAGGTGGAGTATTCTACAGTATAAGTTAAGGTCGGCACCCAAAATCAGATACTTAATTGACCAGTTGATTAAATTCAAGTCTTGTGGCTAAACAGAAATTTGATTGAACTGTAAAGTCTTCAAGTAGTTCAGTCAACAGAGCAACTACACATAACGAATTGGTTCTAGGTTTAATTTCTAGCTTTGATAAGATTTTTTGTTTGGTTATTTGTTGATTCTGATCTCAACAAAAAGCAAGAAATGGTACATATTATAATAATATAGAACTGTCATTCAAAGGAATTACAAGTCATACAAAAATTACAACTTTGTGTTTGTTTTTTCATGCAGTGAAGTTATTGCCTTTACATTGCAATTCCTTCAGGAAGGCCTGAAGAGATAAAGATGATCTGGGGAAGCTACTGAGAGTCATGATAAATCGACTGTAGCAGAATTCACAGAGAAGTTTAAAGTATATAGGACTAGAGTGGAAAAGCGTATACAACTCAAGATAACTATGCAAAATGCAAACCTTTTTTTTTTTTTTTAAATTGCTAATCTTTGGCCTCAGTTTTTACTGAAATTCTTATTTGTTGTGTTTATTTTTATGAACCAATTTTTTATTCTATTATTGTTTTGTTATTTTATATCTAGTATATAGAAATTTGATGTCTGATTCTTTAAACAAGATAATAAATAATATATTTTGGGAAGTAGATTTACAATCAAAAGGTTCTATGAATATTTTCAGCATTGTGTTAAAACTCTTTAATGATTCACTGTTTTTATTTCTCAATCTACTGACTTTTGTCTGTTTACTATTTAATGTGTAGAATTTATATGTTACTAACTGCTTACTATGCTTGTTTTGTTTTCTAAAACAAATGTAGTATGGCACATGTTTTTATCATTTGGTATATGCACAACAACAACAACAACAAAAAAAAAAAAAAAAAAAATCGCTTGCATGTGTGTGTGTGTGTGTAGTCATCATTTAGACCATGTAAACTCATTTCCTTTTATTCATTAGATGGTAATAGGGCTATATGGCATTGGAAACTGTTCTGTCTAATAAAAGGCACTGCTTCATGCAATGCACATAAATAATTTTTAAGAAAGAAACACCAAAAGTCAAGAAGACCAAGAAATTATGGGGATTTGTTGAAGCTATTGAGAACCATGGAAAGATTATCATAGCAGAATTAGCAGATAGGTATGAGGTATATAGAACAAGATTGGAAAGGTTAGAATTTGTTATAAACTTGGATATTATAGTACCGCATGACTTATTAAAAAAAAAAAAAAAAAAAAAGACTGAATTATTGTAAATTGTGTTTCAAACCGTGCTGGTAGAAAGCATCTGCATTTTTGAATCAAATGGTAACTAGCCATGAATAGTGGATTTTCTAGAAGAATATCATATGATACAAGATTATTGTAGACCAGGCATAATGTCATCACAAAACAAGGATTACATCCATAAAAGATACTGCTAAATTGGATTTCAAAGCAATGATTAATTGAACTATGATTGAACCAGATATTAAAGATAAGGGGTGTATAGTTTTACTATTTTAGTCATGGCCTGGGAACAAAGCAATTATTGCAGGTGACTAGTCAGAGAGTGGTATTTCATCACGATAAAGCAAGTCCTGTACATCTTTTGGATTTGAAGAATTCACTAGAGTTTAGGTGGAAATTCCTATTCCATCCTTTTTATTTTTACTGGACATTGCTTCAACAGATATTATCTCTTTCAGTCAAATTTGACTATCTGCATCAACCAGAGTACATCAAAATACAGGATCTCCATAGTGAGCTATGAAACTCCTCTGTAGAGGAGAGTATGACCCCTATATTTTTCTATTTTTTATGTATTATTTTGTTATTTATGCACATTTTCACTTTTTTTTTTCCCTAATTGCTGCTTCAAGTATCTTTTCGCAAAATTTGTTTGAAGTTTAATTTAAAATGAACAATTTATTTTTTAATCAAAATGACTAGAATAATAAAAAAAGAAATATCTTCATTGCAATCATATTAATCTCACTAAATGTAATATATTTTAAATATTGATTGCTTAAAATATGTGCAGTGAGACTTCATAAATTATGCATAGGAAAATAAATATTACGAGTATATTTAATTAAGTTTAATAGTATTCTAATACCAATAATGAAACTCCTGAAACAAAATTTTTTATCTTCATTTTCTTATAGAATGAAAATATATTATTATGACTATTTTAAAATTTAAAATAGCTTATAAAACTAGCATAGTATTCCATTTAATTCAAAAATAGTAAGAAGACTAAATTTTAATGTGTTCATATTCCTTCTTGTAGTTTTTTTATTGAACTGTAAAGAAAATGTAGGAATATTTTTGTATGTAATATTACAAATAATTTTTTACATTGCAGTTTGCATATGTTGCCATGATTGCTGGTACTTTGGTTGGCCGAACATTGTGTGATATATGGATGATACACAATGGAACCATTATTGAAAGGTACTATATTTTTTCTTTGACCTATTAAAATATTTTATATTAAGAAACTCAGAATTATTCCTCATGCATAAATAACTATTGAAAGGAAATTTTTCTTAAAATACTTTCGCGAGTATGTTAGTTGTCTGAAAATTTTGAAACTGATTCTTTCAAATACAGAGTCAAAATGACCCTGTATTTTTTTCTGTTCAAAGTTTGAAGCATTTGCATTGAATTACATTCTTCAGAATATTTTATTATTCATTCAGAAACACAAAGAACTTTTTGCAAGATTCTTTTTCAATTTTGTGGGCATAGCATTTCTGGCCACCTCACCTGAAGAAAACATTTTGCCATATAATCGCCTTTTAAATATTTAGAATATTCAGAACTCACTTATGTCAATAAATCAATTTTAAATAATGCTGCCAATTGAGTGAATTTGATCTCTCCATTATGGCTCAAACAATTTTCAAAACATTTACATAATAGCCATGGCTCACTATTTGCCCAGAGGTGTGTAATATGAAACCATAGTGGACAACTTGCTAAAATGGGCATTGTCAGTCACTAGCATGTACCTTGAAGTACATTTGTTATTGAAATAGAGGGCTAAAATTTCATCGAGATATAGAACTATAACATTTTTAAGTGTTTCGTTATGGTTGTTCTAAAGTATAACATAAAATATAACCACATCTCTATCAGATAACTGTAAAGATATCTTCCTCAGTCACCATGAAAAAATATGTTCGATACTTGTGATGAAATATTGAAGGCCACTGCTGTCCAAATGCAGATGTAATTATAAAACCCTCCACAGGTTGCTTGCTACATTTAATGTTGAGATAGAGAATCAGAAGCAGTTCAAAAAATATTCAGTCAGCCTTTTGTGTAAATAAAATATTTACAAATTTTTGAATCTATGAAACTAGTTAGAAAATGCTTTCATATTGCAGTGAGTTGTGTAACAAATGGACTATCGGAGTTCTTGTAACTAAAATCAGAAAAGGCCATATGTGATATTTCTCAATGTTTTAAATGTGGAAGCATCCTTGCAATAAATTTGATCCCTGATAGAAATCTTATATAAAAATTATCAGAAACTATATTTCAAAACATATTTGGACATTTATTTATACTGAAGATTCAATGATAGAAAAAAAATATTACCAGTGTTGTAAAGTTAGGGTCTAATTTTGCATCTAAACAATTATAAATTTTAGTTTCATAGGATCAAGGACTAGAAGAAAAATTAAGCCCTGTCCTTCTAAAATATAGCACTCCAGGCATGATAGGAAGACAAGACAAAAAAAAAAAAAAAAAAAAAAAAAAAAGTAACATACATTGTTTGTAGGGGAATACATTGCTTCACCAAAATATTAAATTGGGCATTTGTAACACAAAAAATGATAACATTTACAGTATATCCTGCCACTATCCAGGTTTACACATAAAAAAAAAAAAAAAAAAAAATAAGTGACTTTTTAAAAGAAAGCTCTCTAATATTAGTAAGCAAAACTTCAAGGCATGCTTTGTAAATTATTGTACAGCATAAGATTAGGTGTAGCAAAATAAGGTTAAGAATCAGTATTTATTATTATATATATGTAATAATATCATCTGCTCTAGGAATGGACTACATTAATTTATAAACTTGTTTAGAAGAAAAGTATGTAGTTTTCATATATATAAATACAAAATAGTATTAAAATAAAAATGCAGCTAAAATGCAGAAATGATATTTTATTGATGGCGGTAGCTTCATAAAATTTAAAACTCATCTGATGACTCAATGTTTTCTTAGTCGCGTAAAATTTATGAATTGCAAGCTACAATTCTCTCCTTGCCTTTTAGTAGCATATATTCCTGATGAGAATGTATGTTCTCTGAAATTTGTAACTCATCGGGCCAAGCTGTCAAGCTTCAAGTGCCATTTACCTTTTTGGTGGATGTAGTTCTGAGATGTCAGCTTATTGAATAGCAGTTCACTCTTGCGCCTGTAGAAACTTACTGAGTGTCAGTTGGTTGCTGTTGAGTTCAACAGCTCATAATTAATTGTCTGGCAAGATTGGCAATGGTTTGTGTTACATGACTGACCTGCTCAATTTTTAGTTTTGTTTTCATCTTCTGTTTTGCAATAGATTGAACAGATTTTCTTCCAGACACATTTCAAGTTTATTTGTGAAATTTCTTTCCTATGTTTTCCAAAAGTGAGGGACCATGTCATTTAGAATTTGTTTGCAGGGTTACTGTATTGAAAATTCTAAATCAATGTTGTAAAGTTATTTGCTCTTCAGGTTATTCATTTTGGTCATGAAACTGAAATATTCATGTTTTATAGGGCCATAATTACACAAGACATTTCTTTGTTTCGAAAAAGTTTAGAAGCTTTTATTTTTGCTATGCCTTTGGTAAGTAACTTTATTTCTTGTATGATAATGTACTTTGTGTAAAATAATGTTTTATTTTTAATTTTATGTATATGTATCAACTTAAAAATGCTTGAAAATACAAATAAGGGATTGCATTTTTAACAGTTTGACTGTTCTTATTACATTTTGTACCAACAATGGGAAACTTGTCTGTGCAACTCTATGTGATCATTGTATGTCTGTGCTGTAAGCCATGCAGGTTTTGTTTTGTAAATATTTAGAAATATATTTTGGAATAATAAATGCAGGTTAATTTGAAATTGATTCTTATGTCAAATCTGTACTTCATTTTAAATAACTCTAAGACTTAATACAATATTTCACCCACAAGAAATGTAAATTTTCATTTTCAATGTATTTTTCTATAAAATAGCTATCGTTAAGATTTTAGGGCTTAAAATATAATGTAAGTTAATAGGAATTACACAATCATCTATCTAAAATTCACAAAAGCCAATGTTTAGTGATATCTTTTTAATTGGTCTGAAAGATACCTGAAATGTTCAAAAATATAAAAGTATATGTGGGTCAGGAAGTCTACAATCAGTCATTATAATACATCTTATTAATCATATTGTGGGCCTGGTGGTGAAAAAGATTTGTATGTGGCATCAGTGTGCCATCTTTATATTATATGATGTTGTAAAAAAGGTCAATATTTGAATAAAAATAGCTAATCTGAAAATCACATTTAAACTATCAGCTAAATATTCACTGAATATTGCACTGCATACATTTTTACGATGGTGAAAGTTATAACCAATACCTAGTTTTATGTTGTAACTGAATACATTTATATGCATGATTATGTTATTTTAGTAAAATGTTGTTAAATTTGAAGAAAGTATTGTTATATAATGTGTATATATTGTTCAAACATTTTCCTTTTGTCTTTTCTAGTTATCCCTTGTTAACAATGCCATGAAGGTTTGTATATTTTATAAAATCCAAGTTCATCTTGCTAAGTTTTGTTTAATAATTCTATATTATCTAGTTTTTAATTTAATTAAAAGTTAAAATGTTTGGCATTGCAATTATAAACCTGTGTGTTTTGACAATTATCAGTTAATATCTATTTTTATGGATTAAAGAATTTGTAAAATAGAATTTTCTTTGATATGCATCTTTTAATTGTACATTATGTACAATTAAAAGAGGCGTATTAAATGCTGTAGACAAAAACTTTCAGTAATATTAAAATCATTTTAAATGCTTCTTGCAGTATAATAAATTAATTGTTCCTTTTATATTATTAAAAAATTAATAATGTATTAATTAGAATATGTATATATATATTTGTGGTGTATTATCATCTAAAATTTGTAATTATGTATATATATATGTTACAAATTTTGTACATATCCAGAGAGTTTTAGTGAAATTGTTATATTTTTCTGTATAATGTAACATGAAAATTTAAAGGAAGGATGCTCTACCAAAATAACAATAATAAGAAGAATACAGGGAGCCAAGTCTTTTAATAATGGTTTGTCGAGAAATCGCCAAACTTTTGCTGACATTTTGGTGTGGTTCCTGTATCACCGTAATAGGTATTGCAATTGATTTCATATGCAACTGTAACTGTATCCAGCCCTCATATGCCATCCAGTAATTTTGAGAACCAGAAAGTACTAAAAATATCTCAGCGGCCGGGTGGGAAACTATATAAAACTGAAGAGAGCATATGCTGTCAGTTGTTGTGGTTGTTAGCTCAGAGCGATTTTGGAGAACTTCCCCTTATAGATGTGCTTTGCATTGTGTTGTGTTCAATGTTCCTAGTAGTTTGAAGTGTAACTACTGATTATTCTAGGTGTTACTGTGAAGAACTGTACCAGTATTTTTGTGGAAAGTTCCAGAACTTTGAAGTGTTACTTTTAATAAATTTTATCAACCTATCATCGGACCTGTGTGCATTAAATTTATAATGAACCCATATGCAGACAACAATATATATATATGTTTGTAATTAAATAGTTGATTTTCCAATTAATTTGGTACATTTTGTACACAACACAAAACTATTATTTTAAATTTAGAAAATGCTTTAAGAAATTATAGCATGTGAGGTTATTAAAAAAAGAGAGTATTGAGGAGGGTCTTCCTAGAATGATCGTAAAACAGTTTTTTTTTTTTTAGTTAGCTATCACACTTTGCTGATATGGTGCTCTCTTTATATAATTATCATGTGCTTCATGTTCACATACTCAGATCATTTAAAATAGATCAAATTTAGATTGGATGTGATTTTAATTAAATCCTGTATGTATTTTGAATGACATCTTAAAATTGAATTTTCAATAAATACTTTTCTGAACATGTTATTATATTTGAATTGCTTTAAATATATATTGAGCTGTAATAAATATATATAATGCGGAAAATATTAAAGAAGATGGGTAAGATTATTAAATAATGCACACTTTGAAAAGTTAAGTTGCAAATTATTAAATAAAGGGGAGAGATTCTGATATGTATAAAAAGCTACAATGAAGTAATAATTTTCAGTCCTAAGATTTTTTGAAGATAAGTGGAAGAGCAATTGAAAAAATACTTGAAGATCGTTAATTGAAATAATTCTCATTAGAAGCATATAAAAATGAAATAAAATAAATTTTAGATTTAAGGAATGTATTCAAACCATTTTTAACTTCTTTCATATATATGAAATAAATAAAAATAAAAATATATGTTAAATCTACCTTCTTCTATAAATTGTTATGCTTATTAATTATTGGAACTCTTACTATAGTATAAAGTCCGTAATCTGGACGTCCATTATCCGGAATGATATATAATCCGGACCTCAAAGCCACAAACTTTACACATGCGCGTAAAGAATGTGCATACATTACACATGCGCATAATGTATGCTTTACGCATGTGTGCACTGAAAGAAATGTTTAATAAAGTAAACAGATATTAAGCTTTTTTTGTGTGTGTAAAATTTGATACCCTTTAGATCATAATTGCTCTTTATTTCATAAATTACAGTTTCATATTTTTAATTGTATAATTTCTGTATGCCATCTTACCAGATTTAAATTGATGATCTATAATCCGGAAAAACCCCTAATACGGAATCCCCGAAGACCGACGAGTTCGGATTACAGACTTTGTACTGTATTTGGAAAAGATTTTGTAGGTGTACAGAGAGAAATTATAAAAAAATTTCAGATGCTGCAAATGTAAAACAATTATCCATAATGGACATTTATGCACTTCATTAACATTTGTTTATATCAAATATAATCTTGTTACATTATTAAGCTATGATTTCTCATAACAATTAGCAAAATTAATTGAGTTTAAAAATTTATTTTAAATATTAAAAAAAAATTGGTGTGTTTTTGAAACAATAGTCATAATATCCTTTTGTGTTTACTTTAAAAAACAAAAATGAATGTAAATTATTCTATGTAACTGCAGAAAAAAAATGCATCAGTGGGCTATATCTACGTAAAAATGGTATAAGATGAGGGGTATAAAATTTCATTTAGTACAGAATTAAGCGCAATAATATTTGATTTTAATAAATTAATATCTGAATTCTAAAATTTAAGATATTTAATCTTAGAGAGTTATTAAATAATTTGCTAAAAGCTTGGATAATTTTGTTTTATATCCAATAGATGATAGTTAAAATGTTTTTAGTTACAGTCCGTGCTCTCTTATTATAATGACTGTTTATTGTACTGATCATTCCATTAAAATGATTGGGTGAAAATATCCTCAGCTAATGACAATATTTTAATTTTTACTATAACAATCATTTATCATAAGGTCCTTTTTCTTTAGGAGATGAGGGGTTATTTTAACAAGTGCCAATTATGTTAAGTGTAGCTGTTTGGTATAATGCAAATCTTTTTTATTCTTATCATTTGATATTATTTTCTCCAAATTTTCTATTAACTCATTTTATTCATGTATTATTTTCTAATTATTTTAGTAAATGTTGCTTTTTTTTTTTTTTTTTTTTAGTTTGGTTTGAATGAGCTGAAACTATTGTTTAGGTCACGGCTGACTAAACATCTCTATGATAAATACCTCAGGTATAATTTCTTAACTTGTTATCTTTCTTAATTGTAGATCTAACTACCGTTCTGTTAGTTAACAGGTTGTTACTTCAAGCAAGCAAGCTGACAAATCAAATGTCAAATAAACAAAGCTTTAAATTAACATGGCATATATCATGCAGACTAAAAATAAACTGTAACTCAAGTAACATGGCATAAATTTACAATTTGACAAAGAAGTATAAAGAAATATATACTACCAGTGTCCCATAATAATAGTAACAAGTGAATATTTAGACAAGAATTATTGACATATGTAGCTGTAAGTTATGTTGTAGTGCAAAATTAAAAGACTTTCAATCAAAATCAGTGTTTCATGACATGTGTCATTTGTTTTGACACATCTTTCAGTTTTTAGGTTAACCTAATTATTATGAATTATAACTGGTTTTCTAATGTCATTTGCTGAATGAAATCAGTTGTTTTATTTCAGCTGAATATCAACCCATTTTAAAAAATAAGAAGTAAAAAAAGAGTTTTCAAGCAAAGATTGTGTTACGAGTATCCAGTTCTTGATGCATCGAAAGAAAAATGAAAAGTTTCAGAAAGGTGCAATTACATTAGCTGCAAAGCAATTAAATTTCGACAGAATGATCATATCAAGAATTAGGGAACCTTGACACAAACCTGCTTCCAAAAATAATTGTCAGAGTGAATCTTATGCTAATGTCGATTTTTGAAAAAAAAAAAAAAAAACTGTGGACGTAAATGCAAAGATTGCAGAGAAAAACTTGCATATTCCTCATAGCAGAAAAGGCTCCATAAGATCAGCAGCTCACTGCATTGACGTTCCTAAATCTACATTATTCCAAATTTTGAAAAAAAAAAGGAGGATCCATAAAGTGATTCAATCACCTTCAAGTCAATCACCTTCAAACCATTTCTTTCAGAAAAGAATAGGAAAGGTCACATAAAATTTTGTGTATCAAAAGCAAAGCTTTGCAGCAAAGGGATCCTACCTACAAGTTTAAAATGCAGTAACGAAATTATTAAGAAATCATAAACTATCTGAACACTCAAAAAAAAAAAAAAAAAAAAAAAAAGAGAGAGAGAGAGAGAAGGAATAATATTTTTTATTTATTTTAATTTATTCTAGTTTTTTGATAAATGCTGCATTCTATATTTATTTTCTTTTGCTAGTATTATTATGAGACAAATTAAATTCTTCAACTGCTACTATTATTATGGGGCAGAAGAAGTATAAGTTTTTTCTTTTCAGTCTAGTGGAGCAAGAAAATATTGATTGCTTTTCTTAGCAGCTCTTAGTTGATAAAACAATTGATTACATACATTAGTGGCTGAAGCTGAAAAGGAATGGTAGATTGACTGTTATTCAGCTCTTAGTGGCTGATTGGGCTGCCTGTAAGGATTTTCATATTTTCTCCCAGATGCAGCAAGCATTGCTTTTGGAAAGTTCACTTATAAGGCAGGCATTTTAGTCTTTATATATCCTGTCATAATTAACCAGTTAACTTTTCTTAGCTTCATGTTAATTCTGTACAGCAGTATAGTGGCACATTAAACAATAGTCTAAAAGCTAAGTATGAAGTATGCAAGTCTATCTAATATAAGTAATAGTAATCCTGTTACCTCTTAATCTTTAAATTAACTATTCAGTAGCTTGTAAACTGTTACATTTATCTGAGTGCTTCCTCAGGACAAGCAAGTATAGTGCAAGAAAATTGAAACAAGAGAAAAGTTTGAATTGATAAAGGAGGGACCTGTTAGTAGTAAAAAAAAATAAAATAAATCTTAGAATATACTTACAGTAACTTAACAGTTCAGAATATACTTGCAGTAACTTAGCAATCTTAAAATTAAGCAACCTTTAATCTTAAAACAACTGACTTCGCAATCTTAGAATATACTTGCAATATCTTTACCGAAATTAAAATTTGTAATAATATTTACATCTTTTAGTTGTTTATTTTTGATAAATCTTTTTAGCTTTTTGAATGATCATGCTGCTTTCATACCAAGTTAAAAGCATCAAACTGCTTTAACTTCAGTTGCTTTTGGATTCTATTATTGTATGTCCTTAACTTATGGTTTCAAGTTGGTCATAAAGCTGCATTATGAACAAAGCTGCAGCTATTTTTTAAAATCATAAACAAATTCCCTGTGCATCGCAGATTCTTAATTTTTAATTTCCATTCTTAATTTTTGGGAAGTTGGCCAAAGTATATAAGACCTTATGCCATCTGGCAATAAATCAAATAACATGCACCTCATGTTTATTTATCAGATGCTTTGCTTGCTAAGAGCTAATTTTGGTGATGATGCTTTTGTACAGCAGAAATTGTTAAAAAATTACTCCATGTAAATCGGACCGAAATCATCACTTAACTCGGATCCATGTTCTGGCTTATGTCTAAACTGTTCATTCCTGTCCAGCAAAACTGTAATGGTACTCATGCGGAGGCTACACAATTCATCCTCTGAGATGATGGAATCCAAGCAAACTCAGGTGCGAAGACAAGACAGCACGGAGTATCAATGGTTACAATCTATCCTTTTGATGAAGACTTTTCTCCAACTAAAAGATGTCTACAGAACAATAGCAATAATGCTTGTTATGTACACTGCGTAAATAAAAAGTGCGACTTAGGATATATATTAGATTTATACGTAGCTTTTACTTACTCTAATATAGGTATTTTGACACAAAATCGGACTTTTTAAAATTTGGTTCGAAATTTACAGAGAAATTAAAAAAATTATCTAGTCATACTTTTTCAGTTTGCGCCAAGAATAATTCTCTTGAAAAACTTCTTAATTTATGGCAACCTATTTGCCGTTTCCTTTTTACATTGTGTATGAGTGGGAAAAAGTCACATTGTCCTATTTTCAAATAATATTAACAAAGTGTATGTTATTATCGCTTTCAACAAATATGCCAAATTTCAAAATGCACCAATATATAAATTCACATATATCTTCAGAAATTCTGAATAGAAAGCTCTAATTTTTTGCATGTGTGCTTAGATATACATCTACTTTAAGATGATAGTAAAACTTTTATATAGGTTATAATTTAAAATTTTTTTAAAAATTATTAAAAATACAAATTTAAAAAAAAATAAATCATAAGAAATGGGTGAATTTTATTTGGAATGAACCTAAATTTCGAACTGTAAAAGAAGGAATCAAGTACGTGTAATATTAAAAAAGAGATATTAATAAATACATACCAAATTGAATTAACATTGAGGAGCTAATTTTATAAAACCTACTCGTGTAATTTTTACAAAACTTGGCAGTTTGGCATAATTTTGAGTTGTAGAATTGAAATATGGAAAAAAATTGGCATGTCATTTCAGAAAAAGTCCGATCATATGTCAAAATACCTATATTAGAAGAATGGTATGTATAAATCTAATACATATCCTAAGTCACACTTTCGTGACATGAAAAACTCAATTTGAATTTCATCAATTGGCCCAGTAGAATGGGAGATATAGAGCTGTCTCCACCCCCTTTTTTGCGCAGTGTACAGCACAAAGTTTACAAAAACAAATTAAAATGAAAATAATCAATAAACAATATGGAAGGTTAATTTATTAGATATATTGTAGCGATTTTAGAACAGTCAGGTTTTTATTTAGGTAAATAAAATAAAGGTAAGTGTTAAATTTCACAAATTGAATTTTAAGGTAAGTTCAACTGCTTATCATAACAAAGTAGTTTGCTTTAGCAAAGTAGTCCGTTTACATAGGAAACGATAATCACTTGAGTTCAAACAAAGTCGAAAAAGGTAGCGGAGAAAAAGTCCTGGCTACGCTTCTTTGAGAGTTTTCTTTTTTTCCGCTCTTGACAGAGCTTAGTAGTGACTCGGGACAAGCCATAAAAAATACACAAGAGAGAAAGGGGCTCTCTAAAGCTTACTAGCGACTCTGGGACAGAGCCGTAAAATACAAGAGAAAGGCTCTCTCTTCTCTACGCAACGACTACGTATTCTTGCAGACTAAAATCTCTCTAATTATTTTCCACTCACTGTTTTTATGTTCTAGGTTTTCTTGGCGTGTCTTGTGCGTCTGCTGCAGTGATTCGCTAAACGTCTTTTTCAGAGCATCTCTCCATTGGTCAACAGGCGCTGATTTTGTTCTCAGATACTGTCTTGACAGCCTGAGAAACTGAAATTTTCTGTGGGAAAATTCAGAACGTCTTTTTGGGAGGTCTATCTAAATTATTTCGAGAAACAGGCAGTTGGCAACAGTCTATCGCATACACACAATGGACACTCCACAACTCGTGAGAAAATTGTATGAAAGTTTTCTCCTTTCGTAAAAACAATATGCTTTCCGCACTTTGTTGGGGGTCACGCTCGACCTCAAGAATTCGTAAGTGTCATCAGGGTGGTCATCTGGTGCCCATTTGAAGTCTCCTTTTCCCAGACTTCGTGGGAGCCCGTGGGAAAATAGCTGACGACGTTACAATATTAATAACACAAACAGTAACAGTGAATAATGGTCTAAACTTTACAAAAATGTATAAGTTCATTAGTTAATGCACACTTTTTAAGGCGCAATCTAAGGCCATCAAAAATAGGATAGGCAGAAATTAAATGTTCCACATCCAGTGGCATATAGGGCCGGAGCGATTTCGGCTGATCAAGAAACTCGACCGATCGAATCAACTCAGATGACTTGGTGAGAGAGATATGGATGGGCGGACCGCGTATCACACTGAAATTCATGAAATACAGTAGCTGTAGGCTGTAGGGTAGGAGTAGAATAGAGCTAGTATTCATAAACCTATTTTATGACAGCAACAGTCATAAAATAGATTTATGAAAATACAGTACAGTCGCATTCTAATTTAATTGTGAAGTTGAAATTGTTGCATTATAACTGTAATTAAAAAAAGACTTTCTAGTGAGTTAATGTAAGTTGATGACAAAAAATACTGCAGCTGAACTTTTTACATTACTTTTTAGGTACGTGGAATGGATAAACAAAACTTCAAAGGAGGTGCACAGGAATGAGATGGGCTGAAACAAATTTTTGGCATGTTCGATTGCAAAGATAATTGTTTATATGTAGAATTACTGCTTGCACTCAGAAGTATTGCTTCCAATGATATACAAAATGCACGGATATGACAAATTGCAAAATCTGTTCTGGACAGAATAATAAATTTCTAGAATAATTTTGTCTGCTCACGTATATTTGAAAATATTTCAATATATTGAGCTAGTTACGAAATATTTGCGGACTAAAGAATTAGATTACATATTAGCATATAATATGATTAGGGAGGTTACAAGAAGCCATTTCTAGAAACTCTGTTTTAATATTTAGCACATCAGTGGATTGCAATAATAAACTAGGAAGGTTGAGTTGTGATATTATAGAATGAGCTTTTTCAAAATTAAAAATTGCAAAAAGTAGATTAAGGAGCATTATAAAGCGAGCTAATTTGGAGTCAGAGCATAGAGAAGGATATTTTGACTAAAGCAAAAAATTAAAGATATAAAATGGAGGAAATATTTTGCCCATGTGCCTGGAATTAAAAAATATTTAAATGGCTAATTATGACTCAACGATTGTTTTGTTTATATAATTATTTATTATTTGTAGTTTATTTGCATATATATATATGAATGAAGTGTTACTTTTCTGCTAAGGTATATTTTTATTTTATGAAATTATTTTTTATGATGATGACAATAATAACTTGTATGTATATATATAACTTGTTTCATATGGGGCCTTAGGGCTGGCATATTTTATCCTACCGATTTCTTTGGCCAGTCTGCCACTATTCACATTGAGGTACCTTTTATGAACATTTGGATTCTAGATTGAAATAGAATAACCAGTGTAAATTTACCATGGTTATGTAAAAACGCCAATACTTTGAAATTTGTAAATAAGAAAGCCTTAAAATATAGTCTATGTTTAATAGAGGAAAGAATTTTTATAGTATGCCTGGGCTTACAAGATGGAAGTGTGTTCTTCACTCCATTTAAAAGGACTTTCAACAACATTTTGAATATTAATATGAAAGTCGATGAATAAATTTATGAAAAAAAAAGGACCCTTCATTTCCATTAATGTCATGATGATACATAGACAAAACAAATATCAATACCCATCTCTAACTGACTTGACTTCTGAGTTTGTTTATCAGTTTTTCTGTACTCTTAATGCTGCTGAAGAGATGCAGACAGGAAAGAGAATCAGAACAAAAAAGGTACCTTAGGGATGAAATCCCATTCTACATGACCCTCTCGAATGCTCGAACAAGTTTTAATTAAAAAATTGTGCATTCACATATACAGTGTCTAGAATAACAAACTTCAAATTGGTCTGCAAAAGAACAATTACCAGCCAGCCAAACCGTATTATTCATTCTACTGTCATCTGTAAAACAAACTGTATGACAACACTTTTCTGCATTCTTTTCATAATGACAAATTTATAGGCTCTAAAGCAGCTGGGTGAGGTATGCCATAAAAGAATTTCTGTTTATACAAGTACTGTTTTAAATATAAAAATCAGAACAATAATTGCATTTTTTGTGTTTCAGCATGGGGACAGGGTGCAGCAGGGACCCATAAACATGACAGTTTGGCAGTTTCTGATTGAATTGCTATAACCTGAGATTGTTGATTAATAACAGAATCTGATATATATTGTTTGAAATAATTATTTGTTAATATTCAACTAATAAGTAGCATAATTTTTTATCTTAATTGAAATATGCATTTTTATATATTACTTATTATTTAATACCGTGCCTGAAATATGTATTTTATATTATAAAATTAATGTATGTACCATTTATTTTCTTTCTTTTAAGTGGAATAATATACTACAAAATGAGTAATATTGATAATCGGATAGCTAATCCTGATCAGCTTCTTACTCAAGATGTGGATAAATTTTGTGGTTCAGTAACAGATTTGTATTCGAACATAAGCAAAGTGAGTAATTTTCATCTTCTTTTGTTTCCAATACAACATATTGAAATTAGTGTGAAATTTTTGAAAATTAAAATTTTTAAGAAAATATTCTAATTTTTTTGGTATATTTTTTAGCCTTTGCTAGATATTATAATATTTGTACAACGCCTTGCAGCTGATGTAGGAATTGAGGTATGTTATTAAAATCTTTTCTTTATTTAATTTGTTTCCATATTCTTTTATTATGTGTTTCTATGTATTTTATAAAATTGACAAAGTAAAATATTTTTGTTGATTTTAATAACATCTTTGAAAATAGTACTTTAGATAGAGGCTTTCAGATATTTATTTTTATAAGTGAACTACAAAGTACTGCACCAAAAAGTATTATTATTTATGAATTATTCATGAATACTTTGTTTAAAAAATCATTTATGCTTTAATTCATGCTTAAATTTCAGTTAAGGCAAGCAGTATTGGTTATTCAGTTCACTTACCAACTGAAAGCATAAACACAGATTTAACAAAAATGGCAAAAAGAAAATTATTCAGCTCAACAGTGTTTACTTGAATGCAAGATAAGCAAAAAGAATTCAAGCTCTTTTTTCTTCCTATATATACGTATAATATTTGAGCTAATTATTCCATAAACCAGGGTTTCTTAAACTGTGGGTCGTGACACCCAAGGAGGTCGCGGGACCTGCAGCAGGGGGTCGGCAAAAATTGTAGCAGTTTTAATATTTCTTTAACGTATTATAATAATTTTAGTTACTAAATATTTTTACACAATGTATCTGAAAATAGATAAAGATAAGACAATACAGACAAAGAAAAAAAACAAAAATGTTTCGGTGCATTCTTTTTAGAATATAAAAAGTTCATTTTCCTTGCTTTGCCCGTGACGCTGTCATTTCGTCTGTTACTTATTTAAAATTTTCATGTTGTCTTAAAATTAGAAATTAAAGTTAATGACCTAAAACTGTAATAGTATATTACAGTGCAAGTGAAAAAATTGACAGTTTCACTCACGCTTGTGTCAGATTTGCGCAATATTTATGGGGTCCCACAAATTTTTTGTAAAATATTATGGGGTCCTGGGGGTTGCGAAAAAATCTCAGTGATAAAAAGGGGTCGCGACTGAAAAAAGTTAAAAAAACCCTGCCATAAACTAATTATTGCTGCTAGCATTTCAACATTTCAAAAATAATTTTGTATTTATTTTATTTACATAAAGTTACAAAAAAAATTAAAGTCGTACCAAAGTTATTCATTAGCCCAAGCTCTATATTCAGTATTTGTGTGAAGTAGTCGAGTTGTGTGCTTCAGTATGGTTTTAAATTCAGAATCAGGCTGCAAAAACATGCAAAAATAATAGCATTAATAACAAAAGCATTGCATATAATCATAATTTTTATTGCATTTTAAAGAAATTATGCAATTTTATTATGCAGAAAATTTTTATGCAGTTTTTTACTCATTGAACGAGCTTTTGTGTATTATTATGAAAAGTAAAACAAATTGACATTTTAAAGAAAATTATTATGAATTTATTTAATTTATGCATAAAAAATATACTCTTTTTTTTTCCCTGGTCTTTTATATGCATGTATGTATATCATATTTTCTGAAAATGCTTTTATTTCATTACTTTAATTCTGAATGATTAAATTTTGAGAAAGAGCCTTTTTCATTTTTAACATACATTTCCTTCCAGTAAATTAATTTGCGTAATTTTCTGTCTGTGAAGTGTTCTGTATTTCCACTGAAGAATTTTTCTTTATTTTCAGTTTCTTCTTGTCATAGAATAAAATTATTATTTTGCCCCTACAACATTTTTTTAAGCAAAAATGTTACTTTTATTCCAAGCACTTCCTAATGCCAGTCCTATCCATCTTAAGAAGTTATGGTTTAGATTGTCAATCATGTTGTTTATTAAAACTTGGTCAACTGCTGCTGATAAAGTGGTATTTTCTCTTTTATGATTGGTTTGTTCTATGTGTCTACTGGTACAAAACTGAGATTTTGCAGCTAGGAAATTATAACTCTTTTATGTCATAAAACTATTTCTACACCCTCTTAAATCTATACAACTTGCCACATTTGTCCCTGCTGGATTATACAGACCTCAGTGTGAACAGCCCTTAGGAGAGGATTTGCGTCTTAAAGTTTTAACAAACCTGATGGTCCATCTCGAAGCAACTATATGCTAAGGAAATGGATATGATGAACATCTTCTGCAGTCTAGCTAGCCATGTGTAGTCCAATGTGTATTTTAATACTAATATATTTCTGTATATTTTCTACATCAAACATAAGCCATTTCCGCGATGCCAAATCTTTTGTGCCTCTCTGTATGTTAACTGTCAGTATTGTGATTGCTGCACCAAGTATTCTATATTACCCCTAGAAGTGTATTTCATACCATATTGCTACAGGAGCCGATATACTACCTAATTTATGTTGAATTCACTGAATTTTGTATCAGACTGTAGACTGTTGGTAACAGACTGCCAAAGAAAGTCAAACACTTCTAATTTTAGGATAAATGCAGAAATTTAAATTCATCTTTGGACATAAAATAAAGTTTTAACAGCTTAAATGTCTGTTCTGTAACGTACTATGGGGAAAAATTTATTTCTGGTGTTTTTTATCAAAATTTGATAATTGTGTAATACATGTAGCTAAATAAGAATCTGATGCCATCGCGTATAAATCTCATGAGTGATAAAATGAGATTTTTATGCTGATGTTAAACATACAAAGATAATAAGGAATAATTTTAAAATTAAACTTTTGTTGCAATGCAAGAAAATATATAGATGTCGCATATATGCTTGCAAATTGGCATAATATCTTGCTTGCAAATTGATTCTTGCTTAAGTATTGCTGCTGATGCCAGATTATGCAGAAGAAAAAAGAAAGAAATTTTATCATTTCAATTCTAGAAGATATAATTAAAGATTGTGATTTCTTGTAGAAGAAATGCACACTTCACAAAATCTTTTCATACTTTTATAGTTTCAATTAAATCCTGTGGAATCAAATGACATTTTTGTAAAAGGGCGGGTTTAAACTTCTGAAGGTTTCAACAAGGAGCTGGCATGCCATAACTCATTGGCATCATTCCCTGATATGTTGAATAGAATTGAAATTAGATTAGTATAGTGGCCAGTCTAATCAAATAACATTCCCACTTTAGAACTGCTCAGTCATCATGGCAGCTTAATGAGGTTGAATATTGTCAAAATCTGGCACAAAAATTCTGTCTGAAACACTCTTATAATTAGGGATGCGGAATCTCATCTTTGTGCAAGTTACAGAACCTCTGTCATATTTATGCAGTTAGATGGAGTCATTTCTCATATCTATCCAGACAAATAAACTGTCACCATGGATATTATCTTCCATTAATATGCAGTGGAAGATTGCATGTTCCATGCTCTCATGCTCAAAATCACCATGTAGACTGAATCTGAATTCACATATGACCATTATTTGAACTTTATCATCTTCAATGGTAGTGGCAATGAAGTTAAAATCATCTTAAAATCATCTTCTAGAAGTTGCACTAAACAGAATGTAGTGCTCTTGTAGACCATGCTGATGAAACCTTTGGTAAGAAGTAAGTTTATTTATTTGGATATCAGTGACTCAGAGAGTTCTCATGCTAACTTTCTAGTAGTTATGTAATGGTTTCTTCATACCAGCAGTGGAAAATAATGATCTTTAAATAGTGCAGTTACTCTTAGACAGGAATGACCAGCAAGACAGCTCTCTCCTGTTAAAAAGTGGTTTTAGATTCTTGAGGTTGTGTTTTGAGAAATATTCAGCTCTTAGGAGATGCTGAATTGTGTTTGATCTGCCTGTAGTCCACTGACCATTCATGGATTATGACATTAATGATTAACATGTATCATTTTCAAATTTATAGCTTGATATTTAATTAAGATATGTGTGGGATACTGAGCATTTTCCATTTCATGATTTGTTCACATTTTTCTTATTTGCACAGTCTGCATGAAAATACCTGCATTGCATGGAAATATCTGGTTTTTGTGTTCAGTAGTGTATAATTACCATAAATAATTATACTGTAGAATTATTATTAGTTTTTACATAATTATCACAATTTTTACAACTTAACCATTAATTTTGAATAGCAAAATATACATATAATGAACTTAAACATTTCTTACATAGCTTAACATTGTAAAATTTATTCTTCGTATTAATTATTTTCCTTTCTGTGGGATTTTTAATTTCTTTTTTCTACTTTTTTTAATATATTTCATTACATAAGTTTTGAAAAAATCTGATAAAACTGTATCTACATTTTAAAAATTCATACTAATTATCTGCTTAAATGAATACTTCTAAGAATTAAGACTCAACGATATTTACAAAATGCTTATATTTTCAATTTCTGAAAGCATTTAAAATATGCCATAGCTGCCAACTTTCCAGTATTTTCATCACATCTTCTGATGTCCTGGTTTTTAATTTTTAATTAATGAAAATGTCTTCCAGCAATAAATGAAATTTGAATTAGACAAATTTCATTCACCAGCTCTAATGATTTTCAGAATAATTTTTATTATTAAACTTTATTTCATCTGAACTGTAGTTTTTCTAATTACATTTTACTGATATTTGTCTTATTAAATTTTATTTTTTCTGTGTTATTAATCTACTGTAAATATTTGTATATCTTTATATGAAGATTCAAGCAATGTTTAATCACTTAATATTTGTATTTAGTTTTGTCTGCTCTGATATATGATACATTATTAAGTTTATCTGCATAAATACTATGTACATTAATTATTAATCTTATTTTCATCATATTTAAAAGCATGTTCCTAAACAAAAGCTTTCCTTCAGTACGGATTTTCTCAGTACAAATGTATAAGAAAATTTGAAAAGGAAATTACCCCAAAAACATAAAATTTAGAATATCTGTTTAAATGCTAATATATTTTACATCAGAATTGTATTACAAATAGTTGAATATCACAAATCGTGCATTATAACTGAATATATATTATCAGTTTGGAGTTCTTCCTAGTTTCTTTGCAAAAACCAGGAGGTTTTTAAGATTTCAAGGTTGGCAGCTTTGATATGCATATTAAAGGTAATTTTAACTCTAATTATAAGCTGCTTGAAAATACACACTTAGACCAAAAAAAAAAAAAAAGGTACTTTTCCGTTTCGCCGGCGCAAATCTCGCCAAGCAGACTTTGTTGGCTACAACATACAGTATACACATAAAAAATGTTAATTCTAAGAATTTTTTTTTATTGTGAAGGCATAACATTTAATATGGTTTAAAATTTTGTAAAAAGCCATAAATAAAGACAATAAATTTGTAAAAAACATTAATTTAAGAATTTACTATGATTTCATAGTTCAAATCCTGATTCGCCGGTTCGTATCACGTGACCCCAAGTGATCTCATCTCACGTAAACTACGCTACTAAAATTTAATTCGCTCAGTAATTATCTACATTAATTTTAAGTTAAATCTTAATTTGGAATACAAGTTTAAATGCAAGAATTATTTCAATTCGTACAAATAGCTTACTCAGAAATTATGTAAAACCGCAGTGCTTTACTCTTCGCTAGTCATTAGAATTGATGAATTTAACACTTGATTTCGCCTTCGGATGAGCGGTGTACTTGCGTTCTAATTGACTTAATTACCCGTGAATTGTCTTAGGGATAAAATTTAAATATCGTATAAAAATTCTATATTATTGTATGCCAGTATTGAAAGAAACAATCTGATAAGAAATGGCTTCAACTTGTTTTGAAACTGAGGCGTAAAAGGTTACCAGCGAAGATATTCCGTCTGGCATCAGTTAAACCATTATTGGCGACTTTATCGTTTGCGCCGGCAAAACGGAAAAGTACCAAAAGAAAAAAAAAAAAAAAGAAACCAACGCACCAAGAAGGAGTTATCCAAATGGACGAAAATCGGTAGAAGTGATGTACATGTACAGAAAAACAAATGATTAGTACTAAAATGCAAATACTGTAGGTGAAATATATACTGTACATAAATGAATATATACATAAATGAATATATCAAAAATAGTTTTTCAGCATTGATTTTGTCCTCTTTAATGTTAGCCAATTTAATATTGTCTTTGTTTCTCAAAAGCATAGACATTATCCACTTGGCATACAGTATACAGTATGCAATAAATAGCTGAGTCCTGGATAAGCATGCCATTTTCATACTTTTCAACCATCGCTTTTTTTCACTTCCTGGTGAACCTAACAGTTTTCTTCATTGTTTGACTCTCCTCATTTATCTTCCTAAAAATCAATATTAATAAATTAAAAAAAAAAAAAAAAAAAAAAAACTTGAAGGTTCAGAGTTATGCTGTGTGTTGTTTATAGTAGCAACATGGACTGATACTCATGTTCCATTGTATCTAAAGAGGTGAACAAGAGTAGTCTGCACAGTTATGATTCATCAAACTCAAGTTGTATTCCAAACAAATATCATAAACCAAGCACATGTTTCCACATACAAACGAGACATATACCAAGGTGGACATACTTCAAAGCAAATGTATAAGAAGATTCAACTGTATATTGTTGCAATCAATTAAATGTTTAGAAATGTGCTAATCCAAAGATTAAGCCAAAATTAGATTTTATAATAGCATCCCCTTAATGTATATAGTGTAAATTATTCATTTTCCATAAAATAGCAAAATGCAGAAATGGGCCTCATTCTCTCTCTCTCTCTCTTTTTTAATAGTGGTTTATTAATATTATATTATAAAAATATCTGCCGTACTCAGGATAGAAAATGTCATCATTCAATGATTGTTCTTTGATAACAGTTATTGCATTTTATGTTTCTTCAGGTAGCAGAAAACAAAGACATATTGCCTATTTAATAGTTAAGAAATAAGAGTAGGTAATTATGGAAATATTTATGTGAGACAGAAAGAATGGAGGCTCTAAAGATCACTCAGTTTCTCTAAAATCATTCATAATCATAACTCAGCAAAAAACATTCTATGTTTCTTTTCGTTTCAAAATCATTATTAAGAATTCAATTAAAAATAAAATTTTAAAAAAATCTTGTTACTTAAAAATAGGCATATGAATATTTTAAAGCAAAGATGTATGATTCTCATTCATGACTATTTCTATGATTTATGAATTTATCTGGTAACTGAGTTACATGAAATAGTATTTCTTCATAAAAATTTTGTGATTGTGTTTGTGGTGATGGTGATGTGTTTCAGAAAAATAATATAGGGTTTTGGTATGCATACATCTTAATATTTTTTTTAATTTTAGATAATTTACAGCTAAAAATTTAAAAAATGGATTAAAAAGTCATTCACTGCATTTTGCATTTTTTATTTCAGGGGCCATCATTGATGATGACATATTTATTATTTGCTGGTCTTCTTTTAACTAGGTTTGTCTATTAAAATATTAATTCATGAGATAAATATATTAAAAAGTGTCAAATTCTATATGTTCAGATTGTTTTACATCAAAGATATTTAACACATAGAAACAAAGTACTTTTTCATGCTTCTATTGTTTTATTTAAATCAGTAATCTTTTTGGCCTCTGTGCATTCCTTTCACTACTGCTAGACAAAAAAAAAAAAAAAAAAAAAAAAAAAATCCCCCCTTTCAAAACTCTATGCCTATGCATTTTTTAAAATTTAGATTTTTTAATTTTTTAATGTTTCAGAAATTAAATGAGAAGTATAGAAAATGCTGATAAATATCAAAATTTGAATAAAATTACTTTTTAATGTTGATAAACTAAAACTAAATATTAAATAGGTAAATAAAAGGCTGACTGCATTTCTGCATTGAAAACCCCTGTTTAAGATTTTCTCAAAAGTATTTTTTATTTCGTTTACCTTTTTTATTAGTTTTTCTCTAACCAAATTTTCCATGATTTATTTTTAGGTTACGGAGACCAACTGGTAAAATGACAATGACTGAACAAAAATTGGAAGGTGAATTGCGATATGTTAATTCTCGGTTAATAACTAACAGGTATGATTGAAATTTTAACAAATAATGCATTCTTTTCAAATTGAGAACATTTAAAAGTTGTTTATTGTGGTGTTATTATAGTACCCATTTTTAAATGTGAATCAACTGCAGATTTATCTTTTTTATACTATTGAAAAATATAATTTTTATGTGAAATAGTTATTACTTTGCAGTACAGAACATTGAATTTTATTTTCTAAATGTTCATTTTTTAATATTTTATGCTTGAATTTGGCTTGAAAGTTTTTTTTTTTTTTTTTTTTTACCTTTTTCAAGTGATAAGAAATATTACTTCTGTTTGTGCATTTTATTTCAAACTACAATTTTTATGCATTTTTTATTTGTGTTTAACTTCTGAGTTTTGTGAATTTTCATTATGCACTTGCCAAATTATGTGGACCATTGGCTAAATATGGGTGAATATGTATGAGAATTTCAAACTTGATTTAAAATTATATATGTAAATTTTGCATTTTTATGTAAGGTATATTTATTTGATGTAGACCTCAATTCAGGTTAATACTAAAAGAAAGAAATTACCGTAATGAAATATTTTGCAGAGAATTGGTAATCCGAAATCTCAAAATTATGTCATGTATCAATCATTGTTGATCAATGCTATTTTAGGTTATTCATAATCATAAATGTTTAAAAATAAAATTCTAGGAAATTCTTATTAGTTTAAATAATATTAATATAATTCGTATTAGTTTTAAATAATAAAAGATATTTTTGTATGTAAGCTTGTGTTATTAATTTTCTTAACACAACTGGAGAGATATTAATAACATGATTGAAAAGAATTTGCATAATTATGTGATCTAAGCTAAAATTAATTAATTAAATTTAAGAATAGAATATCATATATTTGCATTAGTTTGGGCCAACTGTTTTTGAATAGTACATTTTTAAAAGAATTCAGTGTTAAGATTTATTCCATTAATATTACTTTTTAATATATTTATGATAAAATATACTTCAAAACTTATATTTTTGTTAAATCATTTATGGGAAAAACTGTACACCTGCTATTACCAAAACATGTTATGATTTTGCCGCAGGATTTGTATAAACAACACTTGGTGACTTTCCTTCTGTCATTTTAAACTCATAGTGGCGATCTCTCCACAGAATGGGAGAGATTTGTTTAAAATGTAGTGCAAGTATTTTTTTTATAATATCTTGAAATGTTTCATGACTCCCGTTTTGGCTGGTGTTTTCGTTAAATCTTTCAATATAGTAGGAATTTTAATTCATATAATCAGTTTGTGAACATTAATATTTGTGGCAGTCTTGACCAGTCAGTTGTTCATTCCAGGAAACAGCTTTAAATATCAACACAGCAGAGCAGGCCAAAGCACACTTTCATCATTAAATGGTATGCTTGGCTTCTAGTTGACAGACTGTGATTTGACCTAAATTTATCATGACAGCAATTTGCATTTCCACCCATCTGGAGGAAATGACAAAGAATTGCCTCATGTGTCACTGTGCTGTCCCTCACAATTCAACAGAGAGCCTGACTGAGCATGCAGGTGAAAGCATCAGCTACATTAATGCACAGGGCTAGGCAACATGGACAAACATTGGCATGGTCATGATGACTAACTGTGTACTGTGTTATTGAATTACAGATATTGCCAGGTGACTGTGGTTCTCTTAGTGACCATTTAGGCACTTGTACCAGGAAAAAGTTTTTCTTCCCAATGTCATTAACTACCTTCAAAGATTCCATCTTATTCTTCCTAACAGATGGTACCACAAGAGAGCAACAGAAGTAAAGAGCAAATGATAAGGGACAAAGACGAAATAAGAAAAAGTGCATTATCAAATTATCTCCAAAATAGAGATTTCAAAGCATACCATTTTTGCTGAATATATTAAATAAGAATTTATTTTTTAATAATGAAATATGGAAAATATTTATTTCAGGAATTTACTGATTCAGTCTTGTTAATTTAGATTAAAAAAATCTTAAATTATATTATATATATATATGATAAAAACAAAGTCAGAAGTAACCGAAGAGCAAGAATTTCAATAGTGTAGGCATGTTGATCCATAATGAATAGGAAATTGGAGATGAATGCAGATTTAAATCTTCATTTTTTATTTTAGCAAACATGTTGTGGCGACAATCAAGTTGGCACATTAATTATGCCTATTCCAAGAGATTTTACATTTTAGATAAAATTGCAATAAGAAGAAAGAGCAGACAGACTGCACAGCAGCTAGACCAAAGCGGGGAAACCAAGTGCGTAATGTTCAGAATGAAATCTCAAGTTAGATTGAGTTAGTTTTGGTTCTCAAAGCATTTTGATTGGACAGTTAATATTGCTGCAAAATTACTATTGGCTGGTTGAGTTTTAGTTCCGTTTACATCATCAGAATTATGTAAGAGTCATATGACATAGATTTTTCTCAAAATGACACACTGCAAATAGATGTTGCTATTTTTAGAATTGAGAAGGGAAATTTACGTTGCTAATTTAATCCTTTACATATTCTTTATTTTTCTTACATATCCCCCCTCCCCCTTCAAGAAGAAAAAGGCGTAGCAACAGAGAAGCCTCTTTAAAGAAAAAGCATTAAAGCACTAGCAAATGAAAAAAAAAAAAAAAAAAAAAAAAAAACATAAATCATAAAATTTTGATCCTGTAAATTATAATTTATAAATATACATGTCCTGTGCATTGGATTTTCAGTGGAAATGCCATCGCAGTGTCTGCAATAACCGACCACCTCTTCAAACGTCCATGTGTCACGGAAATTCATAATAGATTTCAAGTATTCAAGTATCAAGTTCAATAAAATGTGTCTGCTTATCTGCAAGTCCAAAAGTGCTAACATCAGTGAAAACAAAGTGTAAAGCCATCTCTTAAATGTTTAGAAGAAAAAAAAAGTGTTTTAAATCATCAAAGTGTGCCTGTTCTTCACAGAAGTGTTATCATCTAAATTGTGGCTATGACTGTGAAAGCGAATTAGTTAATGAATACCTTCATGTTATAATCTTCAGCTGGCATTTGATTAGACAGTTAATATTGCTGTAAAATTAATATTGGCTGGTTGAGTTTTAGTTCCATTTACATCATCAGAATTATGTAAGAGTCATATGACATAGATTTTCCTCGAAATGATGCAGTGCAAATAGATGTTGCTATTTTTAGAATTGAAAAAAGAAATTTAAGTTACTAATTTAATCTTTTACATAATCTTTATTTTTCTTACATATATATACATATATACATATATTTTGCTTTGTAGTGAAGAAATAGCCTTCTACCAAGGTCATGGAAGGGAGAAAGTTTACTATGCTGCATGCTTTCCAGAGGCTGGTAATTTTAACATTATTTATTTGTATAATTTTCTTCCAATTATCTATCTGTATAGTGTATCCTTTAGTTGTCCAGATAAAAACTTTTATTTAGTATGTTTTAATGCAACTTATTTGAGATTTTTTAAATTTTTATGTATGTCAAATGTAAAATATTTAATGCTACTTAATAAATTGCATAAAGTTAATTTTATTCTCAAACTTATTAATCATTATGTTAATTAATTCATGTTTAGTAATAATGCGTACTACTATTTTAGTTTTTATGATAGTATTACAAAAGTGAAATTCAGGCATAGATAATATTTTTAATTAAATTTATTCAGTTCCCATTTGCTCACAGGTCCTTAATTTTTTTCATTTATGGTCCTTAAAAGTGTGCAGAAATGTGTACGAACCCTGATTTAGTCTTATGCGATTGAGAGCTGAACTACAGACATCTTTGAGCTTTGAAAAGAACTCACAAAATGGTGCAAAAGATGCTTGTATATTTCTCAGAAATATGAACAGTCAGTGCCATCTGTTAACCCAGATCTGGATAAACAATTAACCATTAGAGAAAAGCCAGAACAAAATTATGAATGGGTTAAGAGCGGGTTGTAAAGTTAAATAGACAGAAAAAATGCATCCCTCCAGAAATTGTGGGTTGTGCACATTTTGCTACTTCTACATTGGCCGTGAAAATTGCGGGATGCGCAGCGAGAGGCTTAAAAATATTTTTCAGTTAATTAAAATTGTAAAGTTCAATGTTATTTGCAGATTGTATATCTCCTAATGCAATTTAATTTTTTTAATGTTTGAACAGTAAATATTTAACATATTTTATGTGTAAAGCATTCTTAAATTATAATAAAATATATTTAATGCAATGAAGATTGTTAACTGTTGTATTTAATAGTTAAATACAACAATAAGCAGATTGCATATCCAGGATTGATGTGTTAAAATTATTATTTTTATTTTTTGTTTTGTGTGTATTCTGTATGTGTAAGAATAATTAAAAATTCCAAGTGCATAAATAAATTTAAATATTTCATTTTTTAGGTAAGCCATTTGAGAATGTCTCAGCATTTTAACTTTGCTATGGGATACATAGATAATATTATAGCAAGATGTAAGCCATCTCTTATTTACTGTATCCATAAATTCTTATTTTCTATTTTTTAATTTTTATTTAATTCTGTCCCTCTTGTTTAAGATTGGGCTACTGTTGTTGGTTATCTGCTTATCAGTCGGCCATTTATTGGAACGAAAAAGGATGGCTTATCTCACAGTGAACGTTTAGAGGTAGGAAAATATATTAATTTCTCCTCATAAATTCATTTTTCTTTTTAGTAGCTTATAATAGTTTGAAAAAAAAAAATTTAAAGCAGAACTTGATTTTGGTTTTGATATTTACTATTTTAGTTACATGTTGGAAATAGAATAAACATTTTTTAATGTAAAATTTTGTAATAGATGTACAAGTTTGCTTAAAAAATTAAGAATGAAATGAAAATAGTCATTTGTTTGTTAAGTTTTTTTTTAGATGTTTTATATTCAGTGAACCAATTTTTATCTTAACTGGAATTCTGTGATGTAAAAACACCTCCTATAATAATTAAATATTGTATTTTTATTCAAGAATTGTATTTGATGAAAAGAGCAGTTTCTAATGGCATATATTTTTTTGATGAATTAAAAATTTTTTTAAACGTATTTCTTTTACTTTTGTCATTTCAAATATATTTCCTTTTCTGAGTATTTTGAATGCAAACACACATACAATGGAAAAGGAAAAGAAAGTACCGTAGTTTCCGGAAGAAAGGTCGCATCATCGTAAATGCTGCACTCGAGAAAAATGGCGGGAAAAAATTAAATTCCAGAAACATCAATCTGCGTAACGCCACATAGTTTATGCGCGTGACATCTTCGTGGGCCGATAGATGCAAAATTTCAACTATGTCTTGATATATGACAATAAGTTAGAAAAATGCGTGAAATGCAATCATAACTCAATTAAATTAAAGGTAAGAAATGTGAAAAATATTACGTTCACGAATATACTTTATATACCCCTAAAGAAGTCCATATTTGTAATACTCAGACTATATTATAAATTTGCACAACTATTAAATTGGATTACAAGAAAATTTTAAATTTTATTTACAAAAGGAATTACAGCAAACTATACATCCGACCATCAAAATCTGATTCTTATTTGAATTAAAAGATTTAGTAATCCTGATCTAAGCCCAGTCTCCAGATTGTCCACATTCATCTCTTTGTTTACGTCTCTTTATTTAAAGGATAATTTCAGCTTATTTGAATCTGCTATTATGACGATTTTTACCGATTTCCCGCTTTCCTACCACTTTGCAACTTCTAAAGATCTCTACGCATTTGCACTTTGGTAATGAACAATCTTCACATCTAACACCCCCCGCTTTTGGACTTCAGTTTGAAAGATTTATTACTGACAAATCTAATGGTTGTAAGATTTTTTGTCAACCACAGGAATTATTGCTACGGTCGTAGACAATTTGACATCTGGTTTTCACTGACTCAAGTAAATGAGCATGCATGGAATCCATTATCGATACCTTTTGGTGAAAAAAGATCCTTACGAGTACTGCCACTTTTGTAGCAATCATGCATGATTGGTTTCGCACATCTAGCAGTTCTCGTTTGCACAAAAAATTACGTCATTAGGGAATCCCTTCGGAATAGTTTTTCCGTTTAAAAATGATCATTGGCTTTAGCTTGTCACCATTTGTGGCACAAGCTAACACATGTAAATGAATTCTTTCATGCCCCGCACAATACAGTTTTTTGCACAAGTTTCATCAACATTCTTTTGCGGAGAATCGAAAATAACAGCGTTTCATCCATATATTATCTGTGACCGAAGAAGTTTTCTTTGTCAATAATATCTGTCACATATTTTAGAAAAAGATGTTTTTTATCCCGCCAGTCCATTGGAATTGTGCCCGACTGTTTAGCATGCACCAAATATTTTTCCTTTTCAAAATCTGCTACCAACAAGGCCCTCCTTTGAAATCATTATGTTCATTTGCTTTGCTATAATTTTGCTGTAGCGAATTTTTTACATTCGAAAATTGCCATTCCTTTTTCGTTACCTTTATCCAGTTTGCAAGGTCCTCCTCTAGATTCGGCCCATTACACTACCACTTCTTTTGGCTCGTTCTGTTGTGGTATATTTTTAAGTTCTTTTCATTCTCCAGCGTCGAAAAATCTTTCGTCCTTCAAACTCTCGAGCTGCTGCTCTATTCCAATTTGTTCAGCACGTGAAATTACATTAATCTTAAAACCAACAGTATAGCTTCTGTGCCGTTTAGGTGCCATTTAAAAAATTTTCCGCTCTTAAAAACTATCAACAAGTACTTGTACCCAAACTTCCAAACAAGTACTTGTACTTAAAGTTAAAAACTTCCAACAAGTAAGTTAAAAATACCACAAGTACTGTGTACCCAAACTGAGGGATCTGTGTCTGGCAGAATGCCAAGAAAAATCAATTCATGCGTGGGAAAGACTTGCGAGGCAGGAGAAGTGTCCGCCTTGAAAAAAATGCAGAAAAAGGCAGGGGGGAGAGAGGATGGTTCCTGGAAGATTCATCGAATGGCAGAGGAGAGAGACTATTCAAAATGATGAGAATGCTGATTTCAAAGGGGAAAGAATGTTATCATTCTGAGATCCCGTTTAGGGTGAATAAGGCATGTAGGTCCGTTCAAGGGAAAGAATGTAGACAAAATAAGGTTCGCAAAAAGCAACTGAGTGGTTTTTTGTGTTGGAACAACTGAGTGGTCTATGTACAATGACAATGCCATCCAAACTATGTACAATGACAAAGTTATTCAAACTATGCACAATGACCATCAAAGGAAATATTTTATTTTTAGTGCACCTAAACATCGCATGGGTAGAAACGCCACACTCGCTGAAAATTTAAGTTTTAAACATGTAAATGCCGCAGCGTTTCTTCCGGAAATTACAGTAATGAAAATTATCAGTATTGTTTCAGCATAAATAAAAACAAATTATGTTACATTATTAGAACTGAGAGTTACAAATGTATTTTGTTGTTGGAATTGTAAATGTATTAAAATATATAACTAGATATATATAATTGTATGTAAGATATAAAATATGAAAGAAAACTACTAAATTTAATTTAGCAATAGTTCTTTTAATTCCTAATTTTAATTTGGGTACATCCCCTTCCTGAATCCAAATTCCTCACATATGAAAACTAATCTGCATTATGTAAGCTTGTTAAACCTGTAATGCAGTTATCTCTAGTCCAGTCACTGCTCAAGATTTAAACAAAGAAATCAAATCTGTAAATACCCCTTTGCTGAAATGCACAGTTACTTTGCTCTTTCCTCTCACTCTGCTTGAACGTGTTATTTATCTCTCTACGTTATCCTTTGTTTAAAGATGTGATGATTTGTGTATAATGATGGACTGCTTGTTGCAGCGATGCTGATGTGTAAACAAGCATATATGTCCATGGAATTAGTTAATAAGGAATAAAATTGTGTCTTGTTATCTATGCCATGTCTGAAACTTTTTTCTTCTGCGTTATCTGTACTATCTTCAGATCTTCAAGTGACACAGAATTATCTTTTAAACACACACATACATGCATATATATATGTGTAAGAAAAATAAAGAATATGTAAAAGATTAAATTAGTTGTATAAATTAATTTCCATTCTCTATTCTAAAAATAGTAACCTCTATTTGCACTGCATCATTTCAAGACTAATCTATGTCATATGATTCTTACATAATTCTGATGATGTAAATGGAACTAAAACTCAAACAGGCAGTAGTAATTTACAGCAGTATTGATTATCCAATCAAAATGCATTGAGAACCAAAACTAAACTTGGTCTAAATTAAGGTTTCACCCTAAAAATAACACACTTGCTTACTACGCTTTGGCCTAGCTTCACTGCAGAATGTCTCCTCCTTCTTTCGTACTGCAAATTTATCTAAAATGTAAATTTTTTGGAATAGGCACAATTAATGTGCCAACCACAACATGTTTACTGAAATAAAAGTGGAATTAAATATACCTTGACTGCCAAATTTCTTATTCATTGGGGATCAGTGTTTCAGCATTCTACGACATCAAAATTCTAGCTGTTCATTATAGATTCAACGGCCTGTGTTCTACTACAGAATGTGTGTGTGTGCAGAGCCGGGACAAGGGTGAGGCAAGTGAGTTGCCTCGGGTGAATCACTAAAAGGGGCACCAAATTGGCTAATTTGGCTAATTTGGTGCCCCTTTTAGTGAATAACAAGGCTACCGAATTCGATAATTACTTTAGTTAGGTTTTAAAATTTGTCAGTTATTATTAAGGGAAATAAACTTCAAAACTTAATTAATAAAACAATAGAAAGAATTGCAAGAAAACCTGGAAATTAATGTAAAGTGCATTTTGATGTTATTTCTTATTTATCAAAAAAGAATTTTTAACATTTTCATTTGAAAGTTATAAATAATTGGCTATATTATTTTTATGAATTTATAAAGCTATGATTAAAAAGTAAGAATTATTGTATAATTATAAGAATTATAATATTTTGTTTTAATACATTTACTTTTGTTTAATACAAATATAGCTATTTTGATATGTATATTAGGGGCACACATTCACCTTTTTGCCTCAGGGGAAAAAATATCTTGGCACGGCTCGGTGTGTGTGTAGGGCTTTCATTCTTATAATTATCTAAGACAAAAAAATATGCAAATCAAAATTATAATTTAAAAAGCCTTTTAATTGCTCATTTTTAATTTGGGGATTTCTTCTCTGTATTCTCATAGTAATAACTTTCCTGACTGCACCTTTTCTAGATTAATCTATGTCATAGAGTTTGCATAAAGCTGATGACGTAGCGTATTCGAAACTTGAACTCAAAATTTTGAGAATTGAAACTTTTCTAACCTAAACTCGAATCTTCTTCTTGGTAAGCTTCCATGTTGGATAAATGAACACTTTTAGCTTGAACTTCTGTGCTGCTTGGACGCTATCTCTTCCTAATGTAACAGTATAAAAAATGTAAATGTTCTGAAAATAGGCATGATTAAAGTGATAAGTAAATTGTGGCCACAAATGTCAATTTAAATAAAAATGAAATTAAAACCAGCTCAACTGCCAAGTTCCCTCCTCAATATACCTCTTACATTCTAAGCCAGTGGTGGTTAATCTTTTTGGGGCCGTGTGCCATCCATTTAAGATATTAAATTAGAATTATTTATACGTTACCTTAAAATGCTTAGATCTGAAAACTGGAATCTATTTAACAATAAAAGTATTAAAATTCATCGGCAGTCTGCAATAAATTTGAATTCGTTTAGCAAACATTAGCTGCTTCAACTTTAGCATATTTTTTGCCATGTAACAAGTAATATGATTGGGCCAAACAATTGAAACGTCTTAAATTGAGTCAATAAATATGTATATTATTTCTATGGCAATACATGAAAATTTTATATCTAGGCCTAGGCCCTATGCCAGTGGCATTATGCGATAAGTAAGTAAGTGAAACATGCAAGAACAGACTAAAACGCTTATTTAAATTACATAGTATCATTTTATTGTGATTATTGATTAAGGAAGTAATTAATATTTTAGTCCTGTGCCAGCTGATGAGGCTCTGCATGCTGAATGTGGCATGCATGCGATAGGTTCGCCATTACTGTTCTAAGCTATTGAGTATTTATGCCGTCAGTATTTCTGCATTTCCACGGTCAATTTGTTGCAGCTTACTCCAAGTCTTTCAGTGTTCCTACATAAGTACTTCTAAAATTTCTTTATATTACATGTGTATACGTATATGTATGTGTGTGTGTGTGTTGTGTGCAAGATGTAAATATGAAAGAAAATTACCAACTTTAATTTAGAAATAGTCCTTTTAATTTATCATTTTAATTAGGCTACTTCCTTTTTGTCCTAATGAATCTACAAAATGTTATCTCAGAATTAATCTGTCATGCCATTGTATATAATACGTAGTATTGTAAATATTTTTTACAAACAAAGAACCAACCCTATATCATTGCTGTTAAATGCACACATACTTTCCCACTTCCTGCTTGCTCTGCTAATTTGTGTCATTCGCTGTTTTTGTTCATTGTCAAAAGATGTAAATAGCCATACAAAATTATGCAGTGTGTATAGCATCCATAATGGTGATATTAGTAAAGAATACTTTTCATAAGACTCTGTTATCAAGAAATAACATTATGAATTGAATCTACAGCCATATCTGAAAGTTTTTATTCTCCATCATGCATCTGTGACATTACCATCTTGCCAAGTTTATATACGGATTTATCATTCTATTGATACATAGTAAAAAATCATCAAGTTATTTACACAATTTATTACTTATATGTCCTATTTAATGATTAAGCATCTGAACAAAACATAGAAAATTTAAAGATCCAAGTCTGACCTTCATTCTGTGTGATGTGGATATATATTTTTGCAAGTTATTTAGTTTTCATCCCTCTTTCTAAATTATTAAATTTTTAATAATACATTTTTAGAGCTATTACAAAAGTGGGCGGATGTTTGTGAAGCTGGCTGAGGCTATTGGACGTTTAGTTCTTGCTGGGCGAGAACTGACGAGGCTTGCTGGTTTTACAGCTCGCATCTCACAACTCATTAAAGTTCTTAAAGATTTGAATTCTGGGTCTTATGTAAGAACCATGGTAGGCGAAAGCTCAAAAAGTGTTCGTAAGTTGTAGTAGATTATTTTTGTTTTGTTATGACCCTCATTGCTTCACTTATATGTTTTTGACATGCTGTTTATATATATGTATATTTGTATATTCGTATATATATTCTATATATTCACTTTATGCTTTTGAAATATTAATTATTAGTAATTATTTTTGTCTATATTTATGGTAATTATTCTGCTGTTTAGAGGTAAAATTTAAATGGAATAATAGATAATTGTGAGCCTTCCATTAATATTTTGTATGAATCAGAGAATACAGCAAGCAATGACTGATTAATCATAACTTATTGAATCTTATCTATGATTGTTGCAAATTGCTTTGATGATGAATTTTTAGTTCAAGAGTTCTTAGAAATTTATGCGTGCCCCCCGTGGAAATTTTCTTTAATGATTTTTAAGTGTATTGAAGCTGCTTCTATTTTATTTTGAGCTCTTAGCAATCAGGGAATTGTACCTAAGGCTTTTAAAATTTTTTTATAGGTTGAAATGTTAAGTCTGTCATCTGAGCTTTGTTCTTTAAGAAAGTTTATATGTTTAGAAGGCTGTAGTATACTAAAAATATCTTATATATTCATTATTCCTTCATATTCAGATCATTATTCATTGCCACAATGTTGTTCAAATTGCAGTCAGGCTCCCCTAACCACACTGAACATCTGGACGGCAACCAGATGGAATCATTGAAGATGTCCATTTGGCAATGCTTCTGTGAATAAATGCACAACTAGGTATTTGTTTCAGAAATTCAGATTGAGAGGACTGAATCTTTGTAATGAACATCACATTGAGAAACCACATGTGTTAGATGATGAGGTCGTAATGGCAAACATGCATTCAAATTTGTTGGGAACTTGATGGATGCTGCCAGGCTTTTAAGGAAACAGTGAGTCTTCTTCAACTGCACTATATGGAGAAGTTGAGCAAGTGTCACTTTTCAGCAGCCAACAAGAAATAGCAAGTGACATCCTGTTTGTTGTTGCTGTCTCGCCCATGCAATACTGGCATATTTGAATGAATGATCACAAGGGATGGAAAATAAGTCCAATATGAAATTATTGGTTATCACTACATGACTAGGTTTTTCACACCTTTTAAGACACCTGTATAGCCATGTAAGATCATACTTTGTGTCTAGTGGACTAGTGATAAAGTGTGACACTGAGATAGATTTCAATGAGTGACAGTGAGGTAGATTTGTGACACACACTCATTGAGTTCTTTGTATCCAAGATCCCCAAGTTTTATTGCGAGGGCACTGTACAGCTGTAGGCAGAACAATCAAAGGGTGCTGGATGCTGATGGAAATTAGTTCAAAACCTAATGCTGAGTATTATGTGCTGTATATCCTATTTCTGGTTATATATTGCAACACAAATAAAAAAGTGTTGCCACTTAATGTTATCTCTGTGCATTATTTAAAAAAAATAATGTAGTGAATATTAAAAAAAATGTATGTTACAGTAGAAGACCAGAAAATCACAATGCTTGGGACCAGAAGTTGTACGGATTTTGCAGATTTCAGAACAGAGATAAATCATTATATTTATATTTAAAATGCAAAATAAATAAATACGGACATTTACAATAAAGGACATACACAGTAAAGGCATATGAAAATAAGGGACATTAATAAAGCATAAAATATATACTTTTTTTACATGTTTCAAACATTTTTCTGATAAAGGTTTGTTTTAAAACTTTAGGGTGCTCAAGAGTAAATATCTTTCTGTAAATCATATCATAGTCATAATCTGTGACACTCTTCTGTTGCTAAAAAAAAATTAGGTATTTTTCACCATGCATTCATTAAAAAATGTGAGGATGATCATAATGTTTTGGCTTGTCGGTGTATACACATGTTTTTGTATGTGTATATATATGTATACTTTAACACTTCTTCACAGAAGTGTTACGATATATCATGAAACAGTGGCTTTGGTGTTTATGAAATGTTGCAATCATAGACTCGTTAGATTGCTTACTCAATAGTTATTTCGGTCTCTAAGGTTAATCAAAATGAAGGTTAGGAAAAGATGTTTTATACAATCTAGAATTGCATTGTGTCAGATGTCATAACATTTTACAGATCAGATTGTCATCAAGGATTGCCACTGTTGCTCATTTCCATTTTTAATTTAAAAAGATAGATTACCCACATGCAGTCAGTGTATTGTAAAATTTTCAAATTGGCATAAACCTTAATTGTTGAAATCATTACAATATTTTAAAATAACAAAACTATATAATAAAATCTAGATTTCTTCTGTTTCTTTTATAATTTATTAGTTATTTAATAATTTATTCTGTAATAATGTGTGTTAGTGAATAGTAACATATAATTTATTCTACACATGTTAAATATTAATGATCATTTTATTGTATTTATTTGTAAGACTTGATAAGTTGTTATGTTATTCTCATAATCAAACTGATAATTAGCATTTCTAATTTTTTTAAATATATGTTTTAATTGAAAAAAAATTTTTAGAACTATTAAATCCACCTACAAAAGCAAAACTTGTTCCTGGTGCTGGCAGTATTGTATTTAAAGATAATATAATTAAGTAAGTATTGCCTTTTTTTTCCACTTTAGTTATTAAACAAAATAATTTAATATTTGCATTTAAATTTTCTTTCTAATACTGATATAACTTCTAGGTTTGATAAGGTGCCACTGGTGACGCCGAATGGTGATGTTTTAATTGAAGAATTATCTTTTGAGGTATAGATGCAGTTTATTATATAAGTTGATACAAATAAGTTATAATTGTTTTACATTTTTTTCTTTCATTAATTTAATATGAAAGAAAAGGTAATATATTTATAACAGCTGACTTTGAAAATATTTAATAAAATTTCTGTTCTTTTTCCTTAATAAAATATGTATTTTGTATGTTTTCCTTTATAAAATATATTTTGAAAATTATGAACTATTTAACATGTATTTATAATATTTTCAAATTTCCATTTTTAAAATTCCATTATTTAAAAAATAAACAGTTATTGAAGTAATGCAATATAAAATATGTAAAATCCTCAATAAAAATTAAAGGTAGTGTATATTTTGTGAAGTAATGTATTATGTGACAGTTTCCTACTTTTCATTTTATCTTTTGTTTACATTAAAAGACTCATTTTGTAGCATTTATTATAACAGTGAATTTTGCAGTCATAGTCATTGCTAATAAGGAGTGTTTATTTTATTGAAGTTTAATCAGTAATTGTATTGCTTGAGGGCTTCCATGTTACAGTATTTTCATTTACACTTAAAGATTTAATAAAAATTAATAAGTAAATAAATAAAAACAATATAAAGTTTATCTGGTACTAATTTCTTCTTGGTAATTTTATGTACTGTACAGAATTGAATTTTTTGAAGCCTAGGTATTTGCTATGATTAAGCTATCTCCATGTTTAATTTAATAATTATCACATTCAAATTACAATATTTTAATTCTTTGTATAGGTCAAATCGGGTATGAATGTTTTAGTTCATGGACCTAATGGCTGTGGAAAAAGTTCATTGTTCCGTGTTCTTGGTGAGGTAAGTACTAAAATAATCATGTGGTGAACAGAATGCATGGGAAAATATTTCCATAATACCCCCCTACACACACACTCCTCAGATGATGAAGGCTGAATAAAGTAATAAACAGTAAACATTAGCTGTTATATGTATCATTCAAAGAAAATTATTAGTTATGAGAATTTACTTATATAATACTATTATTTGTCTGAACTAATATATAAATATATGTATATTTGTGTGCACACACGCACACATATATACAAGACGAGCCAGGATAAATTAAACCAGATATGGCAAGGGAAATACTAAAAAGCATTTGTGTATTCATTGGCAGGATAGCATGATAACACACACCTCCTTGGAAGCAGTACAGTGAGTTTTCACACTTGACAGGACTGTTGTCTTGAGGGATCTATGGCCTCCATAACTGTCTAATCTATCCAGTTATTATTTTTATTTGTAAGGTAAGGATAAAGTTTGCTGAAAAGGTCCACAAACTATTGATGTACTGCAACAGAATGTATGCATAGTTATCACCAACATCCAATGGGACAAATTACAGCAAGGTGCACTGAGCGTGATTTCTTCAGGCCTATCTGTGCTGGGATCCCCATTATGGTCATTATTTCCAACAGTACCTGTATGGATGGGAGATCCCATGTAAAATAGTCTTTTGTCTTCTACTTAAATAATAATCTCTTACAGATTGTCGTTTCTTCACTTTCTGTGAGGTTGGTCACTTTGTATATTCGTGAAGAGATTTAGATATAGAATAAAGCATTATATATCTTCTTTTGGAAATCTGGAAATTTAGTGCATTTTTTTCATTTAAATTTGTCATACAAAAGAACTGAGCTGCATATAAGATGTTTCTTCCAAAACTTTCCCTTTAATCCCTGAGTGATATGACCAGCTTTATCTGGTCATGAGATTTTTTGTTACTTTGTGTATTGTAGCTCACAATTTAAAATATCTTGCTTTCTTAAATGATATAAATATCATCTTAATGAATGGAAATTTATGAGAGCATACACTAAAATAATTAATTATATACATTAAGTTAACAGATGCCATTTAAGTACAAGTCTTCATGAGTATATTCAAAAGGTAGTTTCACTCAAACTTTAATTGTTGCTTGGCGGCTTTTACATTAGAATCTATAGTTATCTGGGCATTTTATATTATAAAGGGGTCAGAGCGGAATAGAATAAAATTCTTAAAATGCTGTTAGAATAATAATTTTTATTGTTAGAGTGTAGTGTAATAAGTTTGAAAATTTCATCATGAATAGTAAATAAATGTGTTTGGCTTTCATTTGTTTTGGCACAAAATTTTAAAAATTTCACAGCATAGCATTGTGAATAATGCTTGGATTGCAGTATTTCTCTAAAATATAGCAAAAAACGAGTTATATGAAATTAAAATTTTTTTTATCAGGCATGAAATATGATAAGTGGTTTATTATGATAAAAGGAATGTCTCATATTATTTAACCCTCTCAGCATTACAGATGGAAAATTCCATATAGAAGAGTGGCTTTTGTTATCATTACACATGAAAATTTTTGCCAGCTTTTAATTTATCTGATTTTGGGTTGGATATATATTGGAAGAATGTGAATCAAAGTGAAAGAGTCATTTTTGGATTATAATCAAAAAAATAACATTTATTCATGACATTTTGAGGAACTTTGAAATTTCAAGGCTAAACCCATAATGCTCCGAGGGTTAATTTTTTATAATGGGCGTTGTTATAATTGTTTATAATGGGAAGACATTTACAAATATGGACATATACTATATATTAATAATTTTTTCAGTGGTCAAATTATATTCATATGGAATTATTGAAAATTAATGTAAATTATGGTGGCCAGATAAAGGATATGAAACATGGAAATGGCTACAAAATAAACTTAACTCGTCATTGCTCATCAGAAAACTACTATTATGTATAAAACTTCAATGCATGTAAAAAGATGCTGTATGACCATTATAGTTAAGGACTTCTCTTACAGAGAATATGGATTATTATGCTTAATTTGTATCCCAGGCTTAGCACCTTTTATTTCCAATTATTATTTTCTGTGTGAGAGTATGATGAAGATTTATATGCATAAAAACATGCGCTTTTTCTCATATAAGCACTAGTTCTTATGAAATTCTTGCTGTTTACATTTGCTTTCACTGATCATCTCTAACTTGAATGTTCATAATTAGTTATATGAAGAAATGTGTATTAGTAAAACATTAAACAGAGAGTATGGATTATCATGCTTAATGTAGCCCATGCTTCTTAGGCACGTGCTATTTCCAATTATTATTTTCTGTGTGAGAGTATGATGAAGATTTATATGCATACAAATATACACTTTTTCTCATATAGGCACTTTGCAAGTTCTTATGGCATTCTTGCTATGTGCATTTGCTTTCAGCAATTATCTCTAATTTGAATGTTCATAATTAGTCATATGAAGAAATGCTGGTGACATAATCAAAAAAGTATTATTTAAATTATGCCAACAATAAAAAGCTAGATGCATTGAAATTTAGCTGTGATTAATAATTCTTTGAAGCATAAAAAGACATTAATTGTTTTTTTTTTAATTTGCAAATTAACCATTGATATCTTATGTACAGAATGAAGAAAAACATTTAATTTTTATTATAATATGTTTATCTGTACACACTTCCATGCATATATATTTCTGTTTAGAATCGGATTTAATTTATATTTCTTACAGTTCTAATTTCTAGAAGTGGAATAATAATAATAAATAATTCTTTATAGCTCTGGCCGTTATTTGGTGGAACTTTGACAAAACCAGTAAAGACAAAACTTTTTTATATACCTCAGGTGAGTTTTTTAAGTATTATATATTATTTATTCATACTTATAAATTTAAGTGTTTATTAGAAGTTTTTATTTAGTTATTATTTTAATAGATTGGTTATTTAATTATGTATTTGCCAGTTTTTGTCCTTTACATATGAAATATATGCTCTTTTGCAAAAAAATCGAAACACCATAAAGGAAGTGGTTGTTTTTGATGAAATTGAATTTGTGTATAGCTCATACACAGATAATAAAATCATTAAAAAATCAAGGCTGTAGTACCTATTCATGGCTCACAATCACCCATTGAGTGTTCAAATTAGTAGTTGGTCGAAACTCCCCTGGCGGCAATGCATGCTTGAATTTGTCGAGGCAAGGAACGGTAGAGATTCCTAATGGCATCCTGCGACACATTCTGGAAGGCATTCAACAGTTATCGCTCCAGATCTGCGATATTTTGTGGTGCCCGAATCTGGCGGCCTACTAAGTCCCAGACATGCTGGATTGGTGAAAGGTCTGATGACCTTGCTGGCCAAGGAAGAGTATCAACTGCACAGAGACAGTGCATAGATATGTGAGCGGTATGTGGCCTGGCATTATCTTGTTGGAAAATGACCCCAGGATGACATACCATGAAGGGTAATGCAACTGGCCGCAGAATAGTATCAACATATTGTTGAGCTGTTAAAGATGTACAGAGGATGACTAAAGATGACCTGCTGTCATAAGAAATAGCACCCTACACCATTGTAACAGAGATTAAGGTTGTATGCCTTTGTAAAACAAAGCCTGATTGGGACCGCTGGCCCCGTCCTCTCCAGACACGAACACGGCGGTCATCTGCTTTAAGAGTGAAGCGGGATTCATCGCTATACGATGCTAGTCTGATGGCGGCCATGATGATCGGCTGCGACACCACTCCAGACGACTCTACCCGATGTTGTGGGATAAAAGGCAAATGTCTTAAAGGCCTCTGTGAGCGTAACCCCACCTCAGACAAGCGGCATGAGATGGTGAACGGTACCACAGGAGGTATAGACCTGGATGCAGTGCGTTCAATAATCGGCAATTATACCATTGGTACGGTTCAAGCCTGGCGAACAATCATCCTATCTTGGCTCGCATTTGTTATACTTGGCCTTCCAAAGCCTTTATTTCATCGGCAATTTCCTTGTAACAAACATCCCCAAAAAATCTACAGCAGCAAGAATTAAATTACTACAAGCACACTTACAGATATATAGATGATATATAGAAGATATTTCTACAGAAGTTGACATAAATTTGTTATAATTTAATAGATTTTTTTAAATTAATTTTGCTGATGAACAAAGTAGGTTTAACTTCAAATTAAATTTACTATAATATTTTGCATTTAAATTTATTTTCTATGTTATCCTGTACATTTAGAGACCATATATGACTCTTGGAACATTTAGAGATCAGATTATTTACCCTGACAGTCATGAAGACATGAAACGTAAAGGAGTTACTGATTATGATTTAGAATATTTTCTTGAGATGGTAAGCAGTTCAATTTATTATCAAAACTTTTTCATATATTTTTATGATAATTTTTTTATTCTTGCATATTCGTGCAATCAGAAGTCGCTAAATTTTCAGAATATGCCAGATCTCTGACAAATATACTATATACTAGCAGCTTCACTGCCAGCCTTCGTCTGGCTTTTAAATGTACCGAAGAAAATGGCTGAAGGGAATACCAAACGTTAAATTTAAAAACTGCGTAGAATTTTACTCTTCAGAACAACTTCATAAAAATAAAGTTATTACGTATAACAAAATTACAATGAAATAAGCAATATCCCTTAATACAAATATTAATTATCCTAATAAATAAATTAACCAACTTCCCTTTGCAAAATCTGAAAAACGCAAATGGTATAAAGGGCGGTTAAAAACTTTGTTTCCTAAAAAAATCACTCAAAACTTTTCAATATCTTAAAAACAGTGAAATGAGCAATAAATAACATAAAAAAATACAAAAATAAAAAATTTCTGAAAAGCAAAGTATAATTAATGATATTTTATCTTATATTTTCAAGAGAAAAAAATTACAATGAAATAAGCTATATCTCTTAATACAAATATAAATTATCCTAATAAAAAAGTTAACCAACTTTCCGTTGAAAAAAAAAAATCATGCAAAACTTTTCAATATCTTACAAACAGTGAATAAGCGAAAAATAACATGAAAGCAATTGAAAAAACATAAATTCGCGCAGAATTTTACTCTGCAGAACAACTTTATCCAAAAAAAAAAAAAAAAAAAAAAAAAAAAAAAATCAATAAAATGTATTATATATATATATAAATGACAATGAAATATGCCAATCTCTTAAAAATATTAATCTCTTAAATCTCTTAAAAATTAAGAAATATGACGAAAAATTGTTGCCAAACCCATATTTCTAAAAGAATGAAGCTATTCAAAATGTTGCGATTTCATCAAAAATCTATCAATAAGACAGAAAAATTGTTGCCAAAATCACATTTTTAAAGATGTGAGATGTGAGAAGTGTACTTGGAAGCTTCATTTAAAATTTTTTTTTAAAATACAAAATATTATCATTTTTCCAAAATTCTTTTTGTAAAAGCAGTCGCAAGGATGAAAGTTTAGCGTGTCCAAAAATCAAAGAAAAATAAACTTTTTTAGAAAAAATCCCATTGAAAAAGTGTTAAGCTCCCTTTGTTAAATAAATTCGTATTTAATTGATTTATTGAAACACAAAATTTATTTTAAGTTCGTAAAATAGCTAAGTGCTTACGTTTCACGATGATATGGAAATGGACTGTATAGAGTAAAATCTCACGTTCCTATAGCCCATTTGTCTCAAAATGACGTGATTTCGTCACAAAACATAAAATAAAAAAAATTCGAATTTCGAAAAAATCACTTTGAGGTGCACTGGCTCTTGTCTAAATGCACCTATGTACCAAATTTCGTAGCCGTGGGTCTATTAGCTTACGCGCAGCGCAAACGAAAGACATACACACAGACAGACTTTTTCTTTTATTATATGTAGAGATAAAACAGTTCTTCAGTTTTGGTTGTTTTATATGGCCATTTTTGTAAGCCTTTTTAAGGGGGGTTCAGGAATGATTTTTACAGAAAAATCGTGATATTTTTTTATCTTGAACTCGATTTTAGAATGTGCACTTTATGACTTGCAATAGAAGAAAAGAAAGCAATATGTTTTTTTCTTCTAGAAAATCTGTAGAAATGCAGCATTTTGCAGCAAAATCGCTTATACAATTGCTTTGAATCCATTCTTAGCCAAGTGATTGCTATGCAATCACAACCAGAGGAAAAAATAAAAAATAAAATAAATAAAAAAGCACTTGCAAATTCATAGCCAATTGCCATGAAATCACAACCAGAGGGAGGGGGGGAATTAAAAAATAAAAAAGCACTTGTAAGTAAGTTTCTTTATTGATTTGGGGAATAAATACCTAATTAAAGTGTAAAACATGCATGTATACGTATAATAATTTTTGCAGTCTCAAATTATTTCGTTTTCTTCTGTAAAAAATTGACATACTGTGCTAAGATAATTGATTTTTATTGATTTTTTTTTTGGGGGGGGCTAATTTTTTAAGTATTATTATATACTTATATTTAAAGCAATAATGTACTATTATATGAGAATTGCAAGATTATAATACTATTTAAGCAGATGAAAATATTATAAATTTAGAGTAGTGGTTGATCGAAAAATTTCCAAAATTTAATATGATGCCAAAAAATGGAGCAATCTTGGCTAATAAGAGAATAAATAAATCTGACAGGGAATTTTACAAATAATGCTGTCTATTATTATAATGGTATTAATTTTAACATAAAAGATGAGACATCTGTAATGTTTGATCAGATATCATCGTACTTACAGTTTCAAGCAGATTTTCACGTATAACATATACTAGTGCCATAAAACCTAAGGCACAAGTGTATTAATACTTTGACATTATAATAGGCAGGCAGAAATTTTGAGTCGATTCTTACAAGCAGGATATTATAAAATTTAAGTTCATTCAAAGGGGGTTAACAATTGCCTATGCAACTGAATGTGCCTTCTGTGGTTATAAAGTGAAACATTTGAAACTGTGCAGAGAATAAGCCATTGGATTCTGGATTATTGGAAGAAGGTTCTATTAATTAGATTGGATTATTGAATTATCTGCATAGCTCTCGCATTTTTGATCGAGATAATAATTTTGTTAGGGGCTGTGAATCTGTGACCACAACTCATCCAACACTGATATGTACAATTTCATGAAAAGAATTACCTTTTTTTTTTTTTTTTTTTTTTTTTAAGTACAGTTGCATGAAAAGAATGACTTTTTTTAACATTCTTTCACATATCCATTTTTACATATCATAATAGGTTCAACTAACGTATCTTTTGGAACGAGAAGGAGACTGGAACTCCATAAGGGTATGAAATTCAAATTTTATGTTCTATTTTCAAATTTAGCCACTCTTGGAAAAAAAAAAAAGTATTACCATGTTTAAACAAAAGAATGCATTGAATTTTAACTCTAACTTGTTTACTCAATTGTTAATGCTAAAATGTATTTTAAAGAATTATAATTTGAGTACTCTGTTGATAATGTTTACATTTTTCATCTTTGAAAATAATTAGGATTGGATGGATTTACTTAGTGGAGGAGAAAAGCAACGTATTGCTGTAAGTACTCTTTTTTTAATAGCAATACAGTAATACTCTGATTTTGTTAATGGTGTGTAAAGCTGAAAAGAATGGAATGTTCTTTTAGAGTTAAACATAAGATCCTATTTTCTATCATTCATTAGTCTTTATTTAAGTACATTTAACTCTTAAATTGCAGGTTAAATATATGTATGTAGTTTTTAATATATTTTGTTATATTACTTATGTGTATAGATGTGCACAACATGTTAGCTGTTACATCCTATTATAATACATATTTTGTTTAAGAGGGAATGACACTCTTAGTTTCTTTTATCTATTGAATAATGTATGCAATTATCTGAATTCCCCCATTTTTCTGTTGCAGTTTTTTATACATTTTTGTCTTTTACTTATATATTTTTCTCAAATATCCAAAGGCATGGTGAATAATTTTCAGTCTTAAAAAAAACTTTTAAATATTTTACTACAGAGCCAAGATATATTCAGATTATCCTAAATTTATTCCTATAATACTTTCTGCATTGTTATTTATGGACAGAATTTGTATCCTCCTTCTCAGATTTAGTTACTTAGAATAAACACCTTATTTACTCAGAATAAATTAATGCAAATAAAATGCATTAAAATTTCCATGAGTTTTAATTAATAGTTTTAGATAGATCATCTGATCTTTTAAATATGATGATCTAAAATTATTAGTGGTGTGCAGGAAGGATTTATTATGCTGTATCATGATTGGATATTGATTTCTGCATGCCTTGCCCATCAAAATTTGTCATGCTGAGAAGGAACTAATGGAAGATAGTACATTTAAAAAATACGCAAACACTATAAGGTTGTAGGGAAATGGCTTTATTCTACTCATTAGTAATTGTAATAGTTTATTTGCTTGTATGACAGCAACAGTATGATGTGGCATGCTATAAAAGCATTTCCAGTAAATCTGAACAAGAGTGGCTTACTGTTCATACAGCAGAATTATTGCCAGAGAAGAAAGCAGAAATGTTAGTGCTCAGGAATGAAGATAATGCATAATACTTGATATTTACAGTAGTAATATGTGGAATGTTTAAATAATTATACCATAATAATGCAGACTACTGCTGCAATTGTATATGGATAAGTATAATACTACTAAATGAGTTAATATAAGTATTTCTTCAGTATTGGGGAGGGAAAAACAGTTGAAGAATGGAATTTATTGACATTTTTATAGGGGTTGTTCTTTTGCTTTCCATAAGCTTCTGCTACCTTTCAGAATACATTTTTATTATCGTAGCAAGTTTTTCCATCTTTTAATTATGTCAAACAAGATTTGATTTTAATATATTAATTCAGTTGCAATGGGCTGCATAAAAATGGTATCCTAATACTATTTCACTGTAAAATACAAAAATCTCAATGCTTTACCTTTATAGTAAATTATATAGATTTATTATTGCTACTTGTTTGCTAGTATGACAGAAAATCAGCTATCAAATATTTAATTTGTCTACTTGAAGATGACCGATCATTATGCACTATTTGGCCAATCAAATGTTGTTAAAAATGTCAATAACTATTGTGTTTAATGAAGAATTTTGTGTTTTACTAGAAGTATTTGTTTTTTTATTTAGATGGCAAGATTATTCTATCATCGCCCTCAGTTTGCAATTTTAGATGAATGTACGAGTGCAGTGAGTGTTGATGTTGAAGGATCAATGTATCAGTATTGTCGTGAGGTATTGATTTTTTATTAAATTATTTTTATAGTAAATATTTCATTAAGTATGGGGAAAAGAATACTTTTTGTTTACTATTTGATGTAGTTTTTATAGTTTTGTTCAGTATTTGTATCAAATGTATAATATTAATCTTTAGAATAAAAGTTAAATTTTATTAATATACCAAATGTTCAGAACTGATCATTGTCTGTTATGGTTTTTAGATGGGTATAACTTTATTCACAGTTTCACATAGAAAGTCTCTGTGGCAACACCATGAAGTAAGTCAGTCACTGAAATTTTAAATTAAATTTTTAAACTTCCTGATTTCTATGTTTATTAAACATAAATTATGCAGTTGTGAGTTTTTTTAACAAAAGCTGTTTATTAGAATCTTTTTATTGTTTTGAAATAATGAGAAAAAATAATTTTTAGACGTGCTTTAAAGATGCTGTTAGTTTTCAATTTCAAAGTAACTCTTGTTTTCAGAAAAAAAGCTATAATATATTGTATATATATATAAATTTGATTGAAGGCTTTCCTTGCCAGTTTTTTTTTTTCACATTGTTATGTCAGTGTGTTAAGTGATAGTGCAATACTAGTATCACCATGGCACTCAGATGAAATTCAGAATTATAGCATTTAAAATCTCTTGCACTGTATTAATTACTAAAAGGTAGGGAAAGTATATCCTCTCTATACTTTTTAGATTGCAATCTTAAAGGACAATATCTTATTATGAATAACTACCATTAATAATAATTTTAAAAAAATCCCTTCCACTTTTTTATGAGTGACAGATTTTTTTAGTTAATAAATGCAATTTATAGATGTGAGTTACTGTTACATTACTAGTAATATTTTAATGAAATATTATTCACTGGGTCTATCATAATTATTTTTAGATTTTCCTTGATTTTTAAATCTATTAAAATAATACCATTTGTTTTTAACATTAATTTTTTTCATATACATTATGATATGCAGATTAACAATTGTAAGTTATATGTATAGAAACAGATCATAACTAAATTACTACCTTCACTAACATTGTCAACTCATTAACTAATTAACATTACAAAATAACATTATATATAATTAATGAATATTTTTAATTTGCAATTGATTTAATTTTCTGATGTAATAGCCTATGTTTGCATATCTGTAGCTTTTATAAGCAAAAGGCTTTTAATTATATATACTTGTTTTTGAATTGGAATAGTTTTAAATAACTTCTCTTAGAAACAAGACGTGTTTTCTTTGTCGTGTATCTTTAGGAGGCTGTTCTGATTTTCATATTATATATTAAAATAAATCTGAAGAAAATTTACGTTGATGCATCAAAGAACTTTGGCTAACAGTGCTTTATTAATTTCAGTTTTTGCCTTATATAGATTTATGTCAGCCTTTTCATCAGTAATAATTTCATTTGGCAATACGAATCATAGTTTTCATTTAATTTTATAAGAAGTGATTATTGTACCTGTAGTATTTTAAAAATTATGTTCTTCATTTTAGTTGCATCTTTTATAAGCAAGAGTTAATTTATTAAAGCCTTAGAAATAGTTAGCTTGAAAGGCAGCACAGTGTAAATTTTTTACTATATTTATATTGCATAAGCACATGCGGATTACATACATCCAGGTTTTACCATTTTTGTATTATATATAACCTGCCAATGATTATTTTAACCAGTATTGTAGATCAGATCCATCAGAGAGCTTTCATTTTATGTTGCTACTTACTGCATTCTTTTAATGAAAATGTAATACATGGATTTAATACAAGTACATTTAGATTTAATAACTACATTTTAATAGTTATATTAATAACACAAAATATAATGCTGTTATCATTTTATGAAGGCCCTAAAAGACGTATAAATGCACAAAAATCTGTTATGAAAAAGGGAAATTATGAGCAAAGGGAATCAATGTTTTGCACTTAAATATAAAACTTTGCATAGAACACACTGGCAACTTATATTATGAATATGCAAGGAAAAGTAAATAGTGTTTTTTACTTAATAACAATTATTTTATTAGGTTGTCCAAAAAGTTCATGCTGATTTTGAAGGAAAATTGAAATTCAGGAGATTTAAATTTTAGTATGCATTTTTTAAATTATATAGATGCAATTTTGTTCTATAGCCTTTCTCCATCTTTCAGGCTACTTGAAATTCCATCCTTCCAGAACTTCTCAGGTTTTTTAGCGAACAAATTTCTATTTGACTTTTTTTCCAAACAAAGAACTGAAGTTTTTTCCATTAAGGAAAATGAGGCCCCCCTCTAAAAAAATGAAGAAAAAACATAAGGCTGCGCATTGTCTTGATGAAACAAGACATCCTTCCCATTCACTGTTCAACTGCCTGTCTTTAGTTCGTCTAATTCTCTGAATTTATCGTCTTCTTGTTTGGGGAAAGCTCATAATACAGGAACCCTTTTCAGTTGCATCAGACACAGTCTTTGAATGAAGACTAGCTTTTGGCGAGGCTAAAGGCAGTTCATCCCGCTTTCCCCAAGATCTTTTTCACTCAACATTATTATAAATGATGCGTTTTTCATCCCTTGCCACTACTTGTTTCAAAAATGGTGTCTCCTGATTGCGTTTGTAGAGTGAGTCGCAAATGAAAATTTGATCCATGAGAATTTTCTCCATTAAACCATAGGTAACTGCATAATTTATAATATTTGAATTTAAGAAGTTTGCAGTATGTTGCTTTTTTTTTTAAAAAAAAGGTTTGTTATTTAGTATACTAGTTAATAACACATCAATAAGAGAAAATTAAAAAAAAAAATTTACACTTTTTATGGGAACAAGCTTGTTATAGAGTGGTAAAATTTAATATTTTAGTCTTAAATATTCTATATAATATAATATTAATAACAATTAAGCATAATAAAAGAAGATATCTATTCCAGAAATTTACAAAAGGATTTGGTTTTGTAGGATTTTATGTAAACAAAAAAACATTGTGGTCAAAACTTTAAAATGCAAATGATAAAATAGCATTTACACAGCAACAAAAATTTCCACACAGTGCAGAAATGCAGTGGCATGTAACAACAGTTGACTCAATTACCCCAAAACCCAGTGATGCATGTTATTAAATATTTGTAGAGTGCATTGAAATGGAGAAAGCTAGCAGATACAAAAGGCCCTGTATTTATCCAGTGTATAATTTTTTTTATGGTTGTTCTGTTAGTCATAGCTAACAAAAGTGCCTCAGAGACCCACACAGAATTGAGCAAGTTTCAGAGGGAATGCATCATCACCTTTTGGGAATGGCACAAGGTGGAGCAAGGAAAACGTTTTGTCAGCTGTAGATCCAAAATTCTATATATCAGTGGGGTAGAAAGCAGCAGCAAGTCATGATGGATGATGCGATGCATGTACTGAGTTATCATGTGGACTACCACAACCATAGCTACACTTTCTATCATTCTTCTGAATCTACCTGTAATCTGTGAAATGTTTTGTATTGTATATCATTGAACTACATTGGTAGCACCCCTCACAATGCCTATTTTTAATGCTGGCATCAAACCAACAAGGTTTGTTGTGATGCCATGCCCAGGCAGAGTGGAATGTAGTGGACTGGAATCAGTACGATTTTCACCAATGAATCCAGGTTCTCGCTTAATCATCCATGCCTGATTCATGGTGAAGGCAGCCAGGTCATTGCTGCTAATCCAGTGTCATATTTCCATCATTCCATAAATTACCATGTGGAGTGATAATATACATAAGATATCTGGATACCTAATAGTTATAGGGCACCATCCTGATATGCCAGTGTTATGTCGATGACATCATGTAACCTGTTGTGCAGGGTTTGTGCACATTTCTGCATATGGAAATTAATTACTTTTTAGGACCATTAATGAAAAAGATTAAGGACATATGAGCAAATGGGAACTGAATAAATTCAATTGAAGATATTATCTGTGCCTGAATTTCCCTTTTGTAATACCATCCTAAAAATAAAATAGATCCCTAAGTAGTATGCATTATTACTAAACATGAATTCATTAACATAATTGTTAATAATTTTGAGAATAAAATAAACTTTATACAATTTATCAAGTAGTATTAAATATTTTACACTTATAATTGTTGGTCATATTTGAAAGAAGATAAGTGACATTTACGTTTTACTAAAAGTTAGCTTTATATTGATTTTTGTCTCATTTTGTCACATACTTGGTCAGTCTAGTGGTTTAGTAAATAATCAGGTAGATTTTATATCAAACTGCATAGGTTAAAAGGAGAAGTAAGATCATAATCAAAAGACTGAATGTTGTCACCGCTGCTCTTTGTTTAGAGAAAGACCTGCTGATTAGAACAAACCTGAAAGGCCTGATGTAGGCAAGGTTGGCAAGTGTTGAAAGTTAGTCAGGTTCTGTTTGATGCAGTTAGTGTCATAGCTTCGTGTACAGTTCCACAGGTTGTAACCCAGTTAATATACTTTAAAGTTCCAATAAGCCATTAGAGCACCAGAGGTGATAAGTTGTTTTGTATTATTTTAAGTCTAAGTAGATGCATAGAATATGTTTTACTTGAATTTTTACATTTTTATAATTTATCTTGTGACCACAGTGAGTATTAATGAAAGGCAATAACTCGCTTTAAAATGTAGAGATAATTTTTAAGGGTAAGTAGTTAGATATAAATAATTAAATTAGGTAATTTGATAACCTTCGTCATTTATGGATTTACATGACCAGTATTAAATTTTATTTTTTAACAATATTTGTTAAAAAAGCCCTATTTAAATCAAAATCTAATAAAATTTCACAGTTTAGAGTATATATAATTTATGACACAAATTCTTAAACGATATTAAGGTAATTATGCATTAAAAGCTACACAATATTTATGTTTTGTAACAACAACAGTCAACAAAATATTATCCGTCATTTTAATTTGAAGCCTTCCCAGACATTTTGGCTAGTTTATATCAATTTCCTTCTCTTTAAGCATCTTTTCTAACAATTAGAGATTTGTCTCAATATGCAAATCAATGCTCTCGCTAGTTTCTGCGTCTTTATCTCCTAACTTGTCAACCTCTCCACGATGTACCTATGACCCAGGCAGCATGCATTCGTAAATTACACGAGAAAAATACGTGCAATTTACGAATGGCCTTTTGTATAAAAAACGTTCAAGTTGAACGTAAAAATATCATAAAAAGTGTCCAGTGGCAATTACTAAATATTTACGTATATTTTTACGTTATACTATACGTAACTTTTACGTAAAATTTAGGTATATTTACGCG